GCAGTTCTGTGGTCGCAAATGCCTTGTTGATGCCAGCGGTCAGAGGAGAATGGCAAGACTGGTTCGAGCGGATAGAAAGACAACAGTAACTCAAATAACCACTTGTTACAACCGAGGTATGCAGAAGAGCATCTCTGAACACATAACATGTCCAACCTTGAGGCAGATGGGCTACAGCAGCAGAAAACCACACCGGGTGCCACTCCTGCCAGCGAGGAACAGGAAACTGAGGCTACAATTCGCACAGGCTCACCATAATTGGACAACAGAAGATAGAAAAAACGTTGCCTTTTTTGATGAGTCTTGGTTTCTGCTGCGACGATAGGGCATTTGGACGGTAGGGTCAGTATTTGGCGTCAACAACATGAAAGCATGGGTCCCATCCTGCCTTGTATCAACAGTTCAGGCTGGTGGTGGTTGTGTAGCGGTGTGGGCATATTTTCTTGGCACATTTTGGGCCCATTAGTACCAATTGAGCATCATGTCAACACCACAGTCTACCTGAGTATTCTTGTGGACCATGTCCATCGCTTTATGATCACAGCCATTTACTAATGGCTACTTTCAGCAGGATAAAGTCCAATGTCATAAAGTGTAAATCATCTCAGACTGGTTTCCTGAACATGACAATGAGTTCCCTGTACTCAAATGGCCTCCACAGTCACCAGAACTCAAACCCATAAAGCACTTTTGGGATGTGGTGGAACGGGATATTTTCATCATGGATGTGCAGCCGACAAATCTGCAGCAACTACATGATGCTATCATGTTAATATGGACCAAAATTTTTGAGGAACATTTCTAATACCTTGTTGAATCTATGCCACGAATGATTAAGACAGTTCTGAAGGCAAAAGGGGTTCAACCCAGAACTTGTAAGATGTACCTAATAAAGTGGCCGGTGAGTGTATTTACAGTACATGACTCTTGTAGACATTATAATAATATTTTTTTACATACTATGGGATACTATGTCAAAAAAAGTTGCAATCCTGCACACGTGGCATTAAATTGCTATATTATAACTTTGGTTTTGTGTGACACTACCGTAACAACAATAAAAAGCATTTATTTTACTTACTATAAGATCCTTTAACAAATGAAAGTTGTAATGTACAAGGTATCACAAAATCCTTGTTTTACCTTAAAAATTTATCACAACTTAAAACACACCAAGGTAAATGGATGGTATACATTATATCAAAGAACATTACCTTTTTCTGCGTCATACATTTAGGTGTACTACTAAGGTGTGGCAATAAAGGTAGTATTACCATGATACTGTATTATTATCTATATAATCCTGGTATTTTTGACTTGGGATTAAGTTAATTGCATAGTAATTAAGAATAGTAATTACATAGTATTTTACGACATACCTTAGAATATTATAGTGGAAACTGATCATTTTTACATGCTCTCAGAAAACGATAGCTTTACCAATATTTTGACAGACACTTATTTGACAGTAATAGCATTATTCCTTTTAATACCATGCAATGTTGTAAATAAAGGCATATTTTTAGATGTTAATGTTATCCGAGTACCATAGTATCACCATGATATTGTGGAAACAAGCATAACGTATTAACTTTATTTTTAGCATTTCTTTGACATAACATGGGGTACTACGGTACATAAAGGTTTTCATTATATCAATCTACATGGTACCATAGAACTATTTAATACATATTATAAAATTATTGTTATTTTTTGTGGACATTACTTTTATGTGTATGGTATGTAAATATTATATAAACAATATAGTATGATATTACCATCATTTGCAGTATGTCTGGCATATGGAAAACAAAGGCAGTAGTCAGATGTAAAGTCTATTGTAATAATAATATACATTTATATTTATATAATACCATATCATTTTATAACCTACCCTGGGATCCAATGATAAATCAAGGTGGTATTAATATTTATATGCTACTAACAGCACAGCTGTAGCATAGTATTGCTAGATATGTAAAAAATAATCTTCAAATACCACAGTAAATGAATATGATAATAATGTGGAATCCTACATGACAGTAGAGACATTTATAATGTTTTCTGTTCATGAAAGAATCCTGAACAAAATATATCGGTTTCCACAAAATAGTTAAGCAGTGCAAGAGTTTTCAGAATTGAAAATAATACATATCAGTGTATTACAATGCTTTCTGAAGGGTTGTGTGACACTGATGACTGGAAATATAATAATTTACTGTATTTGACTTGAATTTTTTATCATCACAGGAATAAATCACTATATATATATATATATATATATATATATATATATATATATATATATATATATATATATATATATATATATATATATATATATATACATACACACACACACATACACACATACACACACATTTACACCCTTCTTTATTATTTAAAAATACTACTATTATGTCAGTATCTTTTATAGTAAAATTTGTTATTACATTAATTTTACTTGGCATTAAAAATCACATTGAACCCAAGCTTTTGAGCCGGAGTGTATATATCTAAAATCCCAGGTAGTATCATTGTACTAGGGCTGCATTATATTGGAAAGGTTTAACATTGGACTACTTTATTATTTTGCGATAATTTTTGCGATATGAATACAATTTTCTAATCTAATCTTGAAATCTAATAAACAGTCTTGCAATTTTTTGGGGTCCCCCCACATGTTTTCATTATGGTCTGTGTTATTTGCAGTGCGTTTTATGTATTTACATGTGTTGTACTTTCATGCACGTGTTTAGTCAGAGATTGATCAATTCCTGCTTCCTATTTTCATCTCTATAAAATATAATAATTAAGCTATACATTTTGTTTGTAGTCTGTGCTCTTTGCAGTTTTTGGGGTCCCTCGACACATTTCTGTTGTTATCGCTGTTATTTGCAGTGCGCTTTGAGTCATTGCAGGTGTTGTACTTTGTCGTACTATGTGCATCTCCATAAAATCTAATAAACAATCTTTAAATTTTTAGGGGATACCCCCGCATGTTTTCATTATGGTCTGTGTTTTTTGCAGTGCGGTTATGTATTTAGATGTGCTGTACTTTCATGCACTTGTTTAGTCACAGATTGATGAATTAATGTTTACTATTTGCATCTCCATAAAATCTAATAAGCAATCTATAAAATTTTGGGGTTCGCCGACTTATTTTTGTTGTTGTCTGTGCTGTTTCCAGTGCTTTTCTGTATTTGCATATGTTGTATTTCTATTCATGTATTTACACAGAGATTGATGAATTGATATTTACTATTTGCATCTCTTTAAAATCTAAAATACAATCTACACATTTTGGGGGTCCCCCGACACATTTTCGTATTTATCTCTGCTATTTGCAGTGTTTTTTGTGTATTTGTATGTGTTGTACTTTCATGCACGTGTTTAATCAGAGATTGAAGAATTAATGTTTACTATTTGCATCTCCATAAAATCTAATAAACAATCTTCACATTTTTTTGGGGTCCCCCGACACATTTTCGTTGTTGTATTGTGAGTGTTTTCATGCATAACAATCTATAAATACAATCAAGAAAAAGATGCAATTGAAGTGTTTTATTGTTTCCCGAGTCTAACAGTATTCACGTACAGTAACTGAATAATAAAAATAAAAATAATTCAATAAAATTAATCGTAGTTAAGCTCACAAGTGTTACAATTTCTTATACCTGAATGCTTTTAAAATCATTTTACAATCAAAAACACAAGCAAATGATTAATTATAATACAAACTCAACACTGAATTTTCTGCGATGTGACTATTACAAATGACTATTGCGATATCAATGCTTAAAAGATATATTGTGCAGCCCTACATTGTACTAATCGCTGTTATTACTATATAATATCTAACATGGTGTCATTATAGAACTTCTTCATAATGAAACTAAATTCAGTTAACACTATATACATATAAAAGCCCGAAGTGCATTGACAGGAAAGACGTGTCTCCAAATGACTCAACAAGGTGGGTTTTAACACACCTATGATTATATAACACCTTACAACCATACGGAGTTTCCACAATCACAGTGTGAGGGCACAAAAGCACCCTTATCACACACCCAGCATTAAAGACGCACAAATCACCTCACAATGGAGGCATCAATAAACAGGCCACATGCCATAGGAGCACATTAGACGCACAATAGTGTAAAGGCATGTATGTGTGTGAGCAGCTACAATTGAGAACACCGTAAAACCCATCGCTATGGCAACCATTTACCAAATGACCATTCACGGGGTGCACAAGTGTTACAGATCCATGCACATAAGAGAAGAAACACCATCATCCATCTCTGTTTTTCTCTTCATCACACATCCACACAATAAAGACACTGCAGAGAGGATATTATATCAAACATCCTTCTCCACGGGAGAGACAGAATCGCAGTGTGCCAATGCAACCACACACTGTCGTTGCAGCATCGGCAGTAGAAACACCGCGACCAAGCATCACATCACACACACAATAAGCTACTCCTTCACACAACACTCAGGTGATGATCTGTACAACAGAAATAAGCCAATGGGAATGCTAAGAAAAGAGGGATCCTCCATACTTGATGATAGAAAAGAGGGTGAAACCCTCCTTCATCTGCCAGCATTAATAATTGAGATGCTACAGCAGTCACACCAAGCACAACCGTCCATAACCAGTGGACAGATTCTGTGCCTCTTTCTGACAGCATACACACACACACACACCGCCCAGCTGAGCCTCACAAACACGACGACACACACACTCATACACTGCCTGAAAATGGCAGTGGAGGATACACACCCAAAAAACAGAAGCGGCACACTTTCTCCGAGCATCTCTTACCCTCGTATTATTACCAAAAATAAAGGGATAGGAGATGAGCCTACGGTGTCTTCCCTCCCCCTCTCTCGCTCTCTACCAGCAGCAGAAGCGTCCCCAATCTCAGCCTTCCCCATGCTCCTTTCTTCTCGCTCTCCGACCCTCCCGGACGGCTGCTCTGCTGTCTTACCTGCGGCTTGCTGGGAGGCTGCCTGTTCCGGCGGTTGGGTCTGGGCCTGGAGCGGGTGTAGTGCCTCAGTGTGTGGCCTTCGATGGGCAGGTCCATAGGGGGCTGAGGAGGTGCAGGCTCCGAGCGCCGGGGCTCTCTGTTGCTAAGAGCGGCAGCAGCAGCAGCGGGAGCGGCAGCAGCATCCGCCTCTCTCCTCCAGTAGGAGGGGCTTCCTGGCTTCAGCTGGCCTGCCGTGGTGACTGACAGCCCCGTCGCCAACGGCAACGACTGGGCCCGCCTCCTCTCCTCCGTTCCTACCCTGGAGACCTGAGGCACTCCTCCTCCTCCCCCTCCTCCTCTCTCCTCTGGCTCCTGCTGGGGATGTGTGGCCGCACGCGCCTGCTGCTCCCCTTCCACATCTAACAAACCTGCAGAGAAATAAAGGGACAACAGAGGGAGATAGTGAGGGTGGGGGGAGACGGAAGCCTGTGTGATGTGTGTGTATCTACATAGAGATGAGGAAATAGAGAGACAGCAAGGGAGCGATGGATCTGCAGATATGCAGCAAAAAATGCAGGAAAAAAGAAAGATAAAGATGGACTCACTAAGGGGTCAGGATTTACAGTGGAAAGATAGAGGGTGCCGGAAGTCTGGCAAATATCTTTTTGTCAACCATTACAATCAATAATTAATAGAAATTCATTGCCAATTAATTACAATTACATTTTGCAAACTGGATATATATATATATATTAGTGCTGTTAATCGATTTTTAAAAATTAACTAATTAATCACACTTTTTTTTAATTAATCGTGATTAATCGCATTTAAAATACTGAAACTTGTAATTTTGGCTATTCAAATGTACAATTAATGTAAATGCAAGACAAAAATATTTAAATTCAAAATATAATTGTTTATTCAAATTTTTATTAAACTTGTAACACAGATTTTTTCATGTAAACAACAAACCCACAATAAACCATCAAGATCCTGGCTTGACATATTTATTACAGAAATAAAAAAACACAGGCATGTTAATGCCATTTGAATTTCAAAAAAATCAATGCCAATAAAGAAAATTTGTATTTGTAAATGCACAGAGACTCCAGGATGCCCGCAAATGAATGATAATCTCCTGGAAATCTGCCAAATGATTATATACAGTTGTTGTTTAACAGAGCAAGGAAATTTTCACAGTATGTCTGATAATATTTTTTCTTCTGGAGAAAGTCTTCTTTGTTTTATTTCAGCTACAATAAAAGCAGTTATTCATTATTTTAAAGCGTTTTTAAGGTCAAAATAATTAGCCCCTTTAAGCTATAATTTTTTCAGATAGTCTACAGAACAAACCATCATTATACAATAACTTGCCTAATTACCCTAACCTGCCTTGTTAACCTAATTAACCTAGTGAAGCCTTTAAATGTCACTTTAAGCTGTGCAGAAGTGTCTTAAAAAATAATCTAGTCAAATATTATTTACTGTCATCATGGCAAGGATAAAATAAATCAGTTATTAGAAATGAATTATTAACACTATTATGTTTAGAAATGTGTTGTAAAAATCTTCTCTCCATTCAACAGAAATTAGGGGTAAAAAATAAACGGGGCTAATAATTCAGGGGTGCTAATAATTCAGGGGTTCTAATAATTCAGGAGTGCTAATAATTGTGACTTCAACTGTAATTGTGCTGTATTCTGACCAACCTGCTCCCTTGGTCGCAAACCTAGTTGTGATTTTGCAGCATTTTTCTGCTTCTATGGCCAGGGCTTTTCTTCTTTTCATGTGCTCCCTCTCTGCTCCTCCTTTCTGTTTACCCTCCGTGTTTTTGGCTGACTGAAGTTGTAGCTGGTATAACTTTTATGCAAATAGCTAATCAGGCAGTACGCCGCTGAAATGATTGGACCTTATGGTATTCGCGATCGCCTGATTCATGGTTTGAGGTGTCCATCAAGCTGCAAAAAGCCTATGGCATGTCGAGGTGAGGTAATCGACGGCACATTAATTCTTTTATACTGAAACTTGCCTTTAAAAAGTGCTTCCTTGGCCTTATCCATGTTTCTTTGCATGTTAAACACGTCCAACACAACAGGAAGTAATAAAAAAAATGCAACTGCGTTAATTGCGTTAATTATTTTAACGCGTTAATTATTTCAAATTAATCACATGCGTTAACACACTAATTTTGACAGCACTAATATATATATGAGCAATATCACACTTGTAGCTGTGCGATAAGGCTGTATATCGGCATGGGTGGAAGGCGTGCCTTAGTGTTCCACTAGTAACGTAGCCAACCCAAGCTCATTCTGAAAACATAGCCCCGCGGACAATTCTGGAGACCACGTATTATGTGGCCGGAGGTACATATGGCTGCATTTTATTTTTTTAAGCGAATGCTACGAGGCGGTGTGACGCCGCTCCTCTTTGCGCTTACCGGCTGACGGCTCACCTCCATGTGAAGGGTTTTCCCACCGCAACCAGTTTGTCCGGTTAGCTTGTCATGTTACGTGGGCTGAGCGGAGACCCGGAGGAGAGCCGGCTGCGACGGTGGCGACGACGGTGACGACCGTGTTTGAGTCCGGGGAACAGCGATTTAAGAAATCAGGTAAAACAAAAACAGAATCCCAAAAATAAAGTGAACGAGTTCATAACAGGGCAAGAATGTGGTTAAATCCGAAAACACGGTCAAAATCAGACAAGGGCTTTTCTTTTTCTGGACAGCTTTTGTAAATCGTTGGTTGGGCTTAGGGGAGGAGGAGGAGGAAGGTGGGTCGGCCGATTGGCTGGCCGCGGGGCTACGTTTCCAGAATGAGCCTGGGTTGGACGTAGCAGTGCAAAATGGCTGTATATCGAGTTTGATATTGCGTTGATACAACAGGGCATAATCAGGTGTATAAAAAAGCAAATCAAACACGAAGAGTCTAAAAACCCCTTTTGTATGAGGAACTACTTTCTTCCGCTACTCAATCACATCTGCAGCTGACGTCAGAACAGCAGAAACCGTTACTATTTCACCAACAACACTTTAGAGCTAGTATTTGAATGATTCAATAAGCATAACATCTAAAGTTATGTCTAAAGCTGATTTTGTTCACATTTTAGGATTTTAAAGCTGAACGGCATAAAATGCCATCAGTCTACAGTGATTTCCCAGTGTTTCTTTGTTGCAATTGAGAGATAACAATTTAACCCAGAAAAAGTCAAAGCAGCGCAAACTCTATCAGATTACTGTTGTGTTTGCGATAAGGAAAACTGAACTAGTCTGCAGTAACGAAAACAGGAGACTGATTAGAAGCAAACAGATGACCAACCAAAAAGTAACTCAAGTTTATATAACAGTGGTCAACACAAAATACACATTTTCCTAATAAGTGTCTCATCTCACACTTAATACAATACAATTACTATGGTATAAATACAGCACTACAACATACAAAAGAGAGAGATCGACTCAGAAAGTGACTTAAAAGTTTAATGATGATTTGATCAGCTGTACAGAAAATACGCTGTTTTTTTTTTTTAGGGGATTTTCACATTTATTATGACAGGACAGTAGAGAATTCAGACAGGAAAGCATTGGGAGCAGAGAGAGGGTAAGGATCAGCAAAGGACCCCGAGCCGAGAACCAAACCCAGGTCGCCGTGGGTACGTTGGCGCTACACGTCAGCGCGCAGTACCACTAGGCTACTGGCACCGACTGTTCTTCTTTTCTAAAGCCTGATTATGTGGTCTCTGTGACAATCTTTTGGCTGGGAGTCAACCGTCTTCGCTTTGCTCAATGACAGCCTAATGGACGCTGACACGATGTCTCTCCAAAATAATAAATATTTAAAATAGGCACTATCCTTATAAATAAACTGCATAGTTACAATCTGAACAACTACATTCTCAACAAAAAAAGCCTCAAAAGTACAGTATGTTTTCCAACAGCAGCAATGTTTGTCAGACTGTAGGGTGTCCTTTCCTTGTCCCTGTATGGGGGCGGAGCAATACCAAAGACTATGGAATACAGGACGGGAAATAGTATCAAATTTTTTATAAAAATATGCATTTCTAGATTTATTTATTCTGGGTTTAACTATATCAGTTTATTTATATAAACAAATTGTAAATATATAGTAATAATACAGACGAGATAAATAGAATATATAGAATTAAATCTTAATTTACAGAAATATAATATTTTGATCTTATGCACACCAAGGCTGCATTTACTGGATGCACACATTAGTAAAATGATATTATTACTAATTAGTATATTAATAAAAAAAACAAGATCTCTCTCTTTCTTTTAAACATTTTAAACCTATACAGTAGCCATTACTCTAGTGTTTATAGTCATATGATCATCGCCAAATAACTGTGTGCCTATTAAGTGCTGAAGAAATGTCTTCAGTGCCACTTTTGACCAATGTAATACACAAATGCGCCATAGAAAAATAAATTTTTAAACCTAATTTCTTTCTCTGTTTTTCTTTATTACAGAATGACAGTCATCATTCTTCTGATATAAGGAAAAGAGAATTCAGGAACTGTGATAACGGGACAGGTATAGAAACAATAGATCAGAGGAAGAGGAGGGTGGTGTTGGGCCGGGGGAGGGTTTCTGTCATGGTTGTAAGCGGGTGCCTCCTCCCTCGTCTGAGGGGGGCAGCGGTGTGAGAGTAACAGGGCTATGCTCCAGTTAGCTGCTGCCAGCAGTGTGTTACACAGCTGATTATATTTAGCAGAGACAGGGTGGGACCTCCCGAAATCAAACCCCCACTGTCTCAGACTTACAAACATACCACAGATAGACCACCAATTAGACAGGGAGGGGAAATCCCATGAGAGGGGGATCCCATGCTCACAGGCAGGACTTCAAACAACAGAGCACGCTTTTGATATCACATGTGCACCATAGCACTACTACAGTACAGCACATCACATGCACACAGATAATCACACCGGAGTGTCAGTGAAACAGTTTAAATGTGCTATAGTAAAAGATGTGAACATGGCTTTGAAAATCAGTAAGTGTTGTGCAATAATGACTACAATGAAACCCTCTCACTCTCTAAATAAAATTAAAAGCTAGATGAGTAGAAAGAAGGACAAGATGTAGAACAAAATGTTTTATGTCTGACAAACAAACTGTGTTTTATGAGCAAGAATCCTTGTTCATTTTAACTATTATAAGTACTGTATGTGTAAACTATTAGAACATATACTCTATATGAATGCTTATGTATATATTAACATAAAAAACTGATTAGCTAACTACTAAACTAAATAAAATTGTAGTTTCTATTTCAGTTGTTCTACAGATCTGTTGTAAAAAGGTTATTATTATGCTACAGTTTTATTAGTGTTTAGTTTGACACACAGATAATATAATTTCATCATATCTTAAACTACTTATGTTCCTTTTTTGTTTGCTGACTATCGGTTTAAGTGCAGGTGATATATTGTTGCCAGATATTACTATATAAAACAAATATTCCTTGAAACCTTCAACACAATAACTTAAATTCTTACATTTTACAAAGAAACAGAATCACCCTAATTGCACCCTAATTACTTTATTAAAAATTTAAGATTATAATTTGACACAAGTTCAATGGCATGACAGTTCTAAAACTATATCTGGCAACATGGGAGAGTGACGGCTGCGCCAGCCCCCTTTAAAGGGATAGTTCACCTCAAAATGAAAATTTTGTCACCATTTATTCTCCACTTGTTCTAAACCTATTTGAGTTTATTTCTTTCTTTAAGTTTGAAATCTATAACCATCGACTTTCATATTTCGACTTGTTTTTCCTACTACACTACCTGAAAAAGCCATCAATCCCAGTTTTAAGAGCAACAAATAATAACTTGACTTCTAGGTGATAATTTGGAAAAGTGGCAGAAGGCAGATTTTTCAGATGAATCATCTGTTGAACTGCATCCCAATCATCACAAATACCACAGATGACCGATTGGGACCAGCATAGACCCAAGATTCTCACAGATATCAGTCAAGTTTGGTGAAGGAAAAATCATGGTTTGAGGATATATTCAGTATGGGGCGTGCGAGAGATCTGCAGAGTGAATGGCAACATAAACAGTCTGAGGTGTCAAGACATTCAACCCAGGCTTATTCTGAAAACATAGTCCCGTGGACATTTCTGAAGACTGCGAATTATATAGCCGGAGATAGGTATGGCTGCATTTCATTTTTTAAGCAAACGCTATGGGGTGGTATGACGCCGTTCCTTTTCTTAACGGCTGACCGATTACCTCCATGTGGAGGGTTTTTCCACTGTAACTAGTTTGTCCAGTTAGCTCGTTGTGTACGTCGGCGGACAAGAGTTGCAGAGAGGAGTTGAACACGACGACCGGGTTCGAGTCCGAGGAAGAGCAGTTCCAGAAATCAGGTAAGACAAAAACAGAATCCAAAAAATAAAACGAGCAAGTGAATAACAGGGTGAGAATGTGGTAAAATCCAAAAACGTGGTAAAAATCAGACGAGGGCTTTACTTTTTCTGGTCAAGGTGCTTCATGATTGGCCAGCCCAGTCACCAGACATGAACATTATTGAGCATGTCAGGGGATAAAGGAGGAGGCATTGAAGATAAATGCAAAGAATCTTGATGAACTCTGGGAGTCCTGCAAGACTGCTTTCTTTGTCATTCCAGATTACTTTATTAAGTTATTTGAGCGATAAGTGGATGAGGTCCTCCAAGCTCACAGGAGACATACACAATATTAATTCTTTTTTCACTGCACCATGACTTTATATTCTGTACTGTACATTATTTCTGTTAAGTGACAAGGTACTTTTGTAAATGTTGCAAAACCTTAAGTCCAAAGTCAGACCTTACTGTCCTAATTAAGTCATTAAAAATCAAGGCATGATCATACTTTATTTTGATAAAAAAAGCGTAATCTAGAGGTATTGATATGAAATGATCAACTAGAAGTCAAGTTAATCTTTGTTGTTCCTAAAACTTGGATAGGCGACAAGACATTTGTCAGGTAGTGTATGGGTGTTAATGGTTATAGGTTTCCAGTTTTCTCCAAAAGATCATATTTTGTTTTAAAAACAATGTCATAAAGGTTTATAACCACTTGAGGATGAGCATTTTGAGGTGAAATATTCCTTTAAAAGTTCATTTATTCAGCTGCTGTGAGTTAAGTGGCATAATTGTAATTTTTATTCATGTAAAGAATATTTTTATACCATTAAAATTTTAACATACAGCTAGCCATTTAAATACAGTAATGTGTGAATATCACACCGGTTTTACAGAAAAGAGCAAAGATAAGCTTTTAACCTCTTCTGTTCCGACATCATTGATGACTGCATAATTAATCAGACCTGAACATGACCTCTGATCTGAACAGCTGTGGTGTGTAAGGCCTAGATTTGTTACAGCCAATCAGCTTTCAAGTAACACGCAGCTATGATGTCACCAGTGTAAATGCCATCCAATCACATGTGATTTAGCAGTGCGAAAGCAGAGAGAGATTTGAGCAAGAAGCACTTGTCGGCATCAGGACTCAAGGGACTTACTTTTGATGGAAGGGGCAGGACGGATGCTGCGCGAGTGGAAGCTGTTCCTCCAGATGACCGGGACGTACTGTGGACATGCAGAGACATAAACAAATGTGAATGCATACAACGTGACTGAAAATCAAACTCGTGCTTTGGACTAATGAAACAAGTTAAATGCTGATTATAATAGATTATAATAATGCTATTCTGATTGGATATGTCTGTGAGTGCACATCATCAACTGAATAGCAAAAGTGGTATAGTGACAGGGGGTTAATGGGGACATTTTAAGAATAAACTTTTAAATAAAAAAGAAATGTAAGAAAAGTAATAAAAAACCTACGTAATGAATTAAGAATTATACAAGGATTAATAATATATATGTAACGTATAGATACAAATGCAGCTTGAGACATTTATTAAAGGTGTAATAAGAGATCTAGGAAAAAGCCTGACAGCACTAAAGTCTTACTCTGCTAATCGCCATCTAAAACTACAACCAGGGCTTAATTTGTGCCGGAACAAGCCAGATCCTACACAGGCAGAAATCTAATCTGACACCCCCTTCCTGCCATGCTCTTCACTTCCTTACGTGACTCGTTGACTCTCTTCACTTTCTTCAGTGCCAACCACCTCCTCACTCTTCTGTTTCATCCGTGACTCCTCGACCCTCTTCATTTTCGTCTGCGACAACCATCCCCCCGTTCTTCACTTTCTTCCACAACTCCTCGACCCTCTTCACTTTCGTCTGCGACAACCACCACCTCACTCTTCAGTTTTGTCCGCAACTCCTCAACCCTCTTCACTTTCGTCTGCGACAACCCCCGCCTCCCTCTTCAGTTTCATCTGCGACTCCTCGACCCTCTTCAATTTTATCTGCGACAACCACCCCCTCACTCTTCAGTTTCGTTCGCGACTCCTCGACCCTCTTCACTTTCGTCTGTTTTTCGTCAATTTACAAATTGAGCACTGGCTACAACTCAAGAATGTGCGCCAGACAACATCACTAAACTACATTATGTAACATCCACCTTTATAATACAGTAGTATGACGATGCCAAACTTTTAAAATTAGTTAGGTTGTAGGTGTTTGTCTGCAATTCTCTGTCTAAACCACATTTGTAAACATGACAAAACCTTTTCTGCACAAACAAGGTGCACAATTACATATTTCAACATGTAGGTAAGAACGGGCTGAACATCTTGATTGGATGAACCTTTTTTGGTCCTACATCTTCCACAGAATATCTACACATAAATATATTTGGACCACATTATATTTTTAATTTTTGCTATCATGATGTGAAAAGACTTTCTATCAGCATAACAAAATTTGCCGCTATTGCACCTTTAAGTCAACAAATAAGTAAAAGACAAGATTTAGACTTCAGGAAAAAAAAACATAACAGCTAATATAAAGCATACAAGCAACATTCACTGACTGACAAACACTGACTGGAACAGAAGGGCTTAAATACTGGGCAAATAAAAGGGCTGGCAAGAAAAATGGGTTAACAAGCGGGCAGAGAGAAGGACTCACTGGGGCTACTAAAAAGGGTAACCATGACAACTAACATGGGTGTGGCACAGAGTGAGCACAGGGATAAACAGAAGCCAGGGAAAACACAAAAACAACACAGGGAAAGCAGGACTGTAATCATAGAAGTAAATTACTAAATAATTGCAATTTGTGTACATTTTTACTCATTATATAATTGTATAGAAAAAATACATATGCATATATTCTATACATATGTATAGAAAATTAGCTGAAAAATCCACATAATAATAAAATTACATAATTAAATAAATAAATAGAAAATAAAAGACTTTTGATCAGACATCTCAGATGTTTAGACAAACCCATTATGTGAAAGATTATGTGCATTTTAGTTCAGTTGCATTTACATTGAATGAACTTTGATGTGATCAATTCTCTGTATGGTAGGGTTGACCTGTGCCTCAGCCCTCACAAACTGATAGGTGTGAACAAAATCAGTGTTTCTCAACCACGTTCCTGAAGGACAACCAGATCTGCACATTATTTATGTCTCCTCCAACAAACACACCCAATTCAGATCATAAGCTCATTAGGAGAGACTGAAAGAGCTGTAATGAGTGTGACATCGAAAACATGCAGTGTTGGTGGTCCTCCTCGAATGTGGTTGAGAAACAATGAAGTAAATGACCCTTTTACGATAGGTGTGACCCTTTCACAATCTTAATGGGTATAAGCAAAACAAAAAGCTGAAACATCTGATAAGAGGGTCCTGCTGAGCCTCGTAAACACAGAATGATTTGTTTGAGGCTAGTATAAAATACTGTCCCTCAGACAGTACTTTGGGTTAAGCTACTTGAGGACCGGCGAGTTAACATCACTGCTGAGGAACTGTCTTCAATAAAGTCTTCTCCCCGTAAGAACTTTGGTCAGCTTACTTATGTATTAGAGTCATCTAATACATTGGCAAGCCACCCAAGAACAATTAAGCCACATACAGCAAAATCTAGCATGTGCCATCCTGCTATTTGCTTGTTATTGTAAGCAGTTTATTAATCTTACTACATTATTATATATTTTTACTTTCAAATTATGCCATTTTATGAAAGGAATAAACAACATAACAACGTGTTATTTTGATTTTAAAATGCTAAATGTTATATAATTTACTTATCACAACCCCAAAGGTTTGGTATTGTAAATATTATACACATGTTTCCTATATTTTTATGACATATAAGTGTAATCATAATTGACATAATATTGTATTCGTTACTCAAATCAATTACTTTAATGTATTGCTGCAGTGGCAAAGCTTTACGTTCTTTTAGTGTCACGTAATCCTTCAGAAATTACTCTAATATGCAGCTCTGTCGTATAAGAACATTGCTAATTTTCTTATTCTTTTCTAAAATTAATTCATAAACAAAAAGTTAAAAAATATATCATAAATGTACATCATAAAATAAATAGATGTAATAGCCACTTTTGGTAACTGAATGCCTATATACCGAATAAAATTATTCTCTTTTTTAAAAAAAAACATTACAAGTTTAGTGCAAGTGCAAAATAAAATCACAAAGGAAGAGTCTTGAGTAAGTAACAGATCAGAATGCTAGATAAAGGAGTGGTGCTCTGTCCTCACATCATCTGTAGGGAATTCATGCTCCATCACTCTGAGCTGAGGAACATTGGCCTTGATACTGGAGGACTGGGAAAACTCCCTCATGTGCTTGTCCTGAAAGCAAGCAAGACACATGTTGCATGTCACACACACATACATACACAATTCCCAATATGCACAATCATAAATGCAAGCACTCACCAACTTTTCCTGAGCCACAAACAAATCCTGATGAACTTCATTAATTATGCTTTCCACCAGAGACACACTCACGGACAGTTTCAGTTCACTGAGAGAGAGAAAACAGTAAAAAATATAGATATTTTTAGGAAATAGTACTGTTATATATGGGTATATATCAATAACAGTTTTTTTTCAAATGGTATATTTGTATTAATTTGCTACTCATAGACATACATCACAAGATCTCAAAGGTCATAATAATGTAATATGTTCTGAAACAAAAAGTCTAATATAGCCAAAAATTGTGATATCTTGTGTTCCTAATCAGTAAGTGTGCACTTTCAATGACAAACAATTGTGAAATGTACATTTTTTACTGTTCTTCCTTTTTTAATTTATTCATAAAAGCCCAAAATTGTAATTTTCCAGGTAATAACAATACTTTTTTTAAAAATTGTTTTTATCCTTGAAAATGTCTGTCCATACCATGCCATTCTGCTATCACAATATTAAAAAGAAAGCTGAATTTATGAGAGGGGTCTGGATGCAGACCTAACGCAGTGCAATCTGAGCTGCATCCAATGCTTTTTAAAGGTTCAAGACACCCTGAAATACTTTTTTGAAATCTTAGACGATTTGTGTGTGTTGAGCATCAGTTAAGACAATATTAGCACCTGTCATCTTTAATTGTGGGGTAAACTAGATTATTTTGAGCTTTTGTCAGCTAAATTCATCTTCCAGGTTTAAAATAAATTTTGGGGTGGGATCAAAATCTGTGACGTAGCGCGAATCTGCAAGTGGAGAGATGATGCGTTATCTTCCCTTTCTTCAGTTTTCTTTTCCTATGAGAAGACCCTGCTTCTAAATTACTCATGAGGGCATGTGCTTTCCGAAGGCGAGACAGACCTGCCAAGCTATGTGACCCAATGGGTGGGTAGAACCACGTCCATGCACGGCAGGGTTCGTATGTGTGTTTTTTCATGATCCATGGGGTTTGTTGCATGTGTTTCCATGCAATTCTGTCAGAGTCGATACAGCAAAGCTGTTGGTTTGCAGCAAGCATGTTTGTCAGGAGAGCTGTACAAGAATCGAAGAATGGTGGACTTTGTCTTTTATCAGTTGAGTTTGATACCTTTCAGACACATCACCTTTATTCGTGCTGCCGTGTTCGCCTATGTTTAAAATCCTCCAGATTACTGGCAGGGTTAATAGTTAAAATAGACAGGGCATGAGTCCTACTGCACTGCTATCCACTGTGTCTGCATTCAGACCCAGGATTGAGGAGGAGAGAAGTCCTCCTCATTTATAATGTTTATATAAACACGATTACCTTTATAATGATATAACAAATCGTGGTTATGTGTAGGCCTAAATGAAATTATGAATAACAAATGTAGCAGGGCTACAGTAATTTACTGTATTACTCCTATTATATTACAAACCAATTTACAAACCATTACTCCTCATGGTTTGTGTCTCATTTTGTGAGTCAACTCACAACAGTTGTTCGCTCCCCTCTTTCTCCCCTGCTCTGTCGGCCATGCCCACTCCTCCTTCTGCTTGCAGCGCTCAATGCCCATCTCGGAGCATTTTTTGAAAAAAATCTGAGGTAGGCTTGAACCGAAAGAGTAAGGTTTCATGGCCCTTTAATGAGCTCATCTAACCCCACCCCTAACCCTACCCTTCACAGTGACATCACTAGCTCCATTGGCTGCATTGTGTCTGACATTGCATCACAAAGATATATGCAGTCTCAGCTTGCATCACCAAAGCTGCATCCAAATACTATTGGAATTTATCATTGATTATACAGTGGGTTGTTTAATACTCTTTTAAATCGTGATTTCATTTGTGCTCTAAACAGTTATGCTAGCAAGTGGTTGTTTTTGGCAAAAAAAAAAAAGTATGGAACAAAATTGTAACAAAGTTGACAAACAATACTATAAAGAAATCGGTTTTGACATTTTGAAATGTGAAATGTGTAAAATCCCCCATATACAGTAGGCTATAGTAATATGTCCCACCTAAGTTTGTTTCTGATGCTGTTTTCTGCCTCATGCATCGTGTTCTGAATGAAGTGTGCAGCCTGTCGGGTCTTCTTGGCCACTCGATCTGCCAGTTGTTCATTAACACTCGACCTCTGGACGACTCTGGGACAGGTCAGCTGTGCAGACTGCAGCATTGCCGTCGCCAGTTCCTGCACAGCACAAGAAAAAGCTCATTTCTAACAAATAGAGCTTCACTAAAACAATAAACATAATGCACTTTCTATCTATACAGTGAGTTTTGTTTGCAAACACACCCCCAAAACAATGAAAGCAAACTTCACCTGGATGTCCTCGGTGATCTCACTTCTGAGGGCTGTAGCAGCGTCATTGAGGATGCACTTCAGCATGTGTCCACTAGACGGCGCTCTGCCCAACTCATACAGGGTTGAGAAAGACTGAAGGGAAAAGGCCAAATGTCAAACATCAGGAGAATATTTGTTTAGTCACATCACACAAGCAAGATTAAAGCATTATTACATTTTGTTGAAATTTAAAACAAACAAAAATATATATTGTGGTGGTTCATTCCACTGTGGCGACCTAAGTCTAAGGAAAATAAATGCATGAAAAAAAGGATATTGTATGCAGTGAATTTTCATGTGTCTCATCATATTATACTCATTATCGTATGGTTTTACTAGATGTTTAAAAACATGTGATATTACTAGATACAAAATATTAATATCTATTGATATCTATTACAAAATGCTACATATATTATATTATTACATATTATGAGGATGTTCTGGTAATTTTTGCTTTTTTAACCATATTACATACAAATTATAGTATATCATATATAATCGATATATCATATATAACAGATGAAATCTAGAAAACATTTAGAAAAATTCAATTTTAAAGAAAAAAAATCTAAACATTTATCCACCTATAATTAATTAAAAGATCAAGGATATTTAATTTTACCAAAAATGTATATTTAAAGGAAATGCATTTTTAAACGTTGTGATAAAAAAATAATAATAATAATAACTGTAAATAAGTAAATGATTTCAAAAAAAAAAATAAAAATCTTCACACTAAAAAAATCTGTTTGCTAAACAATTATTTGGGGAATCAATATTAGTTCTTCTATGTCATCATTTTAATAAAACCCTCATTGGAACCTTACATTTAAAGAGTGTAGAATGATTTCTGAATTCAAAGTTTATTTGTTTAAGTGAGTACAGACTGTGAATGATTTCTGAAGAATCCTGTCACTTTATACTGGAGCAATTTTACTTCTGTCTAAAAGTGTAAATGTATCAAAGTGATTAGTCTTGAATGTGTACTGTTGTAAAGCATGTAGATGTGTAACCTCATACACTTATGGCTGTCTTCGCATGTTGAAGCGCCTCCTCAGCAAGCAAGATGTCCGACTGAACCTCTTGTATGTTATAGCAGGTTAAAGGATGCACACTTTCCTGTACCTTTTTACACAGATCCTGCACTAACTGAGCACAAAGAGAAGGAGGTAAACATTCTCAGTATGATCTGAACCCTTAATATGCAGAACTAAATGGATAGTTCACCCCCAAAAATAATTCTCTTATAAATTACTCTGCCTCATTCAAACCTCCAAGACCTTTATTCATCATCAGAACACAAATTAAGATATTTTGGGTGAAATCTGAGAGACTGATATACAGCAATGGTCCTGACTCATTCAAAGTCCTGAAAAACACAGCCACAAACTGCCAAAACAAACTATGCATCTTCAGTGGTTCGAGAAATACCGCTATGAGAATACTCTTGTCTGCATAAAAAAGACTTTATTTAACAGTTTCTTCTCCTCAGTGTCAGTATATTGCGCATGAGAACACTGTATCAGAATACCCACATGTGAATTTCTATGTTTGTAACACAGCACAGATTAATCTGAGGTAAATGTCACTAGCAAAACTAAGCATGACCTGCATAAAGAATACACCAATCTCGTTAACCTGCACAATATACTGACACTGAGGAAAACTTGGTAATTTCTGTTTTAATCGTGCCCACACATGTAATCTTGTATCTTAATATTATTTCATTTGAACCACTGAAGGCAAATATATGGTCTGTTTTGAGGATTTTTTTGGTATTTATTAAGATTTTGATTAAGTCATTGTTGTTTATTGATTGATAAAAGAGCTCTCAGATTTGAGCTTAAATATCTTTAGTTGTATTCTGAATGCAAATTAACTAATAAGGAAATTAGAATGAAAAGAGTAATTATGAGTAATTAAAATTTTCTGTTTTGGGTAAACTAAACCTTTAAGGTATAAAATAACCAGTTGATAACTGAAATATCCTAACAAACCTGCTCAGAGCGAGTGGTCTTTAGTCCATGTTGTAAATGACACATTTCCTCAGTCATTCCACACTGCCTCTGATTGTTCCTGCGTAAAAAATCCTGGATCTACATATATGCATACGAAAAGTCTCAATTAAAAATTTTGTCATTGTATTTTCCTAGGCTTTCTTTAGTGCAGAACTAGAACTAACTTTCTGTAAAGCCTCCTCTGTCTTCTCTGGGGCGCTTCGATGGGCTTGGAGAACATCGCTCATTGGAATGGAAATGTTTTGTAGTGTCAAGTTCCTGTTTGAACATACATAAGTACACTTTTTTTGTTACAAAAACAAACCCCCTGAAAACCAATAGCCTGTAGGCTTTTATGAGTTACTCTGACTTTTCCAAGGCATTGGCCACATCCATAAATCCTCCAGCAGTCACATTGTTCCGGTCCCAAACCAGTGTTCTGTCAAAAAATAAACACACCTTTTATGAGATTGATAGCGATTGTAAGTATGCTAAATCTGATTTGTTTTATTGTTCCTGGAAGATTGTTTCTGTGAGACAGAAGATACTTAACCTCACCACTCAGAAACAAAGATCCAGAAACCTGTCAAACAAGCTGTAAATCACTGTGAGTGGCAAATTACTTTAGCTTGGTGTTCATCATGAGGGCCTTTGCCAGCATCTTTGCTCCTGTGTCACCTATGCAGTTTCCACTGATATCAATCTTGGACAGGCTAGCGTTGCAGCCCAGGCTGTTAATGAGGATGGTGGTACCAGTTTTCAACTTGGAGTCACAAACAGAGAGAGACTCCAGTGGCTACAAAAGTGTGAAAAGAAAAGCAAAAGATATCAGATTCCACGGAATATCCACAAATCATACACTGCAAAAAATGTTGGGTTTCACACTATCAATTTATGTTAAGACAACATGAAGGAATTAAGTTAACTTATCAGTTTTTACAAATTTAAAAGGATTGAACATAAAACAATTAAGTTGTTTTAAAAAACACAATATTTCTGTTGTCTAACTCATTTTAAATAAGTGGTTTAAACAAACAGCAACCTTCATATTTTAAGTGTATAGTGTAAAAAAATGTATCATGGATGTATATAAACAAAGGTTTTACATAATATTCTTCACCGATTTTCTGCTTAAATATTTCACATTAAATGAGGGATAGTTCACACAAAATAAATATTTCCCCATTATTTACTCAGACTCAAGTGGTGATAAATCTTTTTGAATTTCTTTGTTGATGAACAAAAAACAAGATTATGTTGAGAAAAAAACAGCCATTAGCTATGTTTCCATTCAATTATGCAGATTAGATTTGTGCGTAAAACTGGAATATGCAAATAAAGCACCATCAGTTAGTTAAAGAGAACAATATCGTCACTTCTTGATAAACTGGCGACAAATATCAAAAAGGAAAGTGGAATTTGTTGAGTAGGAGAAGCCACTATGGGCCTTTTTTCTAAAATGCATCACAAAAGGTGTAAGTGAGATGCTCTTTGGAAGCACAGATGCTCAAGACAGTTCTAGAGGTAAATATGCTTAACCACTTTTTTTTTGTTTGTTTTACAATGTGATCAGTCTGCAGGTTTTTTGTTAATGCTGTGATACCATGCCAATTGTTGTTATTACTTGATCTGTTTTTGATGCAGCCGTTTTTTATGTTATCACTCGATTTAATGCATTATCAGTGGTTAACAGCTGATAGATATGGGCAAGTAGGGGCCTTCTGAGCCTACTAGTAATCATCCATTCACATGGTTAATCAGCTATAGACCACATACGTCTGCAGCTGGAGAATAATGAGTTATTTATTAAAGAAAAGTTATTTAATCAATTTCCCATTATTTGTATTTTATTAACATCTGCCCCCACCCCAACCCTAGACCCAACTGTCACATTAATGTAAAAACAGATCTGGATCTGGAGTCTTCTCTATTAGTATAGCTAAATAATAATCAATGTGGATGGAAGATAACAGCCTTCTAAGCCTACCAGTAGTTGCAGAAGGCCCCTACTGGACCATATGTATCAGCTGATAACAACTGCTAATGCCCATTTAATCAAGTGACAACTTTCGAAGCAGGTGTTTTGATGCACAACATTCAATGGTTTGATTTAAATTACACGTTGGAATTCATTCTGTAAATGTGTTTCCATCATAGTTTATGCACAGTTTCTTTTATCGGATAAAACATTTATCCGACTCAGTTGAGCTCTTATGCGCATTTTCAAAAAATATCCAAAGCTTTTCATTTCCATTAAGCATTAATTATGCATATCCAAAATGTGCATAAAAATAGGTGGACTGAAACACTGCAGGTGATATTTAGAGAACAAAAAATACTTGGGAAGTCAATGTTGTTGTTTTTTAACAATCTTCAGTTTATCTTTCTTTGCGTTCAACAGAAGAAACAAACTCAAACAGGTTTGGAACAAATGCAGGATGAGTAAATGATGACATTTAAAAGTTTGGGGTGAACTTTACCTTTAAAGCACATAAAAGGTAAAAGACAATAATGATAACAATGCTAATTAAGATATCGGTAATTATATTTGAGATACAGCCTGTCCCTCCGTTACTCAAGTAAAAAAGTTACAGTAGAGTTTTGTCATTTTAAACTCCTAATTTGGTGTTTTCCAATTGGTTCAATACGTTTAGATTTTTTTGAGGGAAAAACCTGTGTATTTGTTTCTTATGGACATGGTGACCACACGCTACTAAAACAACTCAACCAGGCCTCATCCTCCTTTTGTCAAGCCTTCTGTGGGAGTTCAGAAACAGAGGAACAGAATCACAGCAGTCATTTTCAAATCACTTTTTCTGTAGCATGTTGGCTTAGTGGTTAGCATTGTTGCCTCACAGCAAGAAGATCGCTGATTTGAGTCCTGGCTGGGCCAGTTGGCATTTTTGTGTGGAGTTAGTGTGGCCGTAGTGTATGAGTGCTTGTGAATGCCAGAAAGTATAGGTGTTTAGCAGTACTGGATAGCAGATGGAAGGGCATCCGCTGTGTAAAACATATGCTGGAATAGTGGGTCATTCCGGGTCAATAGGTTCATTCCGCTGTTGCAACCTCTGGAGTAGAGATTAAGGAAAATAAATGATGAATGAAAGCCCCAGTGTGCACTTAACATACACAGAATTTTGCACTGTTTGGAGCACCTAAGCTTTTTACTCATCATAGCACATGTGCTGCTGTTGATGTGACAATAAAAGTGATTTGATTTGATTTGATTTGATTTGAATGTTCTTGTGGGGTGTTGTGGTGGTGCAGTGGGTAGCAATGTCGCCTCACAGCAAGAAGGTCGCTGGTTTGGGCCTTGGCTGGGTCAGTTGGCATTTCTGTATGTACTTTGCATGTTCTCCCCGTGTTGTTGTGGATTTCCTCCGGGTGCTTCGGTTTCCCCCACAAGTCCAAAACCATGCCCTATAGGTGAACTGGGTAAGCTACAATCATAGTGTATATGTGTGAATGAGAATGTTTGGACTCTTCCCAGTGATGGGTTGCAACTGGAAGGACATCTGCTGCATAAAACATATGCTTGATAAGTTGGCGGTTCATTCCACTGTGGAAACCTCTGAATAATAAAGGGACTAAGCCGATAAGAAAATGAAAGAATGTTCTGGTGCATTGTGTGGACACTAGTATTAACAATATTTAATTCTTAATTTATCCTTAGCCATCTTTACATCCACTTATTTATATGCACAATTTAAGATATTGCCTTAAATTAATGCTGGATGGTAACACATAAGATACATGTAACTTCAAATTTTAAATTCACAATTTAAGAGTTCACACTTAGGTATTGCTTGATAATAATAAAAGGTTTGGCATGCAGTCCTGGGAGAGAACCCTAAGCTCGGAGATAATTGAGCCCAGGGCTCCTGCCTGGTCAATGAGCATGTAAGGGGGTACGAGATCAGGTAGTTCTCGAGAGCTCCCCCTGGTAAAGAAGAAACAAAGGTGGAGATGGGGTGGATGAGGGTTTCTTTGGAAACCAAGATAAGGGAGTAGATTTAGACAGGCTTCTTCTAGTGAGTTTGGATTAATCTGATTAGCCTACTAATGATTACAAATGAGAGACCAGCTGCAAATTATATCATGTTCTCCTCTCAAAATTAGTTTGTGAAACTTCACATATTTCATGCAATATTTTAATTTTACAAATTTGAATTCACAACTTTGGATGAAAGCATAGCTAATGTTATCTTTATACACATAACAGAACAGGCGACATGGTGGCTCAGTGGTTAGCGCTGTCGCCTCACAGCAAGATGGTTGCTGGTTCGAGCCCCGGCTGGGTCAGATGCCATTTTTGTGTGGAGTTTGCATGTTCTCCCCGTGTTCGTGTGGGTTTCCTCTGGGTGCTCAGGTTTCCCTCACAGTCCAAAGACATGTGATATACATGAATTTAAATTAGCCGTGGTGTATATAAGTTAACGGGTCATTTCTTTCTAATTGTTAGCAAAATTAACAAATTTTAGTTTCTATACTGTTTTTTTTTTACTTTTAAGAGATGATTCGATTATCTCACATTAAACACATTAGACTGATGAGTTACATATTCTTTATCAACTTTCGTTTATTTTACATTCAGGTCATTTTCATGGGGTCATTAACCTTTGGCTGTATATCTCAATTAAGATTTCTATCAAGGTCTGAGTCTTATTAACTTCAGAAACAGTATCTACTGAGCAGCTCTGGTCGAGAGAGGCCAGAGCTGATCCTTTGGAGAGTATAAATGCTCCTATTAAAGTGGATAAAGTTACATAAAGCTGAAAGTGTGTTTTAATGAGTCCTATCTTTGAGTCAGAGCTGCTTGTGTAATTACTGAGCCCGACCGTGTCCTGATGGAGAGGCATTCTGGGTAATTAAAACTCAAGGCTTGGTGTAGGAATGGGGGGGGGGTGTCTCTGTGGACTTTCTCTCTTTATTGGTCTAGTATTACAGAAGCAAATACACACAGAAGCACACATACCAATCTCTACAACTAAGCGAGTCAAAGACAGGCTCTTCTTTCTCGCAATGTTATACGAGAGCTTTCGACTGTAGGTGGACACTGTGGTCTATTTATGGACATGATCTTATTTTGCAGTAATAACCATATCATTTGAAAGAGCCTGCTGTGAATATGACTATGGCATGGGTGTAATGGAATAATGGGTAGTGTATGTGTGTAGTCAAGTGATTCGTATTATTACAAATAATGTACTCACACACTCCTCCTCTTGAATTAGTTGTACGAGTCGGTGCAACACATCTGTTAGAGCCCTGAAAATAAGAATACTTCATTTGAAAGAAGGCTTTTGAATGATTCATCATGTAAATGAAATTACAAGGAGGAAAATGGACTGAGAAGGAGGGATTTTAAAGGAACACTGCACTTTTTTTTAATAGGCCCATTTTTTAACAACCCTACAGTTAACTTTTGCATCAAAGAGAGGCGCGGTCCTCCAACGTGGTCCCTGGCCCTTACTTATACCACTTTTATTGAGCTGAATTTCACCATTTTTAATTCATTCATTTGATTCAGGTCTGAGAGTAGCACTGTTAGCTTAGCATAAATTATTGAATCGGATTTTATAGAATCGGATTAGACCATTAGTATCTCAACAAATTTTAAAATCAAGAGTTCTGACAATTTTCCAGTGTAAAACTTAATATGAGCAATGATATTATGCACCACTATTACCTACTTACCTATCTGGGGACTATTTTAAGGTGCTCTGTAATCTCATTGCGCCAGCTGCAGCCATGGGTATGCAGCAAAGTCTCTTGATTATTACGCTGGAATGAGAGTATAGTTCCTAGACGTATCAGCCTAGATAATAGCAACTTTTTTTTGGAAAATCTTAGTACATGATGTAACTACAGAAGAGTTAAGCTTTACATATAGGTCTATATCAAGGCTGCGCAAACTTGGTCTTGGAGGGCCAGTGTCCTGCAGATTTTAACTACAACTTGCCTTAACACACCTGCCAGGACATTTCTAGCAAGCGTAAGAGCTTAATTAGCCAGCCCAGGTGTTTCTGATTGGGGTTGGAACTAAACTACACAGGACACCTGCACTCCAGGGACGAGCTTGGGAACCGCTGGTCTGTAGGTTAACACATAGGTTAGTGGCCTAATCCAATTCAATAACTTATGCTAAGCTAAGCTAAAAGTGCTCCTGTCAGACCTGGAGATCAGCTTAATGGGTTAAAAAATGGTAAAACTCAACTCCAGGGGACTAAGTCGATCCCTGAAAAAGATGATTTACTAAATTATTTTAAGTTAAGTGGTTGTAAACTATTTATTTGGGTTTAATTTAAACAAACAAATTGATTAAATTCAACCCATGTAAATTTTGTGCAACAATTTTGCAGACATCATTTTTTTCAGTGTATTTTCAAAAAAGGTGGAATGTTCCTTTAAAGAAAATGCTTAATTTTCATGTCACTAAAATGGCTAAAGTACACAAAAAATGCTTCAAATATGATTCCTTGGATTTACTGCATTTGGTTGTAAACTATTTATTTAGGCTGAATTTAATTAAACAAATTAAGTGGAACATTGCTCAATGTAATTTGTTTGTTTAAATTCAACACATAAATTATTTGCAACAATTTTGCAGACATCATTTTTTTTCAGTGTGTAGTGGGCATGGCACTTACCTAGATTTCATGGCAAAGTTTCGTCCAATTGAAAGGTGTTTAATAGAGTGACTGCGGCCAATGGAAAGAATTAAAGTAACCATATTGCTCTCAAAACCTGAAAAAAAAAAGAAAACAAATTATAAACTGTGATTTGATAACTTCATTTCATTGTAAACGATACTAGTCGTTTAACCCTGTCCAGGCCTCGACCATACTTAGCTGCCAAAAGCAACACATTTACTCCTAATATGCAGCATAACCATGGTATTTTAAACATATTAATTTGTCTTTCTTTACTTTTTGAGGATATGAGTGCCATGTCCTCTATTTGCTTGGACATTTGTTTAGCTTAGTTTTACCTTTTCTCAACATTTTTATTAGTTATTGTTGTTTAGCTACCTGATTGTTTCCAGGTATTTTTGTCTGATTGTTTATGTATATAAATCATGGTGCTTCTTACTTTGTCCTGTGTTTGGTTTTGGCTTCCTTGTTCCTTTTGTGCTCATCTGTACTTTTGCTATGTTTAATAAAATAAAAATATACTGCATATGGATTCTCATGTATGAGTTCAGCTCATTTGCTACATTTACATACAATCAAATAATCAGATAATAATTGGACTGATGCCTCAAGCAAACAGAAAAGAAGGGCTGGTTATACCATGGGTGTCCAAAGTTGGTCCTGGAGGGCTGGTGTCCTGCTGATCTTTGCTCCAACTTGCTTCAACATACCTGCCTGGAAGTTTCTAGTATACCTAGTGAGCGTTTGATTAGCATGTTTATGTGTGTTTCAGAGTTGGAGCTAAACTCTCCAGGACATCGGCCCTCCAGCACTGAGTGTGGATACCCCCGGGATACAGGGTTCTCACTCCTAGCCAAATATTAAAATCCCTGGCTTTCTCTAACTAAAAAGCAGAATTTCAAAGAAATATACAAAAGTCGCAGATATTCCCTGACTTTCAATATCTAAAACAGACCTTATAAAATTCCATTATATTCCAAAACTTCCATGCCCCCTGGGAACCTTGTTGTTAGTATGCACAGATTAAATCCAATATTTGTGCTTTCATCATACCAACTTTCTAAGTCTAATTTCATTCAGCTACACCAGCATCCATTATTTTCTTACAAAAAAGGAACAGAAAAGGCGTTTGTTAATCTACTGGAGTCATATGTATTACTTTTATACTTGATGAATGTGCTTTTTGGAGCTTCAAAAATGTGGCCACAATTCACTGATGGTAAATTTAGCTGCAATTGTGTTTATCTGAAAGAAGAAAGACATTAAGGTGGCTTGAGGGTGAGTACGTCATAGGATAATTTTCTGTTTTGGGTGAACTTTTTCTTTAAGCTTTTGTGATATTACTAAACTACATAATATCTTATCAAAAACGAAAACCTGGTGTATATTTCTTTATTTCATAACCTAAAATGTAGGGTCACTCTAACAGAGTTCTTTACTAAGTGAATCCTTTTATATACCAAAGTAAGACCAAAGTGACAAAGTAAGCTTGCAAACTGGTAAAACAACAGCAATATATATCACACACCTCAAACGCATTTGATTGGCTAAAGAAAGGCCCTAGCTTATCTTACTGTTTACTGAGATTTAAATGATTTATGATTTTTATGAAGAGTCATTCCAGTGATATCTTGTAGAAATCATATCATTGTATGCATACAATTCCATCCAAAAATCCAAAACCCACTAACTGCTCCTGGCTATGTGCCAGATGCTTTTAGGAATGTTGTATTATTGCAGTCATGTACAGTATGTTTTCACCATTTATAATTCAGTCATCTCACTCATTAATTTCACACTGTCATTGGCCTCACTCTCTCATGTTTGTATATGTGTTCAGACAGGTGTGATTGCCCTAAAGCACGCAGTGTGGTTCCAGTGGATCATGTGCAATTCAGACTGACGTGTTGAGCATTTTCTCCTTGTGTAGCCAACACAACAATGAATATGTTTGCTCCGTCTCCTCCTGGGTTATAAAAATAGCATAGCCTGAATGCATCTTCTCCCAGGGTTCTTCATTTTCATGAGCTTATAACTTGAAGGACCACTAGTTGCATCAATTTGTTTTTTATTACAGTCTAAGGAATATTCAGGGTTAAAGATAATCTCAATCATTAACATGTGGCATGTAACTTGTCAATTACCATACAATTGTATTTAATCAGTTTTGTTAAAAAATAATAAAAATACTTGGAGGGTGACACAGTGATTCAGTGACTCAGTGGTAAGAAGGTTATTGGTTCAAGCCCAAAGTGGGCCAGTTGATATTTCTGTGTGGAGTTTGCATGTTCTTCCTGTGTTTGTGTGCGTTTTCCTCCAGGTGCTCTGGTTTCTCCCACAGTCCAAAGACATATTTGGCTATAGGTGAATTTAATAAACTAAATTGGTTGTAGTATGTGTGTAAATGTGAGAGTGTATGGGTGTTTCCCAGTACTGGGTTGTGGCTGGAATAGCATTTGCTGAGTTAAACATATGCAGTTGGTGGTACATTCCGCTGTGGTGACCCCTAATAAATCAGGGACGAAGCAGAAGGAAAATAAAAGAATGAATGTAAAATATTTGGAATATAGAAAGTCTATAGGTTAAAAATCCATAGCATAAATGTGTAGTAGTACTTTTCGTAACCTATTAAATTATTATTTGAACTGTTAAAAATGCTACAAGAAATCAGTATATAGTTTATTTAGACTTAATCTACTGTTAGCAAGAGTGCATTTAGGACGAATGACATTTCACTGTAGGTGGGTCTACTGAGTCTGAGCATCACTAATATAGAAACTGAATGACTGATTGTCTGACTAATTTAGGATAAAACAAATTTTAAGCTCTTATTTTTCACTTTATTTCATCGTGCTTGCTTACTTAGGACAACTGGGATAAAAAGGGAATGACAGTGGGTCCATTAAATTCAGTAAATAAATAAATTAACTTTTTAAAATTATTATTATTACAATCTATTAATTACAATACTTTTGTGAAATATATGATCACTAAACATATGATTAAACAAGATTAAAAAATGGTCCAAATTAGGCTTAAAGAAATAATATAATTTAGTTATATAAATGTGTAATTCAATAAATAATAAATAATTAATAAACAGAAATATAATGAGTAGGAAATCTAACAATGTGATTTATATTTTCTAAACAATTGTTTACAATGCTTACTTTTCACAGAATCAATTGGGACTTCATACAAATAAAAAAAAATCAACAAACAAATAAATAAACAAATACATGAATAAATAATAAAAAGTAAACAATTAAAAATAGAATAATGAATGAATAAATATGTAAATAAATATATGATAAATAAATAATAAATACATAAATAATACAAATAAATAAATACATAAAAATTAAATGAATAAATAAATAAATAAAAATAATGAATGAATGAATGAATAAATAAATAAACAAACAATTTTCCCAAACATTGATTCATTCATTAATTTTCCTTTATCAGGGGTTGCCACAGCGGAATGAACTGCCAACAATTCTGGCATGTTCTACGCAGCGGATGCCATTCATTCCCCCAGGACTGTGGGGGAAACCGGAGCACCCTGAAGAAACCCTCACGAACATTGGGAGAACATGCAAACACCACACTGAAATAACAACTGAAACATCAACTGGTCCAGCCAAGACTCGAACCAGCGACCTTCTTGCTGTGAGGCGACAGCGCTAACCACTGTAGTTCACCCACTTTTCTTATTTTTTCTTGAACATTTTTGAGAGGCACACACACTCACACACACACACACAGCAGGTCAGATAAATGTACATGCTCCTTCTCTCATGTGTAAGTCAGCTCTGATTTATAACCTGATGTGAGCAGAGACCCTGTGAGAGACCCCTTTAGTGCTGTTGTGAACGAGACAGACAGTGAGAGTGACATCATAAATCTGACAGACATGAAGAGGGCTGTTAATAAAGCGCTGTGAAAGAGTGCATAAAATAAGAGACTGTACCGTTGTCAGACAGGTCCAGACTGCTGATGGCCTTGGCCTCGAAGATGTGCTCCTGAATCACCTGAGCTCCAGCCGACCTCAGCTGGACCACAAAATCACACAAGTTAATAAATGATTTATACTGTATTTTGATAGGTGTGCGTGTGTGTGTGTGTGTGTGTGTGTGTGTGTGTGTGTGTGTGTGTGTGTGTGTGTGTGTGTGTGTGTGTGTGTGTGTGTGTGTGTGTGTGTGTGTGTGTGTGTGTGTGCGCGTGTATCTGCACCTCACAGCTGCTGATATCAAGTTCCAGCTCAGATAGATGAGTGTTAGTGGCCAAGCCCTGTAGTAACAGCCTGCAAAATACATTAATAGTTATTAATAATGATAAAGGAAATGTACTAGAATTTGAAGGCTTGAGTAAAAAAAACAACAACAATACAACACATTTAACAATTAATCAGAATAACAAGTATTAATTTTAGTAAAATAAAATCAGTATTCAAATATTCAAAAAGGAAAGAAAAATACAAAAAATCTAACTAAATATAAAGACAGTTTAATTTAATTTTTAACTCTTCTGAAGTAAAATATTAATGTAAACATGTCTGACATACACTCACAGGCCACTTTATTAGGGACACCTGTCCAACTGCTCGTTAACGCAAACTTCTAATCAGCAACTCAATGAATTTAGGAATGTAGCATGGTCAAGACGATCTGCTGCAGATCAACCGAGCATCAGAATGAGAAAAAAAGGTAATTTAAGTGACGTTTGGACATGGCATGGTTGTTGGTACCAGTTGGTCTGGTCTGAGTATTTCAGAGGCTGCTGATCTACTGGGATTTTCTTGCACAAACATCTCTAGGGTTTACAGAGAATGATCCAAAAAAAGAGCAAATATCCAGTGAGTGGCAGTTCTGCACGGTCAAACACCTTGTTGATGCCAGAGGTCAGAGGATAATCAGAGACCAAACCAGGTGCCACTCCTGTCAGCTATAACAACAGAAAACTGAGGCTAAAATTTGCACAGGCTCACCAAAATTGGTAAATAGGAAAAACATTGCCTGGTCTGATGATTCTCCATTTCTGCTTCTGGTAGGGTCAGAATTTGGCATCAACAACATGAAAGCACGGATCCATCCTGCCTTGTATCAATGGTTCAGTCTACTGGTGGTGGTGTAATGGTGTGGGGGATATTTTGTTGGTACACTTTGGGCCCATTAGTACCAACTGAGCATCATGTCAACATCACAGCCTACCTGAGTATTGTTGCTGACCATGTCCATCCCTTTAAGACCACAGTGTACCCATCTTCTGATGGCTACTTTCAGCAGGATAATATGCCATGCCCATGTCATAAAGCGCAAATTATGTCAGACTGGTTTCTTTAACATGACTAAGAGTGTTCACTGTACTCAAATGGCCTCCATAATCATCAGATATCAATCCAATAGAGCACCTTTGGGATGTGGTGGAATGGGAAATTTGCATCATGTTTATGCAGCTGACAAATCTGCAGCAGCTGCATGATGCTATCAAGTCAATATGGACCAAAAGTTTTGAGGAATATTTCCTTGTTGAATCTATGCCACTAAGGATTAGGCAGTTCTGAAAGCAAAAGGGGGTATAACCAAGTACAGTTAAGGTGTACCTAATAAAGTGGCCGGTGAGTGTTTATATAGAAATGTATGACATAATCAAACCTTTAAACAAAACCTTTGTTATTTTATGTTTTAAAAGAACAGCCCCAAATGATGACAACTTTATTTTAAATTTAGAAGAAATGTCCTCAATAGTTTACATTTACATTTATTCATTTGGGAGATGCTTTTATTCAAAGGGACTTACAATTGAGGTAAAAAAAAAAAACAGATCAAATCATCAGAGAGCAGCAGAATATAAACGCTATAACAAATATAGGTTATAAATAAGTAAGTTTAATTTTAACAAATAAAGCCAAAACTTAAATTTAAACATAAATCCATCAGAAACTGAAACGTTTCAAGTGGTCTCTTAATTTTTTCCATTACTTTATATATATTTATATAACATTTTATACATCATATATATTTTAAACATTAACATCTTTAAATATTAAAATAATATTCGAGCATAGGTCTCAAACTGGATTCCTGGAGGGCCGCAGCTCGGCACAGTTTTTCTCTAACCCTAATGAAATACGACTGATCCAACTAATCAAGGTGCTCACTATTGTCTATTAAGCAGATGTAAGTTGAAGCTAAACTTTGCTGAGCTGCGGCCCTCCTGGAATTGAGTTTGAGACCATTGTGTAAGAGGGAAATTAAAAATAATTTGCAATATTTCTATGTGCACAGTATTAATCAGGATAATGCAGATTTCAAGAGTTCACACTAGGCTGATGACTGATAATAAAGTGCTTTTGGCATGCTGTCCCGAGAAAGAGCCCTGAGCTCGGAAGATCCTCGAGCCTGGGGCTCCTTCCCGTTTCATCGGGAGAGAGGGGAGTCTGAGCTCAGGTAGGTCTCGAGAGCTCACCCGAATTAGTTTGTTTGGCCTATTTCTTGATTATTAGGGATTGCCATGGAGGAATGAATCGCCAACTAGCCCAGCATATGTTTATGCAGTGAATGCCCAGTACTAAAACACTCATATACTTTGCCAATTTGGTTTATTAAATTTACTTAAACTGCATGTCTTTGGACTGTGAGAGGAAACTGGAGCACCGGGAGGAAACCCACACAAGCATCCAAAGAACATGTAAACTCCACACAGAAACATCCACTGGGTCAGCCTCGAACCAGTGACCTTCTTGCTGTGAGGCAACAGTGCTAACCACTATGACGCAGTGCTACCCAGGATTAATCTAGGAAATAGGAAAGGGAGTAGGGGTGGATTTTCAAGATGAAGATGACTATAAGATAAGGAAATCTTTTCATTTATGTGCATTTGGATTAGTCTGATTGGTAAATCATACGATAGCTAATGCGAGGGCCATGGTCGATCGTAAGCATGTGATCCTCTCAAAACTAATTTATAAATAAACTTCACCTGGTGAGCCTAATAGACTTCTAAAAAACTTAAATGGCAGTGTACAAAATTAACAAACAGAAGCTAGAGTAAATGTACAATGTAAAAAATCTAATAAGGCATGCTAGTTATAAAAACGGCACAAGCCCCATACCTGAGAGCTTCTGGAGGTAGTTTAGTTCCAGAGAATCCCACGTACTTCAACACAGTGCTCTTGCTAAAGAAATCCCTCACACTGCGCGTGACCTCTCGTACTTTCCTAGCAGAGCCAAACAGATCAGTGTAAACATGCTGTCTGTGCAGAGAAGCTGATAACTCATAATGTCACTTTTGATGGCTCACCTAAGAGAGAACGGGTTCCTGGAGAGATTGAGGTAGTTCAGAGTAGTGCAGCAGCCCAAAGAAAGAGACACAAACAGCTAATAAGAAACCAAAAGAAAAGAAAAGGTCAGCGATATAGTCCCTTTTAAACAAATAACTGTGTCTCATTCCAAGTCTCATGGGAAAATACTGGATGGATATTTTATGCAGTATAAAAGCATTTTAAAGTAAGGTAGGTACGTAGATAAATAAATAATTTTAACCCATTTAGTTTTTTGCTGTTGATTCTAAGACATGAGTGGGTTTATCTCTCCCAGAAGTATATAACACTGAGGGCTTTATTTTACAGATCTAAGCACATGGTCTAAAGGAGGGCTTTTTCAAACTGTGGGGGCCGCAAGACATTGAGGCATGTACTCGAGTAAATTATGGTGATGATTTTTTTGCATTCACTAGAGGGAATAATATGATTACGTTAGCTCCACAGCTAACTATCAGGCACCTGTAGACTTAATGTGTTCCAGGAAAATATATACAAATAAAATAGAGCGGGTGCTTTTAAAAACTAATGATGGTGAATGAAAGAAAGTCCAACCGGTGAGCCGTCTGACAAAAAAGTGCCCTTCTGAAATCAGCAGGATACCCACTTACTTTGAAGACTACTGGCTAGGTTTACATGGACAACAGAAATAGTTATTTGCTTTAATCTGATTTAGACAATAATATAATTACATGAAGTGCTTTTTGAATGCTGTGTCACCAGACTATTCATGTTTCCTGCAGAGTCTCATCTTGGTTGAGTGTATCATTTTCAATTCCCTGACTTTAACTGCAGTTTAACTTTCACTCATGAACATTTCATTCATGGCCCTGTGACAAACTGGGGTATTAGATGCAAATTATTGATACCGCATGTCGAATGGAAAGAAAAAAATTTCTGCATTTCGCAATGTGTGTGTGTGTGTTTGTTTGTTTGTTTGTTTGTTTGTTTGTTTTTGCGGTCCTTTACTGACAGCCGCGTGTGTGGATCTTGTCACAAAATGCAGCGAAAAGTCTTACATGGCAGTAATAGTTTGATTGCGGTGGTTACTTTAATAATGTCACTAATGTGTGCATACTCCACGTCTTAATTCCATTTCTGTTCAGTTCAATTATGACTTTAGTTGGATTAAGGTAATCAAAAATCACTGTTTACATTGTAGACTCTAATCAAAGTATTGTCTTAATCATATTAAAATTGTATTAAAGTATTGTTGCCTATGTAAACTTACTCAATGTTCGACTCAACCACACCGTCAGGGCTCTGCAAACTTGGCTTAGCAAAGCAGCATTTTCTGTTTGTACATACATTAAAAGCAAGTATGTTATGGCTCATGCTTATTAGCAGTGGAAGATGATTTACGGTTAGTCATGTCAGGAATCTGACCACAGTCATGTTGTCCTCACAAAAAGGCTCAGCCATCACACTGAATCAGGTAAGCTATATATTTATGTTTCAATGTAATTAATGCTACGCACTTTAAACACAGCAAGTAATATGTGAATGATGTTTTCGCATGCAATATAATTTTGGCAAATGAAATTTGAAAACCCCTGGTCTAAAGTGTATGGCATAGGTGTGCTTAGGTCTAAATCCATTTATGCTATTTTAAAGATGGGAAAAATATGCCAGGCACATGATCTAAAACGTTTTTAGGTGTTGTTATTTTTTTTTTTGGTGTAACATGCATTAAAAAACAATCTGAGTCTCATCTCCCATTTCCTTTAAGAGGAATAGCATTCACTATTCACATGGTGGACTTCAGTAGAAAAACCAAACACTTCAGTATCAAGAAAACGGATCTGCTCGTGGGCAAAAGTAAAGCGAAACCAGCCATCGGAAAGAGCAGGATTCCACCAAAGCCCCCTGAAGGGAAAATATTTTTTTAATTTATGTAAACTTTTACATTTTTACATATTAATTTAAAGATGTTTATGTGTCCCTGTGTGCAATAAGCAATGTGTACATGCATTGTGAAACCCACCAACAAGCACCTATAACTAAAGCAATCTTCAAAAAAAAAAAGAAAAAACTACGCCATTGACTTTAGACCAGCATTTAGTTGGTCAGTGGTCTATTTAACACACCTTCTTTTCAGACCATGGGCAAACAAATGTGCACAAATACATTTATAAGCTGAAACTAACCAAAAACACTTGGGTCGCACTTGACACCATATTATAGCCTGTATATGATAGGGCGCTGAGAGCAGCCTGTTCAAATCCATCAAATACTTTTTCAGCTTGAACAATAGCTAGAGTTCAGGATGTAGTTACAGTAACAGGCTGAGGCAGAGGGTGTTTAGTGTAAAAATAATAGAAACTTCAGATTCACTTACAAGAATAGAAGCCAAAATTCAATGCCTTGTCAAAATTATGAAGAGACAATGGGGTAAAACTTTGACACATGTTGTTGGTACTTTTACAAGATGGAGGAATTTGAAGCAAGATATGGTATTGGATCTCACTTCTCTTCTCAACAGGTAAACAGAAACTAAAAGTTTGTTACAAAATCCAAAAATACTGCAATGATAACAATAATGTGAAGAAAGCGTGCAGGCATTTCAATAGTTATTAGAAAATTTGCTTTATTTTTGCTTTATTCTGTGAGGTGAAACATTTAACTATCAAATTCGCATTACACTAAACAATAAGTTAAACAAGATGCTAAATGTAATCAGTGGTGGATAGAGTACTGAAAAATCATACTCAAGTAAAAATACCATTAGTAGCTCAAAAATGTAGAGCAAAAAGAGTAACTGTTGTAATTATTACTCCAAGTATGAGTAAACATAGCCCTTTCAAGAGTAGTAAGTAGTGAGTTTTATCCTGTAAAAAGCTGATGTGTTTATGTGTAATTTGTGGATGTGTGTTACATTCCCCTGCAGAACGTACTTTGGGGTTATGTGTGAGGGCGTTTCTGTTTGTATGTGGGTGTGTCGTTTTACGTGTATCACAGGTGCGAATGGCCTTGGAGGACCCACATTTCATAATGATGACATTGGGAGCTGATGCTGGGCTCGAGCCACCAATCCCTGGTCGGCGTATCGTTTAAAAGCAGGCCGATGTGGTTATTGTTTGGTTTGTGATTAATTCTCTTGTCTAAAATCTATTGAGATTGCAATGTGTTTGTTTGTAAACTCGTCTAGCAATTCCTTGGAGAGGGTGTCGAAGTGAGCAAGTCGGGTGATAAATATGTACAACACTCAGATTCATTTTTGTATTATTTCTTTAGGTTCAGGAGAGTGTGCTGTTTCATGTATGTTTTGTGTTTTAGTTAGAATAGTTTAGTTAAGACGTTTGATACTTTGAAGATGTTTCCTTTCATGCTTTTTTATATTTAGTTTAGGTTGTTTAATACAGTTAGTGTGTTTTGTTATATTTATTTCTTTGATTTAAACACGTGGGATATCCAGAGTCATGGTCATAAAGCAGGCAGATGGTCAAAAACAGGCAGCAGACAGGAATAAACAAACAAACAAGGCGAGGGTCAAAAACAAGGCAAACCAAGACAAAGGAAAACGTGTCGTAATGTTCACAAACAGTATAACAAGACTCAGCGGTGAGTGTGTGTGTGTGTGTGTGTGTGTGTGTGTGCGTGTGTGTGTGTGTGTGTGTGTGTGTGTGTGTGTGTGTGTGTGTGTGTGTGTGTGTGTGTGTGTGTGTGTGTTTGAGAGGTGTATAAATGTCTGTGTAATTAGTCCTGAAGAACTTTAGCTGTGTCTGTTTGCAATCATGAGGGATCTAGGCTAGGTGTGTGAGTGAAGTGCATGACTGGAACTTGTAGTCCTTTAGCGATCTGCCAGGATTAGATCGCTAGTGATTGTGACAATGTGTTATGTGAAAACACCCTTAGTTTATAAATAACATCTGAAGGACGTAAAAATGTGTGTGTAAACGTAACATTCTGTAGTGCATTTAGTTATTGTTTAAAGCCATTTCGTCATCTTCTCATCAGTGACATGCAGTCTAAACAGTCTCTGGGTCAATGCGTGTAAAGATTTTGGACATCTTCTTGGGCACTTTTAATGCTTCCATACAGTTTGCTGCATTTATGAATTACCCATTTCTTGTGGTTGTTCATTATGATGAGATTTACTTTCAGTGTGTGATTTTATTGGACAGGAAATACAGGACTGATTTTTAAAATCCCCATAGACAGGAAAATAAAATAAAGTAGTGATTGCATGTTGAAAGAAAGTAGTGGAGTAAAAGTACCGATACAACACTAAAAAATATAAAGTAAAAGTATACAGTTTTAAAACTACTTAATAAATTAAAATGTCTGAGAAAAACTACACAATTACAGTATTTAGATATTTTTACACCACTGAATATATTCCATGTGACTCACTGTGTCTAAAGGACAGTCTGTGCAGCTGAGGTCCAGGTGAGAAACTGAATTTGGAGCAGACAGGAACCTATAGAGGCTCTGAAAGAGACAACAGGCAACATGTGATTTCACTCATTTCTTAGAACAATAGTGCAATGTTGGCAATAAATCAAACCTATGGGACAGAAAGGCAGACGGATGCATTCATGTGAAACCTCCTACAAAAGTAAGACATGGCTTGAGCAATCACAAAAGATTAATGTTCTGAAACAGATCGCTGATTCCATTCTGTTCTATTAAATAGCAGAATAAATGTCATCTGTAAAACATGGCACATTTAGACCAGTGCAACATGGCCAAAGTATGTTTGTAGATGGTTTCTTTTTCATTTTTGTCTTGCATATACTGTAGTGGTCACAATTTACAACAATTTACAAGGTTTCATTTGTTAATGTTATATAATGTATTTACTAACATCCACCAATAATGTTATTATTACTCACATTTCAACATTGACTAATTATTATTAAAATCCGTTATTATTAGGTACACCTTACTAGTACCAGGTTGGACCCCATATTGCCTTCAGAGTTGCCTTAACGCTTCATGGCGTAGATTCAACAAGGTACTGGAAATATTCCTCTGAGATTTTGGTCCATATTTACATGATAGCATCATGCAGTTGCTGCAGATTTGTTGGCTGTACATCCATGATGCGAATCTCCGGTTTCAACATATCTCATAGGTGCTCTATTGGATTTAGATCTGGTGACTGTGGAGGTCATTTGAGTACAGTGAACTCAATGTCATGTTCAAAAAACCAGTCTGAGATGATTTACGCTTTATGACATGGCACGTTAACTTGCTGAAAGTAGCGATCAGAAGATGGGTACACTGTGATCATAAAGGGATGGACATGGTCAGCAACAATACTCAATAGGCTGTGGCATTGACACAATGTTCAGTTGGTACTAATGGGCCCAAAGTGTGCCAACAAAATATCCCCCACACCCTTACACCCCCACCTCCAGCCTGAACCTTTGATCCAGGGCAGGATGGATTCATGCTTCATGTTGTTGTTGCTAAATTCTGACCCAACCATCCGAATGTCACAGCAGAAATCGAGACTCATCAGACCAGGCAAGATTTTTCCAATCTACTATTGTGCAATTTTGGTGACCCTGTGCCAATTGTGGCCTCAGTTTCCTGTTCTTAGCTTACAGCAGTGGCACCTGGTGTGGTTCAGAAATGCACAACATTTGATTTTGGACCATTCTCTGTAAACCTTAGAGATGGTTGTGCATGAGAATCCCAGTAGATCAGCAGTTTCTGAAATACTCCAATCAGCCCGTCTGGCACCAACAACCATGCCAGTTCAAAGTCACTAAAATGCCCTCTCTTCCCCATTCTGATGCTCAGTTTGACCTGCAGCAGGTCATCTTGAACATGTCTACATGCATAAATACATTGAGTTGCTGTCATGTGATTGGGTGACTAGAAATTTGGTTTAACAAGCAGTTGGACAGGTATACCTAATAAAGTGGCTGGTGAGTAACAAATGAAACATTATTGTAAAGTGTTAGCCATGTACATGTGATTTACTGTTAAATAATTGTTAAATAACTAGTTGATAAGTAGTTAAATACTGTTGAATAGTTAAATAATAGAACAAACATAAATTATGAGAGGAGTTATAATGATAACAACAATAAAGATTTTGTTTCTCCATATGTATTTAAAAAAGTAATTATCTAAAGTGATCAAAAGGGAATTTTTTATTGCAGTTTTTCTGATATTATATATATATATATATATATATATATATATATATAAAATATGAGCAGACTTGATGTTTTTCTGTAGGCGTATGTTTAACTCACAGTTCAATTTGCACAATTTGCAGGGTAATGGAAATGCAGCTAAACTCACCATGGCCTCTTCTGTGGCCAGACAGCCAGTGTTTCCACTCAAGTCTAGATGGGTCAGGGTGTTGCAGAGAAATGTGCTTTGATGAAGAACTTGAACCAGACAACCTAGACCTAATGTAACAAAAAAGAGAGAAAAAAAGACCCTGATTTAGCAAGGTATAAAGTCATGGTAACCTAACACAATTTTGTTATCAGAAATTGAATCGTTACTTTTGCAGGCATAAAACAGCATCTTGACATTTATAAAATGACCTGAGAGATTAATTCTGCACCTTTAGAGGACATGGAGACCTTGGAGAGGTGCAGCTGACTCAGGCAACAGGACAATTTGCCCAAACTCTGACTGAGAGCAATCACACCTGAGCACAGAGAAATCATGAATCCAGCATATAATAGAGCAAAAAGAGAACAAATCTCAGAACTGATCCGCACCTTTATCCTCAATAGCATTGACAGACAAGTTGATGATATGAACAGCAGAGGCAGTACTCTCCCGTAGAGCAGTGGCCATCCTGATAGCAAAATCCCTGATTCATGGATTTGAAGAGAATTAAAAACTTATAAAAGACTTACATATATTGGGTAAATGTGTTTAACTTATTTTATGCACACAAGTGTCTGGCTTAAAGGGATAGATCACACAAAAATGTAAAAGCATGTTATTAATGATGCATTCTAATATTGTTCCAAAACCCCAAGACCTTCATTCGTCTATCAAATCCAGATAAAAATAATTTAGATGAAATCCAAGAGCTCTCTCATCCTCCATAGACTGAATAGTCGAGACCATTGCTGTTTTTGAAGGATGAAAGAGCTCTCAGATTTAATCTAAAATATCTTAATTTATGAGTAATTATTGACAGAGCTTATTTCTTTTGGTGAACTCTTTAATGAAACTCACATTTTGAGTCCGCTGGCCTCCAGACTGACCTCTTCCAGAGCACTGGACCTGGCAATCATGTAGAGGACCTGCTCCTGCACATCTGGCGACTGAGAACAAACATACAGCACTTTTAAATGTTTTTAGGACATATTTTCCATTGTATTATTTCTAAATTTCAATTTTTCTTGGACTCCATTTAAATTATATATATATATATATATATATTTTTTTTTTTTTATTACTTTGAGAAGTAAATTCTACAGTACATCAAAAATAGTATATTTCCGTCACAATTTCAAGTTTAAACAACAGTTTAATTTTTAAACTTCTATGTAATCTAACAATTTTTTCTGTGACTTTACATTTGGAGACACTAGTTCACATCTTAGTTGTATTAGATGTACAGCACTTTTGTTAATCAATTAGTCAAAAACCACCAAATTCCATGAGTGAATTTCTCAATACCATCCATGTTTTCCATAATAGAGTCCTACAAACAGCAAATGTTGATCAACTTAATAAAATGATCATTTTGGAATGTGATAAATGTGTTGAGTTGGAATTAGTCTGATTGATATGCAGCAACCAACATCTAAAAGAAGAGGTTTGTTCACTTATTTTAAGAAAGTGGCTTCAGCTCCACCCTTCAATCTTCTGTCTGTTTCTCTCTATCTAAATGAGTTTAGTCTATCATGCTGAGATCAAAGTCACCCTTGAGCATGTTTTGTCATGTTGCAGTCATGTCTCATGGTCAGAACAATAATTTATTATTTGGCAAGTGGCCTGTATCTGACCTTTCCACAGCCAGAAGCGAGTGAAGATAGAGAAGCTAACATGACTGGAGCATAAACAAAAACAGCACTTCTGGTCTAAGTGAATAGCTTTTTCATCAGTATTTATTATTATACATTTCTTTATAAATACTAGTTACAATTCAAAGTTTTGTTTTTCCCACATATTTATTGTATTTTTTTTTTACATTTTCTTTCCAGCTTTAATTTATCTGGATTTTGTTATTTTTTGAGCAATTATTATTATTAAATTGAGCAATTTAATAATAATAATAATAATAGTATTAATACTAATAATAATAATTAAAATAATATTAATAATAACAATAATAATATACATTTAATTAATAACACATTCAATAAGTTTATTTTTCTAGAATGGACATACATACCAGTTTGAAGTCCTTGCTGCATATTTTCGTGAACCACTGATTGAAGGACAAAGCACCCACCGCTAAAGCCAAGTCCCTGTTAAACATTTTAAATGATTTTTAGTAGCAGTAGTTGTAGTAGTAGTAGTAAACTTTAAGGGGCTGTTCACATATCGGGTCTAAAAGACTGTGGAGCGCACGATGTGCGTCACTTTCTTCACCCTTTTCAACACGCTTTGTGCTCACGCTCCATGTCTTCCGTCATTGCCAGGAAGCCATTTTCTAAAAAGATGACAAACTGACCAACCACTGCCGCTCTAACACAGATTTTATGTATGGAAAATATAAATATTCAAGTAAACACAGACTCATTTTGAAAACGTAGCCCTATATGCGTATCTGGGGATCACGATGTAGCTAGAAGTATGTGTGGCTGCATTTTGTCTTTAAAACGAATGCTATGGGGTGGTATGATGCCGTTTCTTCACCGCTTATCTCAGTGTGGACAGATTTCCTGCTGTTACCAGTTTGTCCAGTTAGCTCATCGTGTACGGTGAAGGACTATTCTGGTGTAGAACGTTTACTAAACTAGTTTAAAAAATTAAAAACATTTAAATAAATGTAAACTTCACATTAAAGACTTCTGTGGAAAACTACATTTCCAATAGCAGACAAAAAAATGTAAGTTACACAGTAAGTTAGTTATTGATGATAAAAAATAATTTTAAAAACTTGTATTTCAGCAAGATTTCTGAAGTATCATGTGACTTAGATGTCGGAAATAATAATGCTGACAATTCAGCTTTGCCATAAAAATAATTATTACATTTTAAAATATATTAATAATAGAAAACTACTAAATTTTGAGCTTTTCCACAGAATTTATTTTCATTTATTTTCTCCCCCTCACCTTTTTTTTTTGTTAAATGTTATTCCTAAAGGCTTTTTTGACTCTGAGCTCAAACCTCTGTTTACAGCTCTTACATTTCTGGCTAAGAAATGTATATTACTAAATTAGTCTACTTCTTAAATTCCAACTATTTCCATGTGGATTGCTCAGTTGTCATTCTTTCTTCCATTAAAAAAATTAACCATGACCTCAACCACAAACAGGACAAATTCTGGAGACTTTGGCAACCTCTCCAACCCTTTCTACATAAACTCTGAAATTTTTATTTAAAGAGATTTATGGCTTATTTTGTTTTGTTTTGATTATTATTATTTTATTTTTATTTTTTTAAACACATTTAAAAAAAATTTATTTAATTTGCAGTGCTCGGGGATCGTTTGTTTGTTTGTTTGATTGTCTTTGTTAAATAATAATAATTAAAAAAAGCTATAAACCTGTACTATTATCTTTTTCAAATCAAAATGTTACTGATTTCAGAATTTTTTTAATCAAATAAATGCAGGCTTGCTGAGCAGACGAACAAGAAAATTGAACAACACCAAATCCTTAAATAGTAATCAAATATATAAGTGTCGTATTTACCTGCTGTCTAAATGACTGAAGTCTAAGAGGTTGAAAACCCGGCAGTTCTGAACATGGTAAATATTGTCAACATCCTAAAACAACAAATACATTCATTTTTAAAATCACCATTGCTAAATCTTAAAAAATACCAGAGGACTTAGTAGTGATTAAAACAGACCCACTGAATTTCCGCACAGCAAGGAAACTCATTATAATCACACAATGCTTCATAGGTGTCTGAAAATCCTCCTGTAAAGAATGAGACATAAATAATATCCATGGAACAGTTGTCAACAGCTGATCACAAAAAAAAAACATGGTAAGAGATGGCATTATCATCTGACCACATGGTCCGACTGCGCCGTTCACATGTTCTTCAACTTTAGAGGTGAGATTACAGAGCCGCTCTTGAAGGTCAGGGGGAACTTTCTTCAGCAACTTCCTGAAAGAAAAATACGGAGAGAGGGGTAAAGATATTTAAATAAAGATAACACCAGTGAAACCACATTAGTCAACGCAAACTCTTTTTTAGCTTGCCATTTAGTTTTACACACACACAGACAAAAAAATCAACCCGATGACCACGGGCGCACTTGATAACATTAGACGAGCTCTTCAAATGTCATGCTTGTTCCATTTGTGGGCAGATTAATCTGTTTATAATTTCCAGAAGATGATGAGTCACACTGTGGGAGACCTTGTGGTTTTTTATTACATGGGGAAAAAATGGGAGAAATTTGCCCTTAAATCTGTTAAGGCCATTTACTTTTTATGAATGCAATGTTGTCTCAAATGTATCTTTTGTATTAGATAATAATACTGATCCCTCTGTGAAAGTGATTAAAATGTAATTATCCTTTAAAGTTAACTGTTAACAATTAACATTAAACAAAATTAACAATTAACTGTTATATTTATTTGTTAGTTTGTTAGTTAGTTAGTTTGTTTGTTTGTTTGTTTGTTTGTTTGTTTGTTTGTTTGTTTGTTTGTTTGTTTGTTTGTTTGTTTTTATTGGATCACTCATGTATCAGATTTGCTCAGTTACACTGATTTATCCAGTCCTGAAACAAGTTATTAAATCATTCTATTAAACTGATACACAGAATGTGCCCCAATATTATGCAATGCTTCAACAGTATATATGAATTTTAAGTGCAATTACATGAATATATAAATATATATTGCTCTCTTTCCATTTAATAACCAAGAAAACAGCAGTTATTTAATCATAGCAAAAAGAATACAAGCTCTGAAATGTACAGGCATTATGTCACCAGATTAGGTTATTGAAATTTTATTATAATATACACTCATTGGCCACTTTATTAGGTACACCTTACTAATACCCGGTTGAACCCACTTTTGCCTTAATCCTTTGTGGCGTAGATTCAACAAGGTACAGGAAATATTCCTCAGAGATTTCAATCCATATTGCCATGATGACATCCATGATGCAACTCTCCCATTCTGCCACATCCCAAAGGTGCTCTATTGGATTGAGATCTGGTGACTGTGAAGGTCCTTTTGAGTACATTGAACACATTTTCATGTTCGATAAAAAAGTCTGCGATGATTCGAGTTTTTATGACATGGTGCGTTATCCTGCTGGAAGTAGCCATCAGAAGATGAGTACACTGTGGTCATAAAGGGATGGACATGGTCAGCAACAATACTCAGGTAGGCTGTGACACTGACATGATGCTAACAAAATACCAACAAAATATCCCCCACAGCATTACACCACCACCAGTAGCCTGAACCATTGATACAAGGCAGGATGGATGCATGCTTTTATGTTGTTGATGGCAAATTCTGACCCAACCATCTGAATGTCACAGCAGAAATCGAGACTCATCAGACTTGAATTTTTCAATTTTCTTTTATTAAATTTTGTTGAAGCCTGTGTAAATTGTAGCCTCAGTTTCCTGCTTTTAGCTTACAGGAGTAGCACTGTGAGTGGCCTTCTGCTGCTGTAGCTCATCTGCCTCACAGTTAAACGTGTTGTATGTTTAGAAATGCTCTTCTGCATACCTCAGTTGTAACAAGTGGCTATTTCAGTTACTGTTATCTTTCAATCAGCTCAAACCAGTCTGGCCATTTTCCTCTGACCTCTGGCATTAACAAGGCATTTGCGCCCACAGAACTGTGGCTTACTGGACATTGGCTCTTTTCAAACAACTATCTGTAAACCCTAGAGATACTCAGACCAGCCTGTCTGGCACCAACACCCGTGCTATGGTCAAAGTCACTTAAATAATCTTTCTTGCCCATTCTGATGCCCAGTTTGAACTGCAGCAGATCATCTTGACAATGTCTACATGCCTAAATGCATTGAGTTGCTGTCATGGGATTGGCTTATTGAAAATTTGCGTTAACGAGCAGTTGGTCAGGTGTACCTGATAAAGTGGCCGGTAAATGTATATTTGATACTAAAGGCTTTATCAATCTGGCTATTTGAGAGTTAAAAGAATCCCCTTTATTTTTAGACACATGGCCAAAAATACATTCATGTGTCAATGAACAGATGAGAACTACATAAAGACTTTTAGGATGATAAAACTTAATTTTAAGCTGTTTACACATCTGCAATAAAAAGTGGTGTTTAAAAACATACAATTCATAAACAAACCATTAACTAAGACTATTAGCTCAATAAACTACTATTTAGCTGCTTATTAGTAAATAGTAAGTTAGTAGATGGGTTTAGATATTATGTAGAAGAATAAGATCATATTTTGTAACAGGCTGAATCCTCTGTTAGCTGTCACTTCAATGACTTCAGCTAATCAGTTTTGGACAACATACAATCTGATGTAAGTGAAGTCATCTTTCACTACTGTATTGTTTTTAAATAGAGAAAACATTTTACAAGTAACTTTTATTGTAAATCTTAGACCTTATTCTTGAAACAAAAAATGACCAATAAAAAGGTGTGAAGCACCATATTAAAATTGATTTTGAATGCCTCGTGTACTGTATGTGTGTATGTGTGTGCTTCATCAGCAGAGCCATGAAGATGAACTGAATTTCACTTCTGATCATCCTGACCACAGAAATATCTTCCTGTTACATCTGACCTTTGTATGCAAGATGCCTAAGTAATTCTTGAAGATTTTGTTAAGAATATTACGCACACACCTACGTGGTAATTTTCTAAGTATATCTTTGTTTTTAACCAATCAGGTTGAAACACCTGTATGTATGAAGCAGTTAATGATGTTATGTGAGAGTACGAACACTTTGTGAGTGTTGAAGAAGGCTTCCGCTGATGAAACTGCAAACAATCTTCAGAAAACTTAAATTTTAAAAATGTCAGACTGATCATTTTTGGGTTAAAACTGCAATTTTCCATCAACAGGTACACATTAAATAAATACCTGTACATTTTTGCATGTGTCAGTTTCCATGTATGACATTTACCAAATAAAGTGCCTAATAAAATTAGCATAATAATTTTTCTAATTTAAATGAGAAAAAAAATATTTTATCAACCTGTCAGTTGCCAAAATGCTTGAAATTGTTGTCACACCTTACAATAAGGTTTTATGAGTTAATGTTAGTTAATGTATTTACAGTACTAAAGTAAACAATAAAAAGTGCATTTGTTACAGTAATTATTAAGCTTTGTTAATGGTCATCAAAATGAAGTCATTCATTGATAGCTCTTGTTAACTCACAGTGCATTAACTTATGTTAACAACTAAAACCTTGGATTTTAACCTTTAGCTAATTTTAAACCATTATAAGGGATGGAGGAAGATCCAACATATTTCATTGTTAGATAAAATTTTTAAGCAGCTCTCTTAACCCTCTTCTCTTCAACTCTTCTTCAATCTTCAATCAGTCACCAGCCAAAGTGTGACCTATAGGCCATTAGGCCTCTCCTAAGCTGAGGCCAGGCTTCAGCCTTCTCACTCTTCAGAGACTTTCAGAATTAAGCCAAGTCTCTCTATTCTGGATAATTCCAACTCATAACCTCGCTGGAATGCTGATCAACCGATCAGAATTGGGAAGAAGCAGCAATGACTCATTAAGAAACTTCTAAGCCAGCATCCACCATGTAAACCACAAAACAAAGAAACTATGCTTTGTGTTAAAAACAAGGTGATTCAGTTTTTTTGATGATTAGTTTTAGGTTATTGATGTTGAATTGCAACTCTCTCACTCTTTTCTTGCCTTTCTGACTTCATGGGGCCTTCTCGGCCCTGTTTTCTTTTATGCCCATTTCCACTGAGTGGTACAGTACAGTTCGGTACGATTTTATTGCCGTTTCTACTGTCTAAAGGTACCAAAAAGCAAACCGTACCATACCACTTTTTGGGTACCCATTCGAGGTAAAAAAAAAAAAGCCACAAAAAAAGGCTATCAAAAGGCAGAGTAAGACACACAGCTGAACGCTATTGGTTTACAGAGATACGTCTTGTGCACAAGACAGAAGAATTAATACAAAGGAAGCACTCACAATCTCAAACAATTCTCAAGTTTTTACACACAGAACAATTTACTTGAACTCAGAGATAAAGCCACAGGTTGTACTAATGCGTTAATGTACTAATATAATTTTTCCAGGCCAGAAAATTACTTGATCTTCAAATTGAAGTTGCTCTAACAGATGTGCAGTTCAAATCAACCCAAATATTCATAAATAAATAATACCTTCTTATTATTAATAATAAATAATCAGAATTTTATTAGCTTAATTCGCTACACCATGATTAGCAAATGATGTACCCATATTGTCCATTCTTAGTTATTTTAAGTAAATACATTAACTTAAATTAAATAATAGAACCTTATTGTAAAATGTGACCCAAATGTTTAACATAACACAGGAATCTGTCTTTGGTAGCAGAGTGTTTTCACAAAAACAAGCAGATGAGCTGATTATAGATGAAGATATCAATGGCTATCAGTGCAACCTTACACTATAAAAAATGATATGACTAAAAGTCATGACCAATAACAAATGTTTTTTAGTTACTTTAACTTATTTTAATAAGCTATTCAGGTTTCATCTACATTTGTTAAGTTAACTAAAAAAAAAAGTCAGTAAGTTTAGTTTTTTTTTTAAGCATTTTTGAACTATAATGAGCACCGGGTCTTTAAAAGCACTAAAGCTCTAATAAAAGAGAGCCATGATGAGCTGTGGTGATGAACAGATCGCTTACCCTGGCGAAGAGTCCGGGAAGATCTTCTTGAGCGAGGCGGTGACATGGCTGACCACAGCTTCCAGATCCCGCACTGACATCAGGCCCAGAGAGTAGATCTGCCTGTCCGTCTCAATGACCACCTCACATAAAAGATGAACAAAGATAACTGTAACTATGATATAAAAAGCACAAAACAAAGAACTAACTAACCCACCAGCTCACTGGAAGAGGATCTGCGTGTTTTCACAACTGGCTTGTGTTCGTTTCAAATCCTGGTGTATTTATGTTGAGTTCATTTGAGAATATTTGTTGAATGGTAAATCATACTCAGATTTGCACAAGAATAATTGGTCAGAGATTAACCAAAAAGTGGCCCGACTGATCAAGAAAGCAATCCGACTCAATGGAACAAACAATTAAAGTGATCATAATCATAATTAATAAGAGGAAATGTGCTACATAAAAAGCAGCAGTGAATTTGATTCTGTGAGTGAATACTGTTAGTTATATTCATTATAAAAGAGTGTTTCATCATGTGAAAAGTATCTAAACAGCGGGGAAAACAAGTACTGAACACATTACCATTTTTCTCTGAATACATATTTGTGAAGATGTTGTTGACTGTCACCAGATGTTGGCCAAAACACATACATGCAATGAAAACAAATCTAGTTAGTTAACAAAATAAGTTATGCGTAATAAAATGAAATGACGCAGGGAAAAAGTAATGAACACAAGAAGAAAGGAATGTGTGGAAAGGCAGTGAAAGCCCAGACAGTAGCTGAAATCTCTAAATAGTTATTCAGCAACCCTCAGGCCTTCGTCATTGTAAACTAATATTAGCTGCTTCGGTCCATCATCTCAGCAGGATGATGAAGATGAAATCAGGGTGGACCTTTTCAGCAAGTCAGTGATCCAAAACACAGCCAAGGAAACAAATACAAAGTAAAGCACAGATTTGAGAGACGAGACCCACAGAACCATCAAGATTTTGACACTCTGTTGAAGTCTGTGAAAAACTCACACCTAAGCAATGCATGTGACGTGATTCTCCATATGAGAGGCGTCTTTAAGCTGCCATCACCAAAAAAGCCTTTTATATACACTATTAAATATGCTTCAGTAGCTCAGTACTTTCTCTTTGTGGCATTTCTTTGTTATACACATAACACATTTTTTAGATTTTGTCTGAGATTTGTCTAGAGTTTTGTTTGTTTTCTGTATTGTTTTTTTTTTTGTGTTTTTTTTTACCAAAATCTGCAAAAAAAAATTTAGAAAAATGATTTATATATTATATTAGAAATATTATTTCCTGGAAAAAACCTTACATGTTGACAACTTCTCTTCCATGGAAATTCTTGAATCTGATTGGCTGAAGTTGTGCCAGAGTTATTGCAGAGTCATGAAGAGAAAGAGTTGCTAAAATTAAAGTCTAAAATATTTGATTGTCGTGTGATTCATGTAGACTTAAATAGTTACAGGAAGTGTTTTGTGGTTAAATCAAATAATGTTATATAACATTAAAACATACAAAATCTTGTTTAAAACAAAAAACATTTGTACATTTATCAAATTTCAAAACCAGCCATTTTAAGCTGTAACTCTAAGTGCTAAGTGTTTGCATTAAGTGCTAACTTTCAAGAATCACTGAGAGGCTACATGAGGTGCCATTGCTGTTGAAAAATCGTTCCATTGGAGTCAAAGGAGTTGTCCCCAACTCTCGTTCTTTCTCTGAGTTGATGCACAGGAAGTTCCAGTCAGTTTTGATCACAGTTTGAAATAAAAGCACTTCCCTCAAGCAACCTATAGCAACTGAGCAGACAGTCGATGGAGTCTTTCTCTGTGTGATCTTTAGTACACCAACATGTGCTTCATCGGGAAGCTAGTGGGGATTAACTTGCAAATATGTTCCAAAATATTTGAAAAGAGGCAGCTAACACATGCTGCTATGAGCTATTAGATATGACCGTGTCATTTAGATGCACTCTCTCTTTCATGTGCGTCCTCTCTATCTGCCTCTGACTGCTAATGGGACTAGGAGATCTAACATGTACATAAAGCACAGCTAGTTTTATCTTCTCTAGAACCAAAAGACCAAGGAATAAGTGAGACAACACATCATGCATTTGAAATCCTTTGACACATGACAATCCATTGATTACACCTGATATATAAAGTTGAAATCAGAATTATTAGCCCCCTTATATATTTTCCCCAAATTTCTGTTTTAACAAAAAGATTTTTTTTCAACGCATTTTCAAACATAATAGTTTAAAAATCATTTCTAATAACTGTTTTATTTTATCTTTGCCATGATGACAGTACATAATATATTACTAGATATTTTTCAGGATACTAGTATTCAGCTTAAAGTGGCATTTAAAGGCTTAAATAGGGTAATTAGGCAAGTCATTGTATAACAGTGTTTTTTTCAGTAGACCACGAGTTCCCAAACTTTTCAGCGTGCAACCCCTAAAATGACTCTAAAATATAAATATACAAACATTGCGCACACAACAATAGGCCTATATAAACACAAGAAAATTGACAACACAAAAAGCAACAGTCTAACAACATTTTTAATCTTGAGTAATTAAGAGTAATTTATTAATTTGTTTAATTTATTAATAACCTCAACTAAAGAGACTGGTGGACACAATGTTTTCAACATAAATCTATTCTTGGTGTAATTTTGGAGATCATCAATCAAAAATCATTTTCAATGTTCAGTTGTGGTCTGTTTTCATTTTTAATGTATTTGTTTGCCATAAAGGTGTCAGAAAGTTGAATCGGGTGCTAGAAAATTAATCTGCTGCAGCTGACGCTATTGCTGCGTTGTTAATCTAACAAAAACCAACCAATCCTACAAAAATTTATTTAACTTTTGGAAATCACCAAGTGAACCCCTGTTATTGTCCCGCAACCCAGGAACACTCCTGACTCCCACTTTGGGAACCACTGCTATCAAAAACTATTTAGGGCCCTATCTTACACCCGGCGCAATGCGGCGCAAGGCGCGACGCAATTGTTGTTTGTTTTAGCTTGGTGCAAGAGTCGTTTTGACATTTTGCACCACGCTGTTTAAATAGCAAATGCATTTGCGCTCATATGTGCGCCCATAGGCATTCTGGTCTAAAAAAGGAGGTTGTTGTTGAGGCGCACTGCTGGCGCGTAGCTATTTTGAGGAACTAAAACAGACTGTTTAAAAGACCAGATCAAAGCAGGTCTATAGTCCAGCGCAGAGCGCGTTATTTGTGCGCCTTGCTTACTCACTGCTTAATACACACAGGATGAACATCAATACACAAATATCTTTACAAATGAAAAGGAATTAAAGTATTACAATTACAAAACATATTATTTTCTAGCCTACATAAATATAAAAGCCATACTTTCATGCCTTCTTAATCTCGGGGGGGCTTCTTCAGTTTATTCATATGTGTGTGTGTGTGTGTGTGTGTGTGTGTGTGTGTGTGTGTGTGTGTGTGTGTGTGTGTGTGGACAGCCTATATGCATGTTGATGGATAATGCAGAGGAATGTAAATTGGTGCACACAATAGGTGACCTATGACAAAACTGTTATTTCAGCCTGATCTCACAAGGAAACATAACTATTTTACGTTTTGTAAAACTTAGTTTATTTGTTAATTCGTACAAATTTGTACAAGCTCTGTCGTACAAAAATGTATGATTTTAAAAAGAAGGTGTGGCACCCAACCCTGTCCTTCAACTCAACCGTCATTGGGGAATAAGCAAATCATACTAAATTGTACATATGAGATCATATGAATTAATACGAACGAATTTGCCATGCGATTGTGTTGCTTATTCTCACATGTTATACATCTCAATGTTCTGTTGCAAAAGCAAACCAAACCAATAAAAAAATCCAACACATTTAGTCAGATTCAGAACAATGCACACAATTTGTTTGTCTGAAAAAATCTTCAAATTTCAAGACAAATTACACTTGAAATCCCGCTTAAATCGATTGCCCAACAGCATAACATTTAAAAAAGTTGAAAAACCACAGGCTTTAAACATCTAAAAACATCAGGACAGGAAAATGACATCAACTTCCCCAAATTCTAACTAAATCTTTACATTATACTATAAATACCTCTGCAGTTTAAACAGAAAATAAATCTAAAAATACTCTACAATAATCACCACTGTGGTGGAGTTATAACAACATGGATTCTGAGGGCTTTAGAGACATTGACCTTTAAAGATTACAGTATAGCATAAAAACACAATACACACAGACAAAAAACAGTGCACAATGTAAATTAGTTGTCAATGAATATGCAATTAACTCAAATTCGACAAATATCAGATAATTCCAAACTGAATTGGATAAATGTGAGTTATCTGTATTTTTGCATGTATTTATATCATTAAACACATTGGGGGGAGTGTGTTGTTATTTTAGAAATCTATTTAATTCAATGTTACATTAACAATAGTGAGAGTGAAGACTTTTACATTACAATTAAAATTACTATGTTATTCTTTTCATCAAGGAATCCTGAATTTTTCCTTTTTTTACCTATATTTCAATTAGGAATGTAGAATTTGATGAATTACCTTTTAAATATATTAAAACAGACATTTATTTACTTATACACTAAATAAACACACGTAATATGAGCAGTAATAATAAACGGTACACTGTAAAACCCAAAAAGTTAGGTTAACTCAAACCGTTTAAGGAAAGCTATTGCAACGAACCATTTGAGTAAAAAAACTAATCTATATGAGTACTGTGAACTTACTCCATTTAAGTTGAATTAATGAGGTATTTAATTAACTCACTACCTTCAACACTGAGTTCAAAACTTTTCAAATGAGTAGAATTAACTTTCAGTCAATTTTGAGTTAACTATACACTCATTTCATTTAATAAAGGTTTTACAGTGTAGGATAAAAGTAACTAAGCAATACTAAATGTCTTATAGTATCACTGAAGTTATGATGAAAACAGTCTCAAAACAGACGACAGTAAATATTAGGATCTCATATTTCCCATGTTGATAGTACAAGCATCTTCCATGCAAGGCAGCTTAAGAAATACAGTCTTTATTAACCCCCTTACATTCCATCCCTTATTTCATAATATTACTGTATTTTGGATCAAATAAATGCAAAAAAAAAAGATAAAAAAATATGTTGAATCTAGGCTAAATCACAAATTGGATCACATGCACAATGACATAACATATAAACACATTATTTATAAATAGTTAGTTTGTTTTGGTTGATAAATCACACCTGCCAATGTTTTACGAAGTGTTTTATAACAATTGATTATGTTTTAATGCCATTTCAGCAGCTTAGTCATGGCAGCACTTGTTTTATGTACTCAACATGTAATATCCAATCATATATATTGTAAAAAAGAAAACATAAAGAAAAATCGGTTATTGTAATTGGAGCATACCATCAGTGTGTCTCTTACCTGCTCAATGCTGTCGATGGTGATGGCATAGATCTCTAGATAGCTGAAGGAGCTTTCCACCTGCAGCGAGAGACACAAACACTGTAAACTGCAGACACACTCTCTCTAACATCGACATGCATTGGAAATGCTGTGACTCACAAGTTAACAGAAGAGAAGGTGGGGGTCAGGAAGGCTGGATCACTCATTGAAACTCAAACACAGAAGTTGAGCTTTGGAGCAAGTGTTTTTTTTTCCACAGGAACTTGATTTGAGTCATGCACTTTCAATATCATACTGATTTTGATTATAATGCCTTGTAACCTGTATTAAGAGCTAATAGGCCTAATTTAGCTTAAAAATACCATCAATCCTTTTTAGTTATAAAAGTTATAGTTCACCCAAAAATTTATATTTACTCAATTTACTCACCCTCAAGTGGTTCCAAATCTTTATTCAATTCAATTCAATTCAATTCAATTCAATTCATCTTGATTTCACTAGCACTTTTACAATACAGATTTACACAGATTAAGGAAGCTTAACATAGACATTCTAAATTGAAACACTAAGTCCAGTTTTCAGAGTTGCAGACTTTTTCTGCCACCTGACAAATTAAAGATTTGTGGCTTTTGGGGCTTTTTTGTGTGGCTTTTTAGGGTGATATCCTGCTGAAGAATTTACCCTCTCCTGGGGTTTGTAATGTAATGGGCAGCACAAATGTTTTGATACCTCAGGCTGTTAATGTTGCCATCCACTCTGCAGATCTCTTGCACGTCCCGATACTGAATGTAACCCCAAACCATGATTTTTGCTTCAGCAAACTTGACTGATTTCTGTTATAGTCTCTTGGGTCTATGTGGGTTCCAATAGGTCTCCTTCAGTATTTGTGATGATTAGGATGCAGTTCAACAGATGGCTCATGAGAAAGATCTACCCTCTGCCTCTTTTCCAAATGTTCAACTAGAAGTCAAGTTATTATTTGCTGCACTTACAACTGGGACCGACGCCAAGACTTTTGTCAGGTAGTGTGTATGTCTATAATGCAATAGATTTACAGAACCAAAATACATATTTTAAAGGCTAATGTTTTCTCCAATTTTATTGCAGAAATCTTACATTTTCTCAAAAGAATATTTTAATATTTTTTGATATTTAAAAAATATTTATATTTAAAAAATTCTGACTGTTTGCAGTATTTTGTTTTTAATTATAGAGCGATAAAAATAAACTCCCAAAATATTTTAAAATATACAAAAAAGGCATTTCGTACCTGATATCATCATTTAAATAAATGCAAATTAGTGCATAATTAATAATATAATAGATTAGATAAACAACATTTCAGAAAACTCATTAATTAATTTTGCTTCAGATTAGACCCTTATTTATCAGGGGTCGGCACAGCGTAATAAACCGCCAACCATTCTAGAATATGTTGATGCAGCGGATGCCCTTCTATAGTAACAACCCATTAATGGGAAACACCACTACACTCTCGCATTGTCACACACACACTCAAACGCTATGCCCAAATTTGCTTACCTAAATTTTAGAAAAATTTAAATATGAATAAGTTTGAGTTCTCAATGTAAAAAAAATCAGCTGGAGAAAAATAGAGGATATAACTGTTCATTGGTTTTACCCTGTTAACTAGACTTTTGGTCTAGTCTTTTCTAAAAGCCTCAGTCAAACCTGTTTGGTTTCTGAGCTGGAATATTAAACGAAACTTGAAGGGAATATAAAGTGTAATGGAGCTTTGCTAAGATTTCCCCCTATACAGGAATTTGAGTTAATGGTGGACGTGACCCACTGACCCTCCTGCTTCTAATCTGCTGTTTGTTTTATCAGCTGCATATTTACATCACTGTGTCAATTCACTGTTCAAGGTTATGTGCTGCTTTTGACTCCCTGGCAATGAGTGTGAAGAGTTCAAACTCCTGATGTTCTGAAGATCAAGTTTAGCATTATAATTTCTGAATAATGAATGTTTGTTGAATGTAAAACTATAGTAGATAGTGGTTATGCAACATTTCAAGTTTCATTACTTGGATTTTACTAGGATTTTTGGTTACTTTGCTTAATTAATCACTTAGCTTGTATTACTTCAAAACAAAACAAAATAAAATAAAACAAAAATGCCACTCTTCAAATAAACGTTCATATGATAAACACTATTTGAAAATAAATTATGCTATGTATTTTATCAAAATCATCTTAATTTATGCTGGACAAAAATAAATCTTGATTAACTGCATCAAAACAAAAAGTTAGTCTTGACGTATTACATGGGTTGTATTTATTATGTATAAATAAAGAGTTCAGATTCAAAAACCTCTAAATGCTGTCTGAAATTTACCTCATTTTTATCAGGCTCCTGTGTGTTTGTTCTGTAATATCAGTAATAAGTTCTTTTCCTGGTCTTTAAAGTGAAATATCTCAAAGGAGGCTAAGAAGAATTTCAGACGGCACTTAGAGGTTTTTACATTTGAACTCTTCATATATAAATACACATATGCATGTATATATTTGAGAAAATGTTTGTTTATATTTAGATCTAAAATATATATTTATATGATCAAATGATATTTAAATTTCAATATCTATGTAACAAAATTGTTTTGTATAGTTTTGTTTCATGTTATGTGTAACACATATGCATAATAAATATATACTGTATAATGCACACCCAAATCAAATATTATGTCAAAAAATTTTTTTTTTAAATTTTTTTTTTTTTTTGGTAATAAAAAAATACGATTAAAAAATTTAATAATCAACAAAGTCCTTTATATAAATATATTTATTTATGTGCTCTTAATACTAATAATACTAATAATGACAACCAATAACTAAAATATTACATAATATTTACCTACAATTAATTTATTTTATAATATATATATATATATATATATATATATATATATATATATATATATATATATATATATATATATATATATATATATATATATATATTATTCATTCATTCATTTTCTTTTCGGCTTAGTCCCTTTATTAATCAGGGGTCGCCACAGCGGAATGAACCGCCAACTTATCATATTTTACACAGAGGAAGCCCTTCCAGCCACAACCCATCACTGGGATATTTATATATTAGTTTCTTTTAAAAACTTTTTGTGGCTTTTCTGCCGTTTAGTCTGAGTGATGTGCAGTGTTTCCCACCTTCACTGGCTGCTTGCTGTAGAACACATGAGCTCTCCATTGCGAAATCACCTGTCAAAAGAGGCACACGGAATGTAAATAAGCCAATACTGCCATCTGCTGGTAAACAAAAAAAAACTTCTAAACATCAGCCTATCAAGTGATTTCTTTCAGTTGCATGCTGCTTTCAGTTTTCAGTTTTTGTGGCTTTCTGTTTAATAGTTCAGCAACCTGCATGAAGATATAGTTGTTGGTTTCAATTTTAGATGTTTTTTTTTTATTTTTCAAAGCAACAAGCAACAGTTTTTCCCCTTTTTAATGCTCACAAAACAGAAAAGAAGCATGAGGCTTTTAATGATAAATAGTTTCGCAATCAAACATTGCATTGCTGACTGTGCATGCAGAATCTTGCTGTGATGCTCTGCAGCGCACCAAACCTGCACATTTATTTAATCTGCACATCTCTACTCCAGCAGAGCGGCTTTACATCCACTTCAACACAAGAGAACCAGTGGACATTGACCCCATGCAAATCAAGTAAAACTGCTCAAGCTGTTATGTACTTAACCCACTTTTTTACATTGTGGATCTCTTTTCATATATATTTCATAAAATGGTTTAAACACAAAAATGAGTGAAATATAATATAATATTGCTTTTAAATATTGAATTTTATATATATTAAATTTTATGAATATTAAATATATATATATATATATATATATATTTCTTCTATTTGGATAACTCGAATTGTATAAATATAAAAATGTAGGCTTTTTATTTAATAGATATTTTTACATGTACATTTTATAAAGTGATATCACCACAATAACAGACCTATTATACTCAATAGACAAACTCATATTTTGTACAATAAAATAGCAATCAAATATTAGTAATATATATTCTTACAATTTTATAAAACACAAAAAAAACTTACCTCTGAATCTATAATAAAACATTATAAACTGTAAATATTAAATGTGTGTTTCAACACATCTATGGTTTATAATTTATATAATCTACTAATATATAAATACAACATTACATATTCAATTTAAAATGTTACAAAATTACAACAAATTTGGAAAAACGTTTTTGTATTGTAAATTTAAATACACTATCCCCTTTATATTATAAAATATAACAAAATGTAAGCATTATTACTTAATTACATTAAATTGAAATCAAATAAATAATAAAATTAAATCTATAAATTATAATAATGTTTAAACATTTTTATTTTACTTTAAAACTATATAATTCTTTAATAAAGTCAGTATTTTGTGTTTTAAATAATAAATGGAACTCATTTGCATGCAAACACTCTAATGAAATATATGGAATGTCTAATAAATTTATCCTGTACATTATTATATATACGTGTATATATGTGTTTGTGTATACATACCAGAACTCTGCTATCTGCGCGTCCCTTGCCCTGGTTGAGATGCACCAAACTCATAAACTGAACCCTTTGTGGCTTCAAATACTGGGTTATACCTTCTGCAACTCAAAAACACAACCACTTAAAGTCTACTGTACGCAGAAATCAAATGCTGTACAGTTCAGTTATATAATCCTAGAGCAACTTGAGGTTGCAAGGTCACAAACTCTTGCACAAACAATTACATGTCAAACATGGAAAAATAATAAACAAACCAAAGCAATACGTGATTTTCTCATATTCCAGTGGCTTATTCTGAGATTAAAATAAAAGTCTTACCTTTGAGGCAAAACGGGACCTCAGGCAGCGCCGCCATAATGGTTGATCACTAAATTCAGTGACAACCCGGTGAAGACGACAGTCCTGGCTCTCGTGCAAGTGTGTGACACTTGCTACACACACACACACACACACACACACATACACACATCCTGCTACTTTATGATTCATGCTCATAGGGGAAAACCGCAGCTTGAGAGTACAGGTCTAAGACAGGATATGACACCTGACTGCATGAAGTGCATCCTATCCATTACAGTCGATTCGAAATGTGCCATTTCACACATACAACAATCATTTATAGGCCGATGTAAATCAAATACACTAATATTTGCAAATGAGGTTAATGTGTGACGCTTCAGTCAGAGATTAGTGTGACACCTTTTGGCAAATTATTGACCTATTGACATTTGGCAGAGGCTTTGTGCTTCACAGATGTGTCAGGTTGCATTTTCGTAAACCGTTTTTAAACATACGAATAGATAAATGCTGACTGAAGAAAGTAAAATTGCTAAATAAGCATTTTTCGAGTAAGGTTCATCTTGAAACTGTGAAAACCCTTCTGACTAATTCTGAATTACTGGCACTACGCCTAACTGTCAGTCTAGGTTTCCATCTACCTGTTTTTATGAACATTTTGATCTAATCACATTAAAAATCGCCTGAAAGTTGTAGAGATTGTTATTTGTTTATGATGAAGTCCTTTTATTAGGTTGTCTTCACATTGATGATAGATATTCAGAGGTTCAGGAAGTGATTTTTCTAGGTGTCGATATCGGAACATCAAAATGTTTCTGTTTTATGATGTTTATAATTGTTTAAATCAGCCAAAATAAGAAATGCTGAAGAGTTTTATAGAATTCCAAAAGTTTTTCCTCATAAAGGGGGAAAAGTTCAAGAACAATATCTATATATAGTAACATCTGCTCTATGTGGGCAACTGGAGCTAATATAACCTAGCTAAACTGTTTACTCTAAAACGACTAGCAGGGTGCAAGTATCTACAACGCACAACTTAGTTTCCTCACGTGACAGAGAAAATAACACTCATGGCCCATACACCGCATGATTCTGAGTGTCTCTGTTTGCAACATTCTAGCAGAATAAGCAGGTAGGTGGTAGCACTGTTAATTCACCTTTTATCCTGAGCTTCTAATCATGAACAGCCCATAACAGGACCGAACCACTAGGGTGCTTCCTTTACACACCATTCTCATTAATGGTGACAGCCAATATTTTTATAAACCAAGGAAATATTGGGCTTAAAACACGGAAGCCAACTTAAACACAAACACAGATAAAGTTTATAACAAACCAACCCAAGCATTTAACCAATATAACACATAAAACAACTTTAAACCATCTCCTATGATGCACCTGCCTATACTGCTGTGGGCCAGGTCATTACATCACCCCCTCCCTAGAGGGTTACTGTACCCACAACCCTAATCTTTCACAACAAAGTCTAACAGGTGTCCAGGCTGGCGCCGAACACGCTCCGACCTTCTTGGTGTTCCACCCCCAGTGCTAGGCTCAGTCCTAAGTCCAACATTGTCCATTTCAACACCGGGGGACTGTAGTGGCATGCCATCTTGGCCTTCACCAGTTCTTTTTCCTGGGGCCAGCAGGTGATACAGTACCAACCGGGCCTTGTGTAGCACCACCCGCCTACCCCGTCCTGGCATTCGAACCCAAAAGACCACATCCGATATTTGGTTCAAGATCTCACCTGGCCCTTGCCAATGATGAGTCAGTTTGGGAGACAACTGATTTTCACAGTCATACTCCTGCAGTATTTCCAACCACCTTGCCACCTGGCCTTCAGGCAGAAATTTTGCATCCAGGTGAGGATAGCATAAACAGTTCTCAGTGTGAACTTGTTGCCCAATAAATAGGGCCTGAAGTGACAGCCAGGACCACTGCCAGCAACTCTTTTCGAGTGACACAGTAGTTCCTCTCTGGACGACTGAGGCTGCAATTGGCTACCACTTGCTCTCCTGTCTCTCCTTGTTGGTAAAGTATAGCCTCCACCCCCACATTACTGGCATCAGTGTCCACCAGGAATGGCTGGCTGGGGTCAGGGAATGCTAGGACCGGAGCATCAGTGAGGGCATCTTTTAGCTGTCTTAAAGCCACCGCACAGTCCTCAGCCCTGAATTACTACCAACTGAAATGTTTTCTCTTTTCTGTCAGCCGACGCAAAGGGCTAGCAATGGTTGAAAAGTCCCTAACAAACCTCCTGTGATAGGAGGCGAGGCCTAGAAAGCTCTTAAGCTCAGTAATGTTGGTTGGTGGTGGTCAGTCCTTCACCACAGCCACCTTTTCTGGGTCAGTTTAACCCCGCTTTCACTGACTACATGCCCCAGAAACTGTGTCAGACGGGTGAGCAAGTTGCACTTAGCTGGATTCAACCGCAGTCCCGCGTTGCGGGTGGCTGTCAGTACCTCTTTTAAATTGAGGATAGCCTGGTCAAAAGTGTCCATAAAATCTCTCAACATTGTAATTGCTCTCGTTGTCGCACACTTAAACGCTCTCCACACCGCCACCTCAGCTCCTCAACAGCAGCAACAGTCTCAGTTGAGGTTAGAACTTGCAGTGATAGTGGCTGGGGTATGTGGTTCTGTACTGCCAGGTTCCCACAGGACCCATCTGGAGTTTTTACAGCTAGCAAGTGAGGGCTGGGGAATGGAGCCAGTGAGCTCGAACCCTTAGACAACTGTTGCAGGATGGCAGGTTTATTATAAATTCTCTGACCTGATTGGAGTGGGAGAGTCTGGTTATTGAGGCAAAGGGCAGCCCCTGGCACATCAACACGCCCCAAGTGGGCCAACAGGTCTAAACCAACAGTACATTTATCTTTAATGTCAGCGAGCCAAAACTCACGACTTGTCTGACTTGTCCCCACAACTACAGGCAATAGCTTCTTCCCTGCCATCACTGTCATTTCTCCTGTGACTGTAAGCAATTCAGTATTAGTGGGGGTCCAGTTCTCTGCAAGAAGCCATCAGCTCCTGGTAATAGTCCCTTTCGTAACAAGCAGATTGTAGATCCTGTGTCCACCAGGGCGCTACAGGGCTTTCCGTCAACCACACAGTCCAGATACAGTCCTCTGGCAGGTCCGCAGCATCCCAAGATTGGGTAAACTTCATGAAGGGGTGCCAGGGACCAGGGTGAGGATTCCCTCATTGTCTCACCCCGGGGTCGTTTCCCTGAGGCAATCTCCCCCATGGCCGGGGACTTGGGGCTGGACTGAACTAGTGTGTGGTACACAACCCGTGGCAAACTGGCACCATCTGACTGATATGAAGCCTGGTCCCTCTGCATAGTCTCTCTTGACAGACGTCTTAAGGTAATGTTATTTTCTCAAATAACACACTCTAATTCGCCTATATTTCGCTCCATGATGGCATTTTCTTAACAGCCTGAATCCCACTTCTGACACCACTTTAACAGTTTCTGTATGTAGGCAACTGGAACTATTATCACCTAGCTAAACTGTTCATTTACCCAAAAATGACTAACAGGGTGCAAGCATCTATTGCACATAACTTAGCTTCCTCAAGTGACAGAGAAATTAACACTCATGTCCCATACACCACACAATTCTGAGTGTCTCAGTTTGCAGCAATCTAGCAGAATAAGCAGGTAAGAAGCAGCACTGTCAAATTACCTTTTATTCTGAGCTTCAAAACATGAACAGCAAATAACAAGACTGAACCACTAGGGTGCTTTCTTTACACACCATTCTCATTAATGGTGACAGCCAATATTTTTATAAACCAAGGAAATATTGGGCTTAAAACACGGAAGCCAACCTAAACACAAACACAGATAAAGTTTATAACACACCAACCCATGCATTTAACCAATATAACACATAAAACAACTTTAAACCATCTCCCATGATGCACCTGGCTATAATGCTGTGGGCCAGGTCATTACAATATATATTCATTCATTAATTTTCTTTTCGGCTTAGTTTCTTTAATAATATGGGGAACGAACCGCCAACTTATCCAGCACATGTTTTACTCAGCGGATGCCCTTTCAGCTGCAACCCATCACTGGGAAACATCAATACACACTCATTTACACACATACACTACAAACAATTTAGCTTACCCAATTCACCTATACCACATGTCTTTGGACTTGTGGAGGAAACCGGAGCACCCAGAGGAAACCCACATGAACACTGGGAGAACATGCAAACTCCACACAGAAATGCCAATTGACCCAGCCAAGGCTCAAACCAGCGGCTTCTTGCTGTGAGGTGATTGTGCTACCCACTGCGCCACCGTGACGCCCATATAGGGAGAGTGGGGGCAGTTTCAGTTCAGTTTCTCACAGACAGTTTTTTTGTGGAAACCCAAAATAAACCCACATCTATTGGACACCCACCCACATTGCTATAATATGTGTACACATGATGAAAAAAATGCAGAATTTAAACTTGAACAGACAAAGTCAAACATTGCAACTGAACCAAGCAGGGGGACAGTTGCAAAAACCCAAAAATCTACCAGAGGCTGCTGTGTACACTTTTTGACATCACAATAGTATGAAGCTGCAGGCCCGGAGACCCAACTGCACGCTCAGACCTGCTCGCTCAGACAGCTAGACCTGCACTTCCAGACCTTCACAGTGCCACCTGCTGTTTAAAAGATCGACTAACCTGATTTCAGCTGCTTCTAAATTGTAATTTAAACTATTTTTCTACTATAAAATATTAGGCTATGATTGAATAGATTATTATATGAAATATTAAACATACTAGATTTTTGATTCAAATGCATTAATTCTGTTGTATTTTTTATTAATTGTATTTGTAAATAGATATTGTTCAGTTACTTCAATATTTTCAGACTTCATATACAAAAAATTATTATTATATTTTCATCTTCATATACAATAAATTTCTTCACATACAATTATAGTACTCTAAGTAATTGTCTCACAACAAACTTTATTTTTGTGTATTTTTTCATGAGGTCCTACAAGTCAAGTTGTAAACAATGCATAGAAAAATTGTGAAAAATAATAATTGGAGTAAAAATTATTTTTTACGCAGAAAATAAGTGCTTTACATTCTTATTGGGGAGATTTTTCATTACAAGAGCAAAAAACTGAAAATATCTTCAGTCTTTGGCACATTGTATTAGTGTTGGCAGAGACCCACTTTTTAAAAGTAATATAAATTTGGGAAAAATACAAACCACAAGCAAATTATTTTTGATTTCACCTAAGAGAGCTCATATTGTAAATTCTATGCAGATTAACTGATATTTTGATTTCCAAAAAACGTGTTTGTAATCATTACAGAACTTATTACATAATAATTAATAAAGTGTTATTGTGTTACTGTTATTGTCTTTCGTAGCACTTTCAGATAGATAATACAGTAATATGAACAGTAGACCTATACAGCACTAAAATACGTTACCATTAATAATTGTGCTATAGCCAACATTTTATTTTAACATTTTTACTTTAAAGTTTTTTTTATTTTGCCAGAAAACATTGTTAGAAAATTGTCCCAGAATGGTACAATAATACAAAAATATCATAAAATAATGCTCTTTTGACACTAATTTTGATCAAATCAAACACTGCAATAATTGTTTGTTAGTGTAATATTTTACACCACATTGATTCATGCCATAAAACTTGGTAATTTTCAGGAATCGCTTTAATAATCAATAACCTTACAGGCGTTTCTGATGTTGCTACTTGCTAGAAAGTGCTGGTCTGAGTGTGCAGTTGGGTCTCCGTACCTGCTGCTTCACCCAACCCAACAGCAGGGGGCACTGTCTGGTCTGGAATTGCAGGTCTGTGCGCGCAGGTCTGAGCATGCAGTTGGGTCTCCGGGCCTGCAGCTTCCCCTTACTCCAAATTTCTCTCGCGAATGCCAATTGCTCCTGCTCTTCTCACGTAAATCCATTAGAGGGCGCTGTCAACTGACTGACTGACTGACCGATCAACTTACCCACCTTCCTCCTTTCCTTAATCCAACCAATTGTATTAATTGACCTGCAAACCCACTTCCCTAAACAATACCAACAATTTTCAAAAGCAATCCAGAAAAAGAAAAGCCCCCTGATTTTTACCACGTTTTCAGATTTTACCACATTCTCACCCTATTTACTTGTTTATTATATTTATTGCATTCTGTTTTTGTCTCACCTGATTTCTGGAACCATTCTTCACCAGACTTGAACACTGTCGTCATGGTCAACTCATCTGTGTGTCTAGTCTACTGATGTACATGGTGAGCTAATGTGACAAACTGGTAAAAAAAACTGGTACAAACTGGTAGTGGGAAAGATGTCCATACAGAGGTAAGCAGTCAGCTGGTAAGCGCAAAAAGGAACAGTGTCATACAACCACCCCCTAACGTTCATTTTAAAAAATGAAATGAAGCCATGCGTAGCTTTGGCTACATATTTCAAAAAACATCAGGTTGGATTTTATTCTATTTTTTTTTTTTTGGTAAACAGTTAAATGTGTTAAATTGGCCATATATGTACAGACCATAAAAGAACAAGCAACAGCCAATTATTAGGCGTAAAAAACAACACATTTTTTTTTGTAATTTAAACTGAACCTTTACTAAACTACTTCTTTGAACTTTGAAATGAATTTATCAAATAATAATTTTTTGTCAAATTAAATAACATTGAAATTGTGATAGAATTAAAATTGTACATTGTTAAAATGTCAAGCTTTTAAATGAGTTTTGTAGCTGGGGACAGTTGCAACTGTCCCAACCCTGTCAACCCTGATTAAACTGTCTATGCTAGCGAGATACAACAGCTTTAAGGCTTGACAGCCACAACTATTTAATGTTAAGAAAAAATTATTTCAATTACACAAATTAATGTTTTATAAAAACAGATTAGACAGAATGAGAAACTTTGATCATTAAAAAAAATATTTTTATTTTTACCTAAAAATATGTCTTATAGTGAAGGAATGGCCACATATGGCTGATTTATCTCAGATTGAAGGAGACTTTAAGAATAAGTAGTATAAATATCATCACTCTAGCTTAATCCTGAATGAAGGATTAAGTCTTGTTGCAGCTCCATGTTGCAACCGTCCCCCAACTCTCCCCTATATAAAGGCAGCATGTTCAACAAATAGATTTCTTTCAAATGTAGGCCACTGACAGAAAAAAATGTGTTAACAGTTTATATACAATAGTTCATAAATGATGTTTAACAGAGCAAGGAAAGTTTCAAAGTATGTCTGATAATATTATTACTTATTTAGGAAGTCTTATTTGTTTTATTTCGGATAGAATAAAAACAATTTTCAGTTTTTTAAAGACCATTTTAAGGTCAAAATTATGAGCCCCTTTATGCTATATACTTTTCTATAGTCTAAAGAACAAACTATCAATAACTTTACTAATTACCCTAACCTGCCTGGCTAATCTAGTTAACCTATTTAAGCCTTTAAATGTCACTTTAAGCTGTATAGAAGTGCATAATAGTGTATAGAATTGGAAAATATCTAGTAAAATATTATTTACTGTCATAATGGCAGATAAAATAAATCAGTTATTAGAAATGAGTTATTAAAACTATTTTGTTTAAAAATGTATTGAAACAATTTCTCCATTATACAAAATCGTGTGTGTGTGGGGGGGATGGGGGGTACTACTTCTGACATATATATATATATATACTGTAGTTTAATATACTGTTGGGTCACCACAGCGGAATGAACCGCCAACTTATCTAGCACGTTTTTATGCAGCGAATGCCCATCCACACACACTCATACACTACGGACAATTTAGCCTACCCAATTCACCCGTACCGCATGTCTTTCGACTGTGCGGAAAACCAGAGCACCTGGAGGAAACCCACGCAAACACAGTGAGAACATGTAAACTCCAGAAACGCCAACTGACCCAGCCGAGGCTCGAACCAGCTACCTTCTTGCTGTGAGGCAACAACACTACCTCCTGCACCACTGCGTCGCCAGAGAGAAGACAACATAATAGTTTTAATAACTAATTTAAAACAACTCATTTTTCTTTGGTGACAGTGCATATTATGCATTTACTTGTTTTTTAAGATAACAGTATTCAGTTTAAAGCGCAATTTAAAGGCTTAACTATGTAAACCAAGTCATTGGACAACAGTTGTTGCTTGATCTGTAGCCAATCAGAAAGAGGACACAAAATCTTAATGGAGTAATAATGTTGACTAAAATGCTTTCCCCAGTCAGAAGGAAAAATATATTAGGAAATTCTGTGAAAATGTCATTGATCTGTTAAACAGCACTTAGGAAATATTTAAAAAAGAATACAAATTTCAATTAATAACAATGACTTTAACTGTACATCAATGTGCCTGTGTGTTAGGGACATCCTGGAAGTTTATATTGTGCAGCCATAAAAGCTGATCTGAATTAGGTGATCAAGAATGATGAAAATATATGAAGTTTATTGGCTAAAGTAAGTGACTTGATGTTTGGTGATTTTCTGACCTCGTGTTTTTATGCTGGGAATTAAAGAGTACAAAAAATTGTTTTTTTATTGTAATTCCTAAAACTGAGGTGTTTTTATTTCTTTTTTAGAGTAATTTTAAATTAACATTTAATATCTACCTAATAACAATAATATGCCTTGAAAGAGGCCGTGGTTAGTGATTTGTGCATGTTTAATTCACATCTTTGGATGGAAACATAACTAGTGTCCTTCTGCTAAAAGGGTCACAGACCGTTTAAAAAAAATACAACACTCCAAAATGAACATAGCCTGCATGCTAACACACAGAAGAAAAAACACCCCTTCTGTCAGTTACAATAAATTATCATGCAAGTAAACAGATAAACAAAGTACACACACCAATTAAACGTTTCTGTTAAAGTAAGGAACACAGTAGTCACTGGTAGAAATGTTAAAGTGTACACCTAAAAATGTAATACATTTAATAAACACAATACATTCATTTAGCTTTAGAGATTATTATGGGAATTTCTGCATAACTTGAGCTTGCTTTGTGGGTTTACCATGCACACTTTTAATGTAAAATAATTAAATCAACACAATAATAATGTAATATTTGTTTAAAAAAGATAGTAAATTCATATTTTTGTTACCAATAGTTACTAGTTTCCAAATACAAAAGAAATATTTTTCTTACCCGTTGTTTACTACATTTCAAAGTGAATCTGCTCTGAAATTGGCCTGTTGTGAAAACATAATCATTAAGATTATAAAATTGTAGATTAAGATTATAAATTTGTAGATTAAGATTATATGTTTGTAGATTGTAGGTGTACAAATGTAAAGTATTAGATTTTGAGATGCATCAAGTACCCATTGAAAAAAGGCAACTAAAAAAACAAACACACATGGAATTAGGACAATATTTTTTATTAGCTGTACAGCAATACATTCTCTACACCATCTTACCTCTACACCCCACCCAGCCATAATAAATGTCTTTATAAGGTTGGTTTTCTGATCATTGTAAAATTCACACAGTACAGCTAGGTGTAAAAAAAAAAGCATTAACCTAGAATTTTAAGAGCTTAAAAAAAAAAAAAAAAAAAAAAAAGCAATTTAAATGCAATTACATGTTGGAGAAAAACTTCATTCTCAATCAGAAAAACAAAAGATCAGAAATAAAAGGACATTGCTCTTTTGAACAAGTGACAAACTTTTTTTTTTTTTACAAATATCCTATCCAAGCTTCCCCTTCTAGAAACATTTTGTATCAAAATAGCTTCCTCGAACACTCGTATTAAACTTCTTAAATTAAATGTGGTCTGAAAAACCTATTGTAAACTTTACGTCTCCTCTCGGAATCCCATGAAATCATAAACTTGGATCACGCTTTCAAATTTGGGGTGGCTGTCGGGAACATGACCACACATGGAAATGGATCCAAGCGATCGGAGACATGCGCTTCTCGCTGTACCTGCCCAGTTCTGTCCCTTTTCCTCCTTTTACAAAAGCTAGAACAAAATCCAACATGGAAGCCTATTCGTCAGGTGGAACAACATTAAAAGCCACTCTTCGCCCTGTAAAGCGCTGGTTAAAGAGATTAAGCAACCCTCCCCATCAAGCGAGTGGAGCAGACTCAAATGCACAAATTCAAGCTACAGAAGGACAGAGAAGAAAAGGGGTTATATGCAGCCTACATGATTCTTCAGGCTTTTATTTTTTTCCCCACAAGTAATTTGAAAGCCTTCAGTGGCATGTTTCCAAACAACTACCGTTAAAAGCCATTGCCCTAGCATTCAAGGTGATCAATTCACTAGAAAAAGATTAAAACGTTCATAATAAAACAGAAAATAAAAATTATTTACAAGCAAGACTAGCCAAGATTACCTGTTTTATACAACTTTATCAACCGCAGGTTTTCTTTTTCTTTTGTTGAACTTATGAATGGATGGATGTCATCGTCCCTGGCTTGATAATCTGATGGCTACATTTCTACGCTCTCTAACATCATCAACTGTGACCAGTGAAAGAGCACATGAGGAACAAACAGCAAAGAAAGTCATCATAAATGTCAAACATTGAGAGGATTTTCTCAGACAGATGGGGCAAAAACACCCATTTCTACAGCAGTGAAGCAAATTGAGGAAAGTCAATGCTCGACCAGGCACAAAATGATATATCATCTCTCAATATTGCCATGGTAATGTCAGATTTGAATTGTCAAATGAAAACGGTTGGTTAGCATGGTAAAGAAAGTCTAGATGTATGTCACGAGCACACTTCTGCTCTCAAAAAAAAAAATCATCCCACCACGTACAATGAACTACTGGTGTGACGGGAACAGTAGAAAAGCTCAGTTTTGTGATCGTCATGAGAAGACACTGTGTAAGAACTTTAGGACATCGGGCATTTGGGGTTTTGTAGCAAACAGTGGAATAATGGAGTCCTTAAGAATCTTGATGCAGGACATTAGGACACAGCGCAGTATTAAAGGAGGTGAGGAAAGTGAAGTATGTGAGCATGTGTAAATAGATAGAGATATATATATATATATATATTCAAGGGACGCATATGGGGATGTGCATTTATGCAAGCATGGGTGATCAGCCTGTGTGTGTACACGTATCCCCAGATCACCGGTCCATCATGCTAAGGATCATTTCAGGAGTAAGATCACCGTTAGGTGCAGCTTCTGGGACTGTTAACTGCACCGTTTCTACATCGGCCTCAACCGCCTCCACTTCCTCTATGATCGGCTGGGCAGCTACAACTGCGTCAGTGCCCTCTGGCTCCTTCTTCACAATGATGTTCTCAATGGCCCCTGTGCTTTCATCCTCCACCTGGATAATGGCAGCAGCTGTCAGGAGAAACAGACAGAATCGTTTAGTTTAACCTGTCTAAAAGATTCTGAAAGGTCTGCATTAACATGCAGTGGAGAACACATTACCTGTGGTGGTTTTGGTAATGGACTTGGTAGGAGAGACCTTGGGTGCGTTCTTAGGGGGTCTGCCCCGTTTCCTCTTGATTGGTGGCTCAGCTGGTGCGGGGATTGGAACACTGGGTGGAGCCTGGTCTAGCAAACCCATCTGGTCTTCATCAAGAAGGTCATCCTCATCCTCTTCATCAATGTCATCAAGGTCAGGTTCACCATGCTCATCTGGGTAATTTAGACCATGATGTAAATTATAAAGATCCCATCGAGTTAAATGATGATCAAACAATCTGACTTCATGTTCAGGCAATTGTTAAACTAATAGAGGAGTAAGGAGACAAAAAAGCCAAGCTACTGACCACTGTCATCATCATCGTCATCATCCTTTCTAGACCGCATCTTCCTCTTTCTGCCTCCACGGCCCCTTTTGGGTGGAGTTCCGTTCTCTCCATCAGCAGAATCCATACCAGTGCAGTTCTCTGCATGTCTTGCCATGGTATTCTGTTCAGAGACACAAACAATTTGTTAAACACCATTCACTGCAACAAGTGGCCTCCTGGCAAATGATCGGGCCTCTTATCATATATCATACCCTGCGAGTGAAGGTCTTTCCGCACTTGGTGCATACAAAGGATGTGGGTACAAAGTTGGGGTCATGATAGCGGCGAAAGTGCATGTCCAACAGCTGTTTCTGCCTAAAGGTCTTCTCACATTGGCTGCAGGCATATGGCTTCTCCCCAGTATGTGTGCGCTTGTGCATGACCATGTGACGCTCCTGTTAGCAAGCACACAGTGGAGTAAGTGAGAAAGTTCTCTACACATAATTAATGAATGCTTAAAGTGAACTTCAGTAAACAATTGTCAGCTTTCTGACCTGGCGGCATGCATAGTCACACTGATCACACTTGAAGCGTTTCTCATTTTTGTGGGATTTCTGATGCTGGATAAGAGCGTAGCGCTCGTGGAACACAGCATCACAGTAACGGCACTTTCTGCCCTGTTCAATGTAGGAATGCTGCTTACGGAGATGCACACCTGTTAGGGACACAGATTTAAACAGGTAAACTTTAATACACAACAAGAAGAATAAACTCTAAAAAGATATTAACAATGCTACTAGAACTATAAAAGATTACAAAGTAGTACAAGCTGAAGAAAGCAGTTTTACCAAGATCACTCTTGCGGGCAATGACGGTGTCGCAGTGAGGGCAGTGAAATTTCGCCACATTTTCTGTGTGCTTCTGCAGAATGTGCATCTTCATGGTGCCACTCTGGGTAAACCGTGCATGACAGATATAGCACTCATAGGGCTTCTCTCCTGTTGGACAATCAAAAAGTCAATACTAAAATAAGAGATCAACAAATGAATTTAAAAAAGTGAATTCAGCAGTAAAGCAAGCCTCTGCTAACCTGAGTGGGTCCTCATGTGTCTCTTCAGCTTATATGTATCTCTGCTGGCATAACTGCACAGACTGCACTGGAACGGACGCTCTCCTGTGTGGGAGCGAATGTGGCGCTTCAGCTTGCTAACCTGCAACATTTCAAGACAACATTTCGTTCAATTCATCATTCACATGACTATTTTACCACACACACTTGACCTTAATACAATTATTGCATATTAATGAATTACCCCTTATATGTATTAAGTATTATCATTTACGCATTCTGTATGAAATGCTATCAGACCAACCTCTACACTGGCGTAGTCACACATAGAGCACTTGAACGGTTTCTCATGAGTGTGCTTGTAGCGTCTGTGTCGCACCAGCTCTCCACTGGTGACAAAGGCCATGTCACAGTCAGTGCACTTATGTGGTCTGGTGCCTGTCAGAAAAAATAAAAAAAGTTAATTCCTAATTATCTAGAAACTCAAAGACCTTTATACCTAACTGTAATACTCCAGGGTATGTACCTGTGTGGGTATTAAGATGGTTCCTCAGCAAAGTCACAGTCCTAAATGCTCGTCCGCAAAGATGGCACTTGTGAGGCCTCTCGTCTGTGTGGCTCTTCATGTGGCGGTCCAGATTGGACCGGCGTGGGCAAGTGTAACTGCACAGCTCACACTGGAATGTCTTCTTAACACCTGCACAAAGCAAATGATTTAGCTCAAAGCAGATCTGACATTGATATCATACAAGCCGCGAATCATTCGTTCAGCAAATATCACACACTCACCTTTCTTCTTGATTTTGGTTGGTTTGGGTGGTTTCATGTTACCCACAACTTTCTCAGCATTGACTTCAGAAAGCAGACCCTCCTGCTGCTCCTCCTCGAAATCATACACAGACACATCCATGTCTTTATCACCCTCTGTGTTGTAGCGCAGCTTGCTCTTCTTCGTCTTCTTGACCTTTTTAACAGGAGGTGTGTAGTCGGGATCTTTGGACCAGGCGGGGTCTTCATTTTGGGGTTCAGCCATTTCTTCTTCCTCCTCCTGATGCGGAGGCTGATCGTCTTGGGGCTGGAGCTCATCTTGCTCCACAGTTTCTACTTCTCCGTTTGCACCCACTTTGACCACCTGAAAAAGAAAAGAACATTAAGATTCACAAGGTGGTCCCTTTAAAACATACCATCTATTCACAACCAAAACAGATCACAAACCTGAAAGCCCTCAGGCAATGGCAGGGTGTGACAGATGACCGGCTCCCCATCTTTAGGCATGGCAGTTGCATCCACCAGTGTCCCCTGCAGCTCTTCCACGGTGGCGGCAGTGACAGGCACAGCAGAAACAGGCACCTGCACCAGCTGCAGCTCTCCCAAGCCCAACTGCTGCTCCTCCATATTCACCACCTGCAGGGTGATGATCTGTGTATCATCGACTGTAGTGACTGTGGCTTCATGAGCAGCACCAGCCACAGCGACAGGTGCCCCGACGGCAGCCTCCATGACTTCTGTCTTCATCTGCAGCAAGGCAGGGTCCAGGGTTTCCATCATCATCATGTCCACGCTGCTGTTGACACTAACTACACTCTCAACCAGCTGTTGCTGGGCCTCCACCACAGGCTCAACTTCAGCCTGTGCTTGCTCAATCACAGCAGCCTGCAGCAGCTCGGCTCCCACCTCCTCATCTTCCCGCCGCCTTTGGTATGTCTTGCACTCCTTGGCCTTGAAAGCATCCCCTGCATCTTCCACCACGGCCTCAGTCGGTCCCCCTTCCATGGGTAATACCTACATTGGTTAAAATCACAAATTAGCAGACAGAATTTAGGAAATTTCTCCTTCCTGTCTACAATCTCAACTGCATTTACTTACTCGCTCCGAGACAGGCTGCTATCAACATTGCAACTGGTATATAACAGCGTTGAGTTTGCACTTCCCAAGACATCCATGGTTTTGGTGATTGTGCAATTGAGGTAAAGTTGGTTTTATATTTGTACATTCATACTTTCTTCTTAATAATATAATATTAGAAAAGTGTTGTTTGCAAATTCTAAATAGCGAAATCAAATTAGCAGCCAAATGACCATTAAAGTACACCATCGTTCCCAGTCATATAAACAGTGCTAATGTTTTGAAGTAATACTTGCATGTGATTTCAAGCTGAATATTCCAAAGTACCATGGTAAACAATATATGGAGAATGTCACAAGTTGTCACTAAACGAATGTGCACATTTAAAACCAACTTTACCTCAATTTTTGTACAGTATACTGTGAGTTTACCTGCACCAATATGGAACACTTCATCTCTCTACCACTGCGCCTCGACCACTTTCTGTCTCCGATGAATGACCTATCTGCCTTAACTCTGCTTCTTACTACCTGACTCTACCTGTTGGGATGCAAACAAATCAAGCAAAGTGCAAAATAACCCACACTTCTCTAACACTTCATACAAGTCAAAGCTAAATCACACCGCATTTATGCCATTTAATGTTAATTAAATTGCACACAGCGCATCTCACATAAATGTTCATTAAACATTTACACAGACGTGTAAAAATAAAAATTTACCATTTACATTTTGCATAAATATAATAACCATAAGTATAATAAATATAAGCGCAAAATCTCCAAAAACTTGCAAAACTTGAATGTGACTTTCATTATAGCAAAGCCAGGTTTTGAACTCTTGATTCGTCGCCAGAAAGCATCATCTGAACCGATTCTCTTCTACTTCCTCATGAATGCGCGCATTTGGCCACCGATACAATAAACAGACAAAACGGTGCAACTGTGTCCACTGTCCTTACCTCCACACGTTTCAAAACACCCTTATGGTTTTCCACAGCAAGAGGGCATTCTGAGATGGTTAATCGTGTTTTTGTACCACTACCAGTCGGGTTGTAGAGGGAGCTCTCTACAGTTTTTATCCCTTCAGTCGTTTGTTGCTTGAGGTTAGTCTTTCAATAAGAGCGAGCGGTCGCACCGAGCTCGACAACTGCGGCTGTTTTTAGGTGATAAACTCCGGGATTCGGGAAGAGCACGGCGAGACTCGGTCTTAGCTATCGAAAATGGCCATCGGTGTCATTTAGCAAAGGCATCTTCCTCGTTTGATTTTAATCTGCGCAATGCGTTAGCAGAGGCAGCAGAACTGAAGCTGAAACCACCAAAGATGCGTTTATTTTTAAACTTGTTGCGGTATTTCGGATTACATGAGCGATAAAGACCAAGGAGCGAAGGGAGGCCGCAGTAATGGGACTTTATTCTCGCGGAACCGGGTCAATGTTTCATCGGCTCGGGTTTGAATTTAACTGCTCGAGGAGGGGCGCGAACGCGGCGTTGGGCGCCACTAAAACGTGGCTTACTACCAAAAATCGGACACTTTCCGCTTAAAACACTAAGGATTTCACATTTGCGGATGCACAACTTATGTTTTAAGCCGTTTTGGGTGTGGCAGGACTGGAAATCTGTTAACTTTCAGGGACACGTTAGCTTCTTGGCTAAGTGCGCGTGCAGAAACGGCGGGTTTCTAAAGACAGGAAACAAAGAGAAGAAACAGAAAATGGACGCCTGGCCTAAAGATTGAAGCAAACATCCTGACGTTAAATAATGGCATCTCGGCGAAATGCCGGCTGATATAGTTTAAATAGTGCTTAATAATAGGACTGAAGCCCGAACTTCTGGGTTATAAATGTTTTTTGCTAAATTTTCGATAACGATAGAGGGAGACAAACACCCCCCGCCAGCCGCCTGGACTGGGAGCCCCATCGTGACACCTAGAGGCCGATTAAAGCTCCTGCAAAACTATCCCCCTATCGGAAAAGTAGTGCGATTTTACCTGCGTTTGATGATTTACTCTCGCGTTGATTTCGACAGAAAGCCCAGGGTTTGTTCTTCCTTCAGTACGAGACGGAGTAAAATTGCGTCCTTCACCTCCGGCGGTTTTAATCCTCTCCCGCTTTTGCAGAGTAGGCTCCGCACAAAATGGCGGCCCTTAGCGACTGTTGCGCATGCGCGTCAAGCAGGGGGGCGGTGGCGAGGGGGAGGGCTGTAAACACAGGCAGTGTCCGGATTGGCCGTGTGGGGCGCTACTTTTGAATTACGGATGTGGGCTCTTTTTTTCTTTTTTGTAACGTTCAGTGAATTGTGGATCCATTTTCTGTTTAATATGATAGCATACGATACTGTTATTACATTATGAAACATATATATATATATATATTTATAAGTAGAAAGAAGAAAACTGTTTCCACCTACTAAACTTGGAAATATCAGAAGAGTTAGTGTGAAGGTCTGTATTGTTTAATTGAATTATCGAAAACAGTGTTATATAACCGTCGATAACTAAAAATAAACAGCCTAAATACATCTGAAAGTGGCATTTTTAGTTTTGCTATTGTCATTGTTACATTCCCTGTTGTCTAATAAAAACATTTATATTTTAAATTAGAGAGAAATGTTATTAATTTGCTAAATTAAATAATAAAAGATACATATAAATTGTACCTCCAACCAGTTGACATGTTTTCAGGCATGTTTCTTTCACTAATACACTTTTATAAATTTCATGATGTTATTTTGTACACAAAAATACAATAAAACTAATAATTTCACTCAAAAGTATAACTTCTTATGCAGAAATGGACTAAGTGGCTTTTTTTTTTCCCCCCATAGCTCTGTAACTTAAAATTCAATTCCAGACCCGTAGCTAGGGGGGTTCGGATGGTTCACAAGGCTCATCCCTCCACTGATATTAGGTCCAGTACATGAGCACATTTGTCTTATTTTGACTGCTATGCCGTAGGTAGTGCTGTCGCCTCACAGCAAGAAGATCGCTGGTTTGAGCCTCGGCTCAGTTGGCTTTCTGTGTGGAGTTTGCATGTTCTCCTTGCATTTGCGTGGGTTTCCTCTGGGTGCTCCGGTTTTACCCCAGTCCAAAAGGCATGCGGTACAGGTGAATTAAGGCTAAATTGTCCGTAGTGTATGAGTGTTTGTGTGTTTGGATGTTTCCCAGAGATAGGTTGCGGCTGGAAGGGCATCCGCTGCATAAAAACTTGCTGGATAAGTTGGCGGTTCATTCCGCTGTGGCGACCCTGGATTAATAAAGGGACTAAGCCGACAAGAAAATGAATAAATGACTGCTATGCCATCATAAAGTGTAAAAATACCCCATCAAAGAAGGCATCCATTTAATCCAAACAATAATTTCTCATGAATCTAACATCCAGCTGTGCAAGAAAACATACAATGTGACAGAAGTGAAGTCATCTTTCCCTACAAGTAGGCCAAATTTTATTCTGAAATTTGGACCTTATTCTTGAAAGAAAAAGAAAAAAATAAGGTTTGAAGCACCAAAAGCGGCCGATGTTAAAGTTAATTTTAATTCTAATTAGGCCATTTTTGTTATCCATGAACTTTCAAAAAGTTAAGTTCTACATTATTATTATTGTCAAAAATTCTTATTCAGAAGGCCAAATTTTGACTGAGGAAAGTTGAATGTGCTGGTAAATTTATTTGACCAATAAATGGAAATAGTTATAAATGACAATACAGTTTTTTAAATTTTTTTTTTATTTAAATATTTTTTTGTTACCTCAAAAAGTGTGATTATTATCAGGGATGTCCCGATCAGTTTTTTTTATTTTTTGCCCTCGAGTCTGAGTCGTTTGATATTCAGTATTTACCAATACCAAAACATGATCTTATACTGCTATAATACATAAAAAAAGTTTTTAAAAAGCGAAGAAACAGATCCAGGGCGTTCCTTATTTTCGGATCTGGACACCCCTAGTTATGCTGACCAACAAGCTAATCCAGCTTAAAATAGTGCATAAAATGTCACTCAAATGCAGTATTTAAATCTCATTATTAAATAGAACATAAGTCAAATAACTGCAAAAAGGTCAGCTTTTTGAGAAAAAGTAACCACCTTTACACCAGGCTGACTACAGGCCTGAATTCATTATTGAAAATGGCCCCTCTTAAGTAGCTTTTCTTAGTGCTTGTACATGTGGAAAATATCAATCTCTAAAATAAATCAGCCAAGTATAAGTGTTCATAATTTTAATAGTTTCCTTTACAGTTGATGTCAGCAATATCCTTGTCAGACAATATACATATTTAGAGTAAATAAAAAACAAAAATCAAAAGTAAATCACTTCCTTAATGCTGCACAATCTGTAGATAATAATGAAAAATATATTTATTTAAATCTGTTCTGCGGTTTGCAATCCTAAACCACAGTCCTTGAGTTTTAAATTAAGTCTATCTATCTCATTCTCTTGCTCCCCATGCTAATTCGAGGCACTTGTACACTGAAGAGGCGTTTTCTTTGTCATATTTAAGTCTGGAACAGATTGAATTCGTATAAAAAACTAAATAAAATAAATGAACAAACCTTCTCTGGCTCCAACTCTTTCAGTCTAGCAGCACTGGAGAAATGCTCTGAGTCGAACATCATTCAAATATAAAGAGCATGAAGAGGTTGCCCAAACCCATCGCAAAAAGCAATATTCACCATAGCTTTCACTCATGATAATGATGACATCTTCAAAAATACACCACTTTTACATCGCCAGTGCCTTAAAAGTGAAGTAAATGGTGAATCAAATGAAATCTGCGCTTGCCATTGAGCATTTCAACATTAAAACTAAATTACAACACAAAACATTTACACTTCCAATGGGATATAGATATATATTCTGTATCAATAAAGCATATGACAGTATGGAATGGCACTGTTACACTTTTATGGCAACAAGGTCCCTATGAAAGTTTGGGATTTATAAGGAAACGCTTCCCATGATTCCCATCCTGCTTTACCAACGTACATTCTGCAATCTATATGTACACGCACACATAAGCACTCCTTACAGACGACCAGTTTCTCCGTGTACTCGGCAGGTAGTCGCCATCTACTTGCATTATTAAAGTGAAAATAACACTTCATCTCCCGTCGCTATCAGTCACCACTTGCATTGCTGAAAAACGTCCTTGAATTGTGAAGGCAACTCCATTGGGCCCAATCATAAGGCAGCACATGTTGTTTATAAACCCACTTCCACATTACTTTACAGTAGTTCATCTTATTAGGCCATGTCCAGAATGTTAATAATAATATACAAGTCCTCTGGTCCAATGATTGTATATAGCATCCGTCCACATCTTTTGAGGACAGCGCTGGCACTCTATCTGTGAGAGTGTGATTTGTGTGTCGTTTAGTGTGTATTTAATAGTTTGTATCTGGCATGAACATGATGGTGAGGATACTTGAAGGTGTTGTTTTTGGCCCGGTTGATTGTGTTAGAACGCTGTACTGGCCATACTGCCGGGGGAGAAGAGCCGGGACATCCCATCTTGTGAGGACTCAAGGTGTCGATGAGCCATCTTTCCCTCCTCACCTGCAATTCAAGCAAAACAAAGTCAAAAAAAGAAACAGGAGTTTGAGTTCAATGTTGTGAATTACTTATTCAGAAAGCAAAATTCTGAATGAGGAAAGTTGAATGTGCTGGCCAGTTTGTTATTTGCCCAATAAATGACAATAGGTTACCATTTCTGTTTCATTTAAAACTTTAACTTTTTTGGTACCTCAAAAAATGTGGTTATGATGACCATCCAACAAGCTAATCCAGCTTATAATAGTGGTTAAAATATCACTCAAATGCAGTATTTAAATCTCATTATTAAATAGAACATAAGGCGAACAACTGCAAAAAGGTCAGCTTTTTGAGAAAGAAGTAACCACCTTTACACCAGGCTGACTACAGGCCTGAATTCATTATTGAAAATGGCCCCTCTTAAGCAGCTTTTCTCAGTCTAAATACATAAATAAATCAGCCAAGTTTTAAGTGTTCATAATTTTAATAGTTTCCTTTACAGTTGTCACTTTATTATCCAGCTGTGCAAGAAAACATACAATATGACGAAAGTAAAGTCATCTTTCACTGCAAGTAGGCCAACTTTTATTCTGATTCTTGGACCTTACTCTTGAATGGAAAAATAAGAATTAAACGGTTTGAAACACCAAAAGTTGCCCATGTTAAAGTTAATTTTAATACTAATTAGGCTATTTTTGTTATCCATGAACTTTCAAAAAGTTAAGCTCTACATTATTACTATTAAATAATAAAGAGACAGGAGTTTGAGTTCAATATTGTTAATTACTGTTGTAGGAAAAAAATAGGAAATAGCATGATTTGTTTAATAAAGCAACGTTTATATTTCATGTGTTAAGGAGAACACAATATTGTCACCCGCTGAGACTAAACAACACCTGAGGTTGGTCCACTTGTTTGTACGGTCATGTATGTTATTGATTGCATAACAATAAATGTACTTGATAAATGTGTTTTTATTGTAATTGACATGATTACCTGGCTGGTTGCCAGCCTATTGAAAGGGGTGGTTCTTGTTTCTAAAAAAGTGGCCCTTTTTGCAGTTATTCACCTCATTTTCTATTAAATTTTAAGGTTTAAATACTGCATTTTAGTGACATTTTAAGCACTATTTTAAGCTGGATTAGCTTGTCAGATGGTGATCATAACCACTTTTTGTTGCTACAAAATAAGTCCTAACATTTTTGTCAAAATGCTTACCAAACTATTTTACAGCAAAGTGTTTTTCCACAAATGTATATTTAAAGTTATTTTAGCTTTATAAATAATGTGATAAGTTTAGAAAAAAAAAAATGAAAATATGCTTGTTTTCATCCATTAATTTTCTTTTCAGCTTAGTCCCTTTATTAATCTGAGGTTGACACAGTAGAATGAACCGGCAACTTATCCAGCATATATTTTTATGCAGCCGATGCCCTTCCAGCTGCAACCCATCTCTGGGAAACATCCATACACACTCATTTACACTCATACTGTACATTACAGACAGTTTACCCTACCCAATTCACCTGTACCACATGTCTTTGGACTGTGGGGGAAACCAGAGCACCCGGAGGAAACCCACGCAAACGCAGGGAGAACATGCAAACTACACACAGAAACACCAACTGACCCAGCCGAGACTCGAACCAGCGACCTTCTCGCTGTGAGGCGACAACACTACCTAATGCGCCCTTGCGCATTAGGATTCATATATTATGTTAAATTTATACTCAAATAAATTTATTATAACAATTTGTAATCCTGGATGATTTTTTATTACTTTATTAGGATAGGACAATATTTGATTTAAAAAAATTGAGAAAATCTCCTTTAAAAGTGTTTAAATTAAGTGCTTAATTCCAAGAATTGCACATTACTAATCAAATACTTGGTATTAATATATTTACATTAAGAAATGTAGAAAAATATTACAGAACATGATCTTTACTTCAAATTATAATTATTTTAGTTTTTTTATAAAACAAAATCTAAAATTTTTACACATACAATGTGCCACAATATGTTTGTATCCAAAAATGCGAATGAACTTTATGCGCAAAACTGGATTATCACATAAAAGATGTGCGAATAAAGCTGTGTTTCCATCCAATGAGGTAAAGCGAACAAAATCGTCATTTCCTGGTTAACTGGCGCCAAATATCAACAATAAAAACTGAATTTGCTGCAGTAGGAGAAGCATTTGAAGGTGTCAGACGCAGACACTCACTGGAGGTCATTAATAATATAATTACACTAATACTTAAATGGTAAAGCGTTTTAGAGTGACCAAAACAACATTTCAGATTTTTTATAATGTGCTCAGCCAACTGGTTTGTCCATTCACACACATTTGTCATCACATGATCTCTAATAACAAAATCACATGACCTTTTTTTAATGCGCATGCTGGAGTTTGTGCGGTAAAAGTGTTTCTATCATAGTTTGTGCGCATCTTTTCTTATCGAATAAAAAGTTTATCCTACTCTTTTGCGCAAAGGTTTTTTATGCACATTTTCAAAATTTATGCGCATCTTTGCGCTTCCATTAACATTTTTTATGTGCATATAAAAAATGCGGATAAAAATAGGTAGATGGAAACATAGCTACTGAGGTCAAGGATCACATTTAAAATGTAAAAATATTTAAATTTAAAAATAAATTAAACAGTCAAAAATATGATCAAAAACTATTAGGGGTATAACCATACACTCAGCTCACGATACGATGTGTATCACGATATATTGTTCACGATTTGATATGTATTACGATATTTGGAATAAAAATTGAAAAGTAAACTGAAATGCAAATTTTACCAAGTAAACTATTTTTTATGTATTTCTTTTGTTTCAACTTGTTAAACTGAACCTTCTTTAGGAAAATAAATTAAACAGGCCTGTCTCTGGAAAATAAAACAATTTAAAAACTTCTTAAAAATATAATTGAAATGACAGAGACAAAATTAAGGAACAATTTAAGTAAAGGTGCAAAAAAAATAAGCTTTCTATTCAATTGAATTTAACAGTAAGAGCTTAAGGCTTTGCTTGGTCACTTGCATTTTTTTGTGTGTGCAAAAAAAATCCACATTTCCAGGTATTTAATTCATATTTAATTAAATTCATTTAGAGATATCTCTAATTACAATTGTGACAAGTCAAAACTCATTTAGAGATATCTGCAAAAATTTTTCAATGGAAGTCAATGGAGGAATATGACTAGTCATAATATATTTGCAGATATCTTCAATCTGATTTCGTACTAATACAATTGTAATTGCAGATATCTCTAATTGTCATTCTGACTAGTCGAATTATAATTATGACTAGTCAAAATATAATTAGAGATATCTCTAAATATATTTATGGATAGTCAGAACAAAGGTTTAAATGCTAAAACGGCTTGCCATACGCGCGCGTCTATCAGTCCGCCCTCTGTAGTAACAGCTCACGGTCAGCTCACGTCATGTGTGATTTTGCGGCGGGAACATTATATGAAGACAGAATGATATTTTAGGGTGAATTGTACCTTATAAATACAGTGTGTGACTCTTTCAACACCATTAGGAGGTATCCCTGTCGCTGTGCAAAGTATGTAAATCACTGTGAAGACTTTAAAACTTAGAATGTTTGACCCAGTATGCGTGTCAAAAAGCGGACGAGTCTAAAGCAATGACTGTACAACCGAAATGTTGCCAGACGTTTGATTTTGAGAGGATGGGCCATCCTCTATTTCAGCTCCACTCATTTTGGTCTGCTAACATTACTGCTGCTGCAATCTGAACTCACGTGCGACAGCAGGTGGAACGTAGCTCACGTGCAAACAGCACAACTAATAAGAGAAAACGGACGTCATATCGTAATCAAATCGTCATAACGCCACGATGCATATTGTGACATTTTTGCATCGCAATAAATCGTACAACGATAAATCGTTACGCCCCTAAAAACTATAGAACAGAATTGATGATTCAAAACATGAGAATGAAATATACAAATTGAATAATTTATTTATGACCATTTTATCGTTTTATATCTTATTTTATATATATATATATATATATATATATATATATATATATATATATATATATATATATATATATATATATATATATATATATATATATTGGCAAAACGTTTAAACACATAAATACATACATTCTTAAATGCATGATAAAATATTTTTCATAAAAATTATTCTCATATAATTCATCTTTTAATGAAACTTTTGATGTGGTTTGATAAATTACTAACATGCTGATGTGCGTTTAAGGTATAAAACATTTAATGATCTTGCACCACCATTTCTCAAACAATGTGTGATTGTTTGAATATAAGACAGACTAGATCATTGGTTAGAGGTATTTGTGCAGTTAAAGTTAAGAGAACTGCTTTTGAACAATCAGGTTTTTTCAGTCAGGGCAGCAGAAAGATGGAATAAAATAGCAGTGCATTTCAGAGACAGTACAATTTTTAATCATTTTAAAACTGTTCTTATAATTTGGCTTAAAGAATATCAAATATGCAACCACTGATTTGATTCTGATTTGATTTCATTTTATTTACTATGATGTATATATTGTACTGTAAGTGTATTTTGTACTATTTTTTAATATTGTTAAATTTGTTACAACTTGCTGCCCAGGGACTACATATGCAAATTAGCTTTATAGCTAACTCTGGCACAGCATGTCATGTTGCACATTGTCCCTGTATAAATAAATAAAAATGTGGACAAATTCAGAAAAAGTGTTCACAGAAGTATTGCATATGCGAAGCCAAAATCTTTCAATAAGGCTTGTTTTTTCCCCAGAAGTTGTTTTCTTCATGATTTAATTCAGTCTGACCATTTTTGAAAACTCATCACATCTATAGAAGAAATTACAACATCAACCTATTTTACATCCAAACAGCGAATTTCACAAAAAGTTGCTCTGATGAAACACATTTTGACTCCATTAGTTCAATTCACAGCATCTCCGTTCTTTTACTTCTATTTCTGATCTTTCCTTCTCAAGTCAATTTCCTGTTGTTTAGTCCACTGCTTGCTTACCTAGCACTAGCAGGGCTTGTTTGGCAGCATCTCTCACATCCTCCTTATCTGTCCGGCACAGATACACCAGCTGCTCGATGCTCTCTTTGGCCTGTGATGCACAAACACAGAAAAGCAGGACACTTCGGTTAAAGTCCTCCGCCACACTGAGATGCTGCTGCATATAATCTGATTGCACATCTAACCAGCGCGCTTTGATGTTATGCATGTGTGTGTATAGGTGAACGTTGTGGGGAAAGAAGAAATGCTGAGCGAGTGCTTTTTAGACATGCATGAGCTGACCTTCAGACATGCGAGTGCTTTACATCCACACACTCGCGTCTCAATGCTTTCATCCTCCAGTAACTCTAGACAGCTCACCAGCGCCTATCAGAGAGAAAGAGAGAGAGAGAGAGCAATAACGAGAGACACTGAGTGGTTTAATCATACTCCCATGTGATTGACAAAAGCATCAGAACTATTGCTTTGCATTTTAAGGATGCTGCATTGTTAACATTTTGGCAATATTTACTTGCATGTCATGGTTATAATCAGTGCTTAATTTGTAAATAGATCATTTCTGGTACAAAAACAGAAAATAAAAGTTCCCGTGACCGATGTCCACCACATAATTTCAGTTTTTCTGGAACATGACGTTACTAAGCGGTTAATTGAAAAAAAATTCTGAACAGTTTTAACTATTTTGTGCAATATAACGTTAAGGGTCAACAATGGGGAAAAAAACCCAAACAAACAAACATGTAGCTACAAACATAAGTCATGTGAAACGTCAATATCCAGTTCATGAACACTACTGACATTCAGTTCACTATTATGTGCCAAGCAAAAATTACTCCAATCTTCAAGAGAAGCCCACAGTTTCTGGCTGACTTGGGATCGCTTTGCTTCTGTCTCCTGCTATCCTGATCTATTTGTGCAGTTTCTTCTTCTTGAGATCTCACGATCAGGAACATTATCAGATTTACTCTTGGTTTTAAAAAATAATCTATGCTTGACTGTCTCTGGCATTTTGCAAATGCAAATATTATTTATGTAGGCCTCTATGCCATTATTTTTTTTTTCGCTGTTCACTGCACGCGAAACAATAATTACCAACCAATGAGAGTGATTGTAAACTTAAGAAAGCTGACTGGTCGAAAGTGATTACCTTTATGTGTGTGCGATCCACACAGCTTTGCTCTCTGTTTTTCACTCAAACTCATTCATATTTCTCTCTCTCTCACACACACATGCAGGTATTTACCACGCAAAAGTTAATGCCGGATAAGTTCAAATAAATACTGGATATCTGACATTTGCCGGAACAGGATCCAACAAGATACAGCCCATATCAAGCACATGTTATAATGGTTTTTGGGTCATTTATTATAATTTTTTATTTTTATTATTTACTTTCTGACTTTTGTATATCATAGGTTTTAATCGTATTTAATTATTGCCAAGTTGTGACCACAGTGGCTAAGTTAGGGACTAGTTTGTTAATGGTAAAGGTTTGATTCTGTACAGAGATACTGTATACTATTCTGTGAATCAATAAAACTGTTCATCATTAATAATGGAAATTTAGACAGTATCAACATGTTTTATGTTTATTTGTGAAAATATAATTTAATAATACTATTGAACTTATAACTTATTGAATAATAATAATAATATTAACAATAATAATAATAATAGTAAATAATAATATTTCCCAGTGATGGGTTACAGCTGGAAGGGCATCCGCTGCGTAAAACATGTGCTGGGTAAGTTGTTGGTTCATTCCACTGTGGCGACCCCAAATCAATACTAAGCCAAAAAGAAAATGAATGAATGAATACTAATCATAATAATACCAATAATAATAATAAAAATAATAATAAGGAAATGTAAAAGCAGTCATATTATAGTCATATTATAAGAATATAATAATGTATTAATATTTCAAGAAGCTAAATAAAAACAAGAAATGCTACATTTGTAACTGAAATAAAAGTTTACTTTTACACTTTAATTCAGATATTTGTGCATTTCAAGTCATTAATTTTTTTTGTTTTTTTTTGTTAAACGAACATTTTTATTAAGTTATAAATTATATAGATTGATATGCACACATATTTATATTGGACACACTTTACAAAAAATTAATTATCATGGAAATCCCACTTGATCACATAGATTATTAGAAAAGTATTTCCTCAAATGTATCCCTAAACTTTTATTATAATTTAAAAATGTAGAAAACAGTAATGCTGAAGACTTTGGACTAGTAATTAATAAATAACCATAAACTTGAAATGTCCTGAAATTTTTCCTTGCAAACCAATCAAAATGTTCACAGCAAAAACCCAAAAGAAAGAGTCAGCGGCTCCACTTACCCTCTCCCTGTGCCGGGTCTGGTCTGCTAGACTCCTCAGCAGGGAACTGGCGGCGCTGCACACTTTCCCTCTCGGGTCCCGGAGCAGCAGACTGACCGCCCGCAGACCCTCTCTCTTCAGACTGCACTCCGGGGGCTTCTTCAAACACTTGATCAGAACATCCTGATCACCAGACTGCAGACACTGAACCAGCCACACTGCAGGAGCAAGAGGAGAACACCGACATTACACACTTTTACATAAAAAAAATTGCTTAAAACTTTTGCAAAATTTCTAAATGTTGCTTTAAAATGTAATGAGTGTTTACATGAACTGAGTGCTATGCAAGTAAAAAAATCCCCAAATCATGGTGACAGATATAGGTAGGTTTATTTATATTACAGTCGAGGTATTAGCCATTATTTTTATTAATGGCAAAGAAAGCCCTTTATACTTGGGAGCTGTCACGAATGGAAAGTTATACCACACAATTTTGCAGAGGAATTGTGGATTTAGACTTTTCAGATGTACTTTTTTAGATTAGAACTGCTGTATCTCTTCAAGTGGCCTGGTTTACAGAAGAAAACACACATACAAAAAAGACAAATCTTAACAAAATAAACATGTGACATTCTAATGTTTCTTTCCATTGCATCTTTACTAAATCATTTTTCATACTAAGCACCTACCTCATGCAAGTGCCATTTTATTAGATTTTTTGTTTGTGATATACAGCTGTTTTTTTCAATTCGCAATCTGTGTAAATTTGAAGAGCAATGGACACATAGCTACTAATGAAACAGATACACAGCAGAGTAAAACAGGAGGTGGGGGACGAAACCACAACCACAAAGAGGTGATAACAGGGGCGTTCTCAATGCTCCATGTTACTTTTACATAATCACTGTTGCAAATGAATGTTTAAGGAGAAACGCCTAGTCCATTGTGCTTATGGGCCATTACAGCTACTTCACAACAATCTGCAGTTGCTAAACAGAAGTGACCAGACTTTGCCCATTTTCAGTGGGAGTTCTGCATTTCTGATGATGTGATCGTATTCTAGTTTTTTGGTTTTGTTTGCTGCAGTTAATCACATTTGATCCCATTTTCAAAGGATTTCTCAACATGTCCCAGAAGGAAAAGTTTGTTTGGAAATGAAAAACAGGTTGACGTCAGAACCCAACAGCAGGCAGACGTCAATGTCTAACTTCAGGCAATCGTTGCTTTGGTCACTTTCCAACGCAATCTAAAAACAACAAAATATGAACGTCTAATGATGGTACAACTTGGCATTGTGTGGACGTTACCACTATTACATCTATCAGATTTTGGATTTTGACACATACTTGACAAATAAATGTCAGTGTTTGACGTCAATATGATGTTGGTTTATTTATACATGCAAGAAAGGGTATTAAATTTCAATATAAGTGTTTTATTTATGATAATTATCTTTATAATTTAGATAAAAGTTTTTAACGTTTTTAAGAACATACATATAAATATACATTACATGAATTAATACATTATAACATCTATGATTAAATAGTACTTGAATACTAATGTTTAAAACATCTATCAAATGAAAAATGTAAGTCTTTTATTAGTGTCTTACCTAAGCTACTTTTACTTTATGACCAATAGAGTAAATATTGTGGAAATACTGTGAAATATTAGTACAGTTTAAAAAACCTTTAACCTATTTTATATTTATGTCTTTATAATTTATGGTACTCAATAGCAGCATTTTTTTTTATCTTTCTTTATGTTCAAAAAGAAAAAAAAGGGAAGGTAGGGTACCACTTGGGAGAGAGTAAATAGTCAGTAAATGTTCATTTTAAGGAACACTATCCCATTAGGTGTCAAATACATTAAAAAAGACGATGATAGTTAAGAATTAAAACTCAAATAAAAATTCCAATTTTGGATAAAAGTCTAAAAATAAATAAAAAGACAAAGGAATTACAATGACTAAAAATAAATAAACAAATGAATGAATAAAAGTACAAGAATTAAGAAGCAAAATTGTGTATACAAATTCATTTATACAATGTTATGATGCAAATAAGAAACTCCTTGCTTGTTTGTTACTGTGCCGTAAACTGCTGTCCATATGAAATGCCTCTTTTTATGGCTCTCTTATCTACCTTCTTCAGCCAGCTCAGGAATGTGTGTGTCCAAGTCATTCACTCCCTCTGCCTCCAGGTAGCTCCAAAATTGGAAAAGGGTGAGACTCTCTTTGGATGTGCCTCCTGCACGCCTGGGCAGCTTCCTCTCCAGGATCCTCTCCAGCAGACGCAGAAAAACTAACAACACAGACGGTTAAATGCAGGGATGACAGCTTTCCAATTAATCGTTAACCTTAATAATGCATAATGTGGCACACTGTCAGGATGTGCAAATAACACTCAAAAACACTCAAAAGAATGTTGTTTCTCTGTAAATATAAGGGTAGGACTTTAAAAAGAATCAATGATTGACCATTTAATAACTAAATTTAATGATCAATATAGAACATGTCAAAAGCGTTGTCTCAGATGTTCACATTGTGCAGGGTTTCTGCAGATTTTACCAAATTAAATTTAAGATATTTTAAGACCATTATGAATTACATTTCAGACTTACATGGCTTAATGTTAAGGTTTTTTTTTTTTTTAATAACCCAGCTGGAAAAGATTTTCACTTGCCCTATCAAAATGGATCAAAATTTAATACATTTAATAATACAATAATAACAAGTTAATAATAAAAATCTAGGTCAGGTCAGGATCTCCAGCAGTAAATAAATGGAAAACTTTTAAACAAATGTTACTGTAAATTTAATAAAAAGTTAAAAAGTTTTATTGAGATGGATTGTTGGTGATTGTATGGGTGTTAATAGACAAAGGAACAAAGGAAAATTAAGACCTGATAAAAAAAGAAAAAAAAAAGACATACAACACTTTTTAAGGCCTAAAATTGAGCTTTTGAGATTTAAGACTTTTTAAGACCCTGAGGACAACCTGTGTGTGCGTCCATGTGAGTGAGTAAATAGCCTTTGTTATTGTGCATATGTGAAAAGCTCAATGTTTACTTATTACAAGGTGCATACAGTCTATGTATTTTTATACGTAAATGTGTGTTAATATATAGTTATTCGGTTTTTATATTAATTTCAGCATTATTATTCACTATTATGCAAATGTTTACATGATTTATTTACAATAGACTTTGTACTGTACATCTTCTGTCTTTTAGCAGATATATCATAAGAGAGACTTATTATGTTTACCAAACAACTGGATTGTATTTGTATTGTAAACCTTAAATAAGTTAAAAAGTTAGTTTTTATTTCATGTTTACATTTTTAGTTATTATATTTTCAAAATCAATTTGCATCAGTTCTGCATAAAATAAAGATTTTTATGCTAGACGATTCTAAACAGAAATAGCAAAGATTCTGTCTGGCCATACTCATTAGTTATTAAAATTGCAATGAAGTTATTACCTCACTTGTACCTTACATGGATAACATTTCAATATAGGGTATACTACCGGTGAACAGTTCTTGTGACTTTTTTCAATTTTATACAGTTCCTTTTACAGCATCAATGTTGTAATGTAATTAAAATACTATCAGTTAAATCGACTTCAACATTCATTTTGTTGTTTAAGCGTAAAAGGAGATGAAAAGCTGTTTACATGCACACGCCCGTCAGGATCAGCTGGCGAGTGCAGAAGCACCATTAAAAATACTGGAGTAAAATAAATGTTCATATTTTAAAGACATGGCGGGGGGAAATGGAATTTAATGCAGTGCTTCTTAAATGATCCCACTTTATACCTTATATCAATCAGGCAGAGGAGATCTCTGATTTTTAAAGAAAACAGACCTTAACCGCATACAATTCATCGGAAGCGCTTGACCAAGGGTCCTGCAAGATTGAGTGAGATAATTGCTAATTATTTTTTTAATAAGATAATTAAACATTTTATAATGCTGTCCACAGTGGAACAGTGGCACGACACAGATTTATCTAGAGGTTTTACCAACCCAGATTTAAGGTTTTAAAGTAATATGAATGAAATATAAGATTCTTATCACAATTGCATTTATAAAAATTAGACAAATGAAAGAAAAAGAAAAGGACTATAACCAAAATTAATATATAAAAAAGTACTGTTGAAGCATTTTAGTGAGTATTAGAAGTTGCCTAACATGAAAAGACATTTTAAGTATTTAAGACCCAGAACACAATAGTTCTGTGATTGTAAAACTCAAAACACAAAATCTGTATTTGCCGTAAAACTAAGAACAATATTAACATCCATGCTAAACTGACCATCGATGAGGTGTAAAGATTATGTGATGGACATTTTATAATATTGATGATCATAAATTGATGATTGACAATTATATATTGATGATTGATTAAGGTTAGTAAAGATCAAATGCATTATAATCAAAGGTCTATTACAGCCATCTGTAATCTGCAAAGAAATTCTTATCTAAAACTTTGCACACTGTCTTTAAAAATGCCTGTGAGTTCATCCTTGGGAATCTTTTGCTCACAGAGGCCGTCTGTAAGTAAACTGGTCATTCTCAAGAGAATTAAAGCAACTAAAAGACAATTTTTTTCTGACTTTATTCAATTTCAGTCTTCATATTAAAATATATTCCTTGTGAACATAAAGAAAATTATTTGCCATTACAATTACAAAGATTATTGGCAAATCAATCAATAATAGATTAAGCACTGCCATTAAACCACAATATGATTTAGTCTACAGAAATGCAGACGCTTTTAATTACACCCGGTGTCATCAAAATCAATGACTAGCAGGAGATTAAAAACCTCCAGGAGGTGAAATACAGGAAGTTATGAGTAAGGATTTAATTCATGTTGATTAATGGATTGTGGAGCCTTTTTAATCTAGAAATCAATCCCCCATTTTAGGGCTTGTTCATGCATTCACACAGACACACACACACATTTACCTGCATCAGTGAAGCCGGCTCCTCTCTCAGGGAGTCTGCTAGCGTAAGCATCACTGAGCGCCTGTAAGAAGGCCTCAGCGGAGGAGCTGTAGACGCCGCAGCCATCCGTACACTGACGCCACAGCAACACGGCCCCCTGACACTGATCTAACTGAGGAACAACTGCACCAGGAAAACAATGATCTCATGTAAGAACTGTGAGAAAACAGTATATGCACATTTGCAAGGAAATAAGAGTGCTGGTATGTCTGAAACACCACAGATAAAGATTGAAATAATGTAGTGGTTTGATATGAAAGGGTCTCACCTTCTTCTGGTTGGACGTCTGCACCCCTCGAGTCCTTCACGGCCCACCGTATGAGCTCCAGAACTCTTGCTTCTCTGAGAAGTCGGTCTAGAGCATACATTTCTCCACAGCGCAGAGGCCCAAAGGTGCCTAGTCTCTGTTAATAAGAGCACAAGACAATATCTGAATGTGGGTAAACAGGCAGATAAAAGAAACGCAAGACATTAGTATCCAATCTAATGAAAACAATGCAGAAGAATGCAGTACTATCTAGTTCAGGGGTATGGAACCTATAGTTCGGGAGCCACATGTGGCTCTTTGACCAAAAATATGTGGCTCTCCAGCTGTCTCCCTTTAATATAAAATTGAAACTGTCCCTAAAAATCTGTTTCCTATTAAAAATCCAATTAAAATGAATTTATATTGTATATATTTTACAGCAAAATGAGTAAAGAATAAAATAACATTTCAACCAATGCACATGTGCGGAGCTGTGGTGTAACTTGAATCATGACACCAATAAAAGTCATGTCACTTACATTTCTATGGTAACCTTGCGCATGTAAATTCAAACAACATTCATGAGTGTTGATGGTGAAAAAAAAAAATCTATAAATGATCCTTTCTTAATTGAGCCTTGCTCAATGTGATGCTTTATATATACCCCCAACGGCTCTTTAAAAAAATGCATTTGCCAAAAAAATCTGAAATGGCTCTTTGCTGAAAAAAAGATTCTAGACCCCAGATCTAGATCATGCAAAATATATCTAACCCACGACAAAAGTAAAAAGCTTGAATTACTATTACTTTGATTTGTATTTTTTATATTTAACTTGACATTGTTCTATATAATTATTGTATGCAATACTTCTATTTTTTTAAGTAATACTTTTGTTGGCTATAATGTATTTTCACATTTTAACATAAAAAGAAAAAAAACGATGTAACCAAAATGTCTTGAATAAAAAATATATTAAAAAGGTTTTAAAATTGTGACATGTTGTCTAATATACTTCATTGGTAGGTTATAATGTTTTACAAATCTGTTTAATGTAATTGAAAAATATTTTGAAAATTAATACAGTAAGATAGCATTAGTTTAGACAGAATATAGTAAAACAGCAATATCTTGAAATATTACTATGTTGTAAAATAACTTTATATATTATATTATATTATATTATTCATTCAATTGTTTTCTTTTCGGCTTAGTTTCTTAATTAATCTGTGGTTGCCACGGCAGAATGAACCGCCAACTTATCCAGCATGTTTTACACAGCAGATGCCCTTCCAGCTGCAACCCATCACTGGGAAACAACCATACACTTTCTTTCACACATATACTACGGACAATTTTAGCTTTCCCAATTCACCTATAGCGCAAATTCTTTGGACTGTGGGGGAAACCGGGGCACCCGGAGAAAACCAACATAAACATGAGGAGAACATGCAAACTCCACACAGAAACTGCCAACTGACCCACCTGAGGCTCGAACCAGAAACCTTCTTGCTCTGAGGCAACAGTGTTAACCACTGCGCCACCACATCACCCTATATTATATTATATTATATTATATTATATTATATTATATTATATTATATTATATTATATCAATTTACATTTTTCCACACCTTCAGAAAATGTATTATTATTAGTAGTATTAAGAATAACAGTAAAATTAATCATAACTATTTTTATCATTTATATTTCTAAGTAAAATGACTAAACTAATGCTTATGATTTTAGTTGGTTCCACAGAGCTTTTATTTTGGCAGAAAACTTCAGGAAAACTGCCATTCTGAAACACTTCTCTTTTGCAATCCTTGAAAGTTTTTAACATTTATATATTTTTAAAACGTATGAACATTTACATGTATTTATGTATGTATTATATCATCTTTGCATCAAATTACAAAAATAAAACATATTTTCATATTTAACACAAATGGAAAAAGAACAAAATTTTTGACACATTCTGAATATTTCATGTTTTAACACATGCGTGTGAGAACAAATGTCTATGAAGTACTCCAAGACAACGACAATACACTGACCAGCAGCTGTGAGCTGCAGTACTTGAGATGAACCAGCAGGGTGTGATCTAGAGCTGGGCAATTTGTACTGAGAGGACCAGAAGGAGTGTCCCAACATCTGGCCTCACAGCCCTCGTCCTCTCCTGCACTCTCCACAGCTGCGGGACGCTCCTTAGTGCTGCTTCTATCACAACACACACAAACAAAACAAATGTCAGATGAAAGGAAAGCAATAGGGCAACGCAAAAATATATTTACAGAAAAAGAAATTTAGCATTTACTCTTCAAGACACTAGGTGGCAGTAGAGTCACGTAGAAGATATTTATTTTGACTGGAAATGTTGTTTAAACGTGATTAGAATCAACACAGGGTAGAAAATATCTATGGCTATTTGTTAACAGATTTTCTGTCTCCAGTCACTGACCTTTACCAAAATAGAACCAAAAATAACAGAATACCAACAATTTAGTCCTGCTTTTTAAAATAGTTTGGATAAAACCAGACTACAAACACATCATGTATAAACTGTACCTATAAGCTCCAGCAATAGGTCAAATATTCTTATACAATGCCTTTATGTCCCCCTGTCATTTGTTCACTGCTTATGTTTCAGCGCTCCCATGTTGCTAGGCAACTTCTTTCACCCAGAGATTGTGGTAATCAGTTTGAGTCACAATGGATAAAAGGTGGCAATTTATGAATGGCATGACACTGGTATTAGAGGCAGTAAACACCATGAGTGATGATGAATATGAGGGGTGAGTGTTGTGTCCTGAGTTTGTGCTCAGTATCAGAGTATCAGTATCTAGACATTATGTTTTAGAAAGACAGTGGTATAATACAGTGACATCATATATTTTTCGCCATATGAAAGCATAAAAAGCATAAAAACAGCTGGTGGATTTAGGTATATAATCCATCTGACCGATCTAGTATTAAAAACAGCACTTGACAGCAGATTCTTCAGTTCTGACCTGTCTGTCACACTCTGTTTCTCTCCATCTTCCTCCTCCTCCTCCTCTTCTTCTTCCTCCAGGTCTGATGTGTTGAGGAAGTCAAAGCTTTCCAGAGCCGTTTCAACTGTCAAACTGACACTGGAGGAGCGACTGCGACTCCGCGTCTGCAGGTAAACAAACAGAACAGTAATCTATCATTCCCTTAGTCTTCCATATAATGTCAAATGAAACACTCATGATCATTTGATAAATTTTACACTTCAAGATCAATAGTCAACACCAAAAATATGAAACAGAAACCCCATCAGAAAAATAGATTAATAAAAGTTGATCAGGGTGAGCAAGGAACAAGATCATTTGCAGTATATATTTGTAATATGAGGTAACAAACACACGTAGACTGCAGAGTATTTTGTTAAACACACATTTAAGCATATTATCATATCACTTAGCTTTTTTAATGTGATTTTTCTGGAGTAAAAGAATCGCAATATACTTTATTAAACATCATCTGTATAAGTGGAGATTGATTAATTATTTGCCGTGTTTTCATTTACATTATCAATTCAAAATACAACACAATAGATCTCTGTCAGTTTCTTTTGTCGAGATAAATTAAAATTTAGCATGTATTTTATCTCAGGTTACTCTATCTGTTGGTTTGAATTAGATATCTCACTCACTCCTACTAAAATAAACCTATCTACCACCCAAGCTAAAAAGATTTAGCAAGGCATCTACTCCGTTTGTTAAAATATTTCAGTACGATTTTTTAATATTTTAGTATGATTTTTTTCCCCAAGTATTTTTGTTCCAGAGTACATCATGCTCTGTGTGTGTCTGAGAGAGAGAGAGAGAGAGAAAGAGAGAGAGAGCTAGAGCAAGCACTGAAAGATGCATCAGATTAGAGCTAAGCTCATTAATATTCATGACCATTCCAAATATGGTCAATAAGGAACTTTGATTGTAAGGATATTTTATGAAGTAATAAATAAGCATATTAAACAATTTGTGGAGAATTTCTGAGTTTACCTAAGCCACATAACTAATATGTATATATCAGAGAACAATTTATCTTATTAAATTAATGCAGTACATGGCACCTTTAAGTTCTGTGCTGCACTCCCTTACAGTAAATTACCACAAAAACAATAATGTATTTCCAATGGAATTTTACAGTTCCTAAAGTATAGCCAGGGCAGCACAGTGGCACAGTTCAAGCCCCGGCTGGGTCAGTTGGCATTTCTGTGTGGAATTTGCATGTTCTCCCTGTGTTCACGTGGGTTTCTTCAGGTGCTACGAGTGCTTCCCCCACAAGTCCAAAAACATGAGGTATAGGTGAATTGAATGAGCTAAACTGTACATAGTGTATGTGTGTGAATGAGTGCGTATGGATGTTTTCTAGTGATGGATTGCAGCTGGAAGGGCATCCGCTGCGTAAATTAAATGCTGGATAAATTGGCGGTTCTTTCTGCTGTGGCAACCCCAGATTAATAAAGGGACTAAGTCAAAAAGAAAATGAATGAATTAATGAATGAATGAATGAATGAATGAAAGAAAGTATAGCCACAAAAGGCTACTGTGATATAATCGCTAACTAACCACCTTGTCTATGAAAGTAACACCTAGTCTTTCTTCTGAAACTCCCACTCCACCTTTACAAGTAAAGTGCAATACTGCAAAGGCAGTGTTTGCTTTTTACAAACTGTGGAACAATTATATCTGTTAATCAACAACCTGACAAAAACACTGTCAATAACAGTTTCCTTTATAAAACCCTGGAACATTCAAAAGGCCAGTTCTGGAAAAAGACACACTGTTTAGTCTGTGACTAAGCAGGATGAAGCGGTTAATAATGAAAGTATAGGGTGAGTCTTTGAGGAACTCTATTGTTCTATAGATGAAGACCAAAGCCTCTGGACCCGAACCCGGATCTAAGAGTTTGATGGTTATCAAGGGTCTTGTATTTTAGGAACACCCAAAGGCTTCTGCACCCAAAACAAAAGGAATTTAATATCTCAGGAAGAGCTACGCCCGGAATCAGTGAAGCCCTCCTGTATGCTGGACAGGACAGAACAAGACTTCACTTTCAACTTCCTTGACCTTCTCCAACTCATAAAAGCGTTCAAATACTGATCCGATATGGCGATTTAGATTTATCTTACCAGTGGTGAGGGCAGAGGTGCAAACTAAGTCAAAGAGGCACAACAGATGGGTCACGTTAAAGTAATACAAATACCATGTGGTGTCTAACTATCAAATTATACTAATAAACAAATCCCTACAATGCAAGTGCGTCATACAATATGCATACACATCTTGCATGCTATACAGTGGTCAACATTGGAAGTGGAAAACCTTTTATCAAAGTTGTCCTAAATTTATTGATCAACACTCATTCTTGTCTTAGGATAATTTCAATAATCTTTTTTGATCCACTTCAAATGTTGACTACTGTATACATTACTGTAGACTACAGTAAATATGTATTCTTATACACACACATACCTTTTGGTTTACAAGAAAGTGTGTATAATTACTAACTTACATATTATTATTAATGTGTGTTAGACACATAGTCTTAGAAAGAAAGATTTACAGATAGGTAGACTTTTTTTTCTCTCCAGAAAATAAACAAAACAAAATAAAAATGTCAAAATTGAAAATTAGGGTTATTCCACTAATTACCATTTTTTGTTATAATTCTGAATTTAATATTTTCTATTGTATTGCCTACAAATAAATACAAATAATAAAAATGTAACAATGGGACTTTCTTTATTATTAAATCTGGATGTCAGGAGAGTTTTAATCAACCTTAGAATTAATGTACCCTCGAAGGCACAAAAACTATTTTATAACAGAAAAAAAAGTGAGAGAATAAGAATCAACCAATAGAATTACACAAAAACACATAAGAGAATCATGCCACTGACTAGAAGTTGCACTGACAAGTCGACTAATCGACTTTGATTCTCTGCTGTGACGCTTTTTGATTGACGTCGACTAGTCGCTCTGCACAGATCACGTGTTTTTTGACCTGGCATGACAGCTTTACAAACTAAGGTGGTTCACTGAATGAAACTGCCCGCTCGGACTATTTAAAGTTATTTTATAATGTTATTTTTCTTATGGCAGCATCAAAGATTCACATGAACCTTGTGTGAACTTTCACAAACTCCAGTGTGTGTAAACATTATCCCCAGTGAACGCGGCAAAAATGTGCAGTGAGGAGAATTCGGATAACTAAGATGAGCCAGTGAACGCCTGACTTGAGCAGGATTTGAGCAGCTTTCAAGCGTGTACCATCAAAGTGGTAAAACACGCTTATGAGCAAATCTCCAACAGTGTAGTAAAGCTTAACGTTATAGCCTTTGTCTTTTTTGGGTTATCTATAACTTAACATGAATCTGTGTGCTGAGGACGTATGTATTATTTCAGCACTAAAATATCTGTTATTGTTACCAGGGATTGGCACAAATACATTGTAATGTATTTTACATTAAAATACTAAATGCCTCAGTTTTACATGTATCAAAATAAACTACAAAATACAGCAGCCACAACAAGTATCCAAATAAAATACTGTATTTTGTATTTTAAAAAATACTACCAAATACTTTTACAAGGAAGCATAACTTTTCTTCGCAACCTTCAATCAACAGGCATATTTGATCAATCTCTTCACCATTAAAGGTCACCATTACTGACTTTCTTTTATTTTAGCATACTTTTGTAAGTTTATACAGAAAGTCCTGTCTTAAAGATGATCTCTTTAATCACTGTGAAAACAGTGTTTTTAATAAGTATTATTAAATATTTGTGTCTCATATACTGTATTGTGCCACGTTGACATTTTGTCTTTGACTGTACTCTGCATCTGCACTGCAGATCATCTAACGGCATTTGAAACAGCCAATGAAGTATTGAAGGAATTGCCACTGTAGAACTTATTTGTATGTTGTTTATTCTATTTTCTTGTCATCTACATCAGCAATCAATCCAAAACTATCATTTTTAGTACAGAAAGTATCAATCTGAGGCCGCATTTTTATGATGTCGTCATGTAGACAAGAGACTAAATACAAGACACCAAAGTATTTTGATACGAAATGTTAACCCATTTAAATAAACCCCATAAAATACTAATTACAAAATACTATTTTGTATTTGAAATTTGTATTTGAAATACATACATCATAAATACTGTCCATTCCTGATTGTTTTATTCTTAGGAGAATGTGCACTGATCAATGTGTTGACTGTTAGCAGCAAAATTAGCCTGGGCGCTAATGTCGCATTATTGACGAAATGAAAGTGTTGACAGTGCATATGTTTTGCAGTAAAACTAATCATTGGTAATGCTACAATGTTTTTGCAACATGTTATGAGCTGTCAAACAGCATGTGTATATATTCCCTGCAAATAAATCGCAAATTGTGGCATGTTGCAAAGCCTTTGCATCTTGTGTTTTATTAGCCCCTTTCACACATACAGACCTTTCCGGAAAATTACCAGCAATTTTCCAGAAAGTTCTGTATGTGTGAACAGGCCCTTTTTTATAATACTGGTAAATTCAGCAATTTTCCGGAAAGAGAAGTTGTAGCATTACCGGTAATTTGCCGAAATGCTGCGCCGGTCGAAAGCAGAAGGAAAATTGCCGGAAAGAGCTTGTTCACGTCTAACGTCTAGAACGCGCTGACGTGAGACATCTACTTTAGCCAATCAGAACACTCAGGCACATTCACATCCACGCTGTTTATAAAAAATAAAAGCCTTTGAATATTTTTCCAGACACATTTAGTTACTAGATGTTATTCAGATAACGTTTCTATGTTCCTTCTTAATGCCAACTGTGTAAAAATTATCGTTAAAATGCTTATGATAAACTGTTGTTTGTTTATCTTCAAGCTCTGCTTCAGTTTCTTGACTAGTGAGGGAGGAAGCCAACACACACACATTATGAATATCTCGACATGTGAAAGTGTTCCTCCATATGTTTTTATATAAGTTGTTCACAATACTTATCTATGCACAGAATTTGTAATGTCGTCAAGTGTGTCAACATTTAGCTGCAGTTCGCGTTTCTGCCTTTGAATGTCTCGCAAAGCAGCTGCATGAATGCTAAAGCTTTAAATAAAAGTGAAACCATCAAGAAAAGGCTGACCCCTTCTAGGTTTACAAATGCAAACGTTGCTGTTTTCAGGTCTTTTCTGGTTAATGATGTCAGAATTTACCTGTATTTTGGAATGGATGTGTGAATGGTCTTTTCCGGAAAATTTACGGAACGTCTGTGTGAACACCTTTTTTATGAATTTACTGTAAAGTCGTTATGGATATTTTCCATATATTTACCAGTACCACTGTGTGAAAGGTGCAATTAACCCTCTCAAGGCAGGCGTTGCAGATTTGCAACAGTTAAAAGCATAGACTTTGTCTGTTTCTAAAATTTAATTTGAGCCTGAAAGGGTTAAAAACGTCACCAGCATCTAGTCCACATCGACTCTACTATCAAAAATCTAAAGTCGTTCAACCCCTACCAATGACCCTAACCCAAATAGCAAACCCACAATCAATAACAAGACTTTACACTCACCGTGAGAGTCTCCTCCAGCATCTTCAGCTCCTGCTCAAGAACCTGTAGTTCAGGGAACTGGCCTCGGTAATCATCAAGAGAAGATAAAACGCCACTTAGGGCCTCCTCTAGACCATTGTCCACGGACTGTCCTTCCAAACCACCCACAGATCTGCTGTCCACCAAAGAGCCAGACTTCTCTGCCAGCAGATTGTCTGTTTGTGTCTTTGTGTGTTGCGGCTCATGAGAGGAATCAGTTCTACAATCCCCATTGTCCATCTGCTGGGACAAAGCATTGTGGGCAGAGTCTTTATCTCCACAGGTGAGCTCTGAAGCTTTCTCAGCAGCCGTCTCACGAACTACGCTTTCAGCAGGAGAGTGACATTCTGAACAGTTCATTGGCTCAGCAGGACACGATGGCTCATTTGTTGAGGGATCAGGAACAGAGCAGCTCTCCTGAGTGTCTGGTACAACAAAACACAGTTCTGCTCGGTGAGGAACATCCATGGAAATGTCACTATCTAATACCGAAGAGACCGTTGAAGTCACTTCGTCGGATTCCCCAGCCAATCTTTCTGTCAAAACACCATCTGCGCTGATTTCGCTAATATGGCTAAGCGAGCGAGAGTAGCGAGGATGGCCATTGGGCACTTCCGGTTTTGCAGGAGCCTCTGTTGTGACTCTTATGGTGGCTGCTGGTTTCTTTAGATCCTCATCTTCTTCCTCTTCCTCGTCCTCTTCCTTCTGATTGGCAAGGCGGGTGGGAGTAGAGGTGGCTGATTCGCGGGGTGCAAATGAGATTTCGATGGCAGGAGGAGCAGCTTGTACCTCAGGCTGAACCAAGTTTTTGTGAGCGTGACGCATTGCTAAGGAGAGCTGAGGACTGGATGAGTCGTCTGAGGATTCAGAGGAGTTTGACCAGGCTGTCCCGTTCTCCATGTCTTCTTGTCTCCTCAACATGTTCTAGTGAGGACAAAAGAGATTGTGAGGAATACAAGTAATGATTATGATTGTTAAAGAGAAGGCTCTTTCACATGACTTGCACTGATGTTAGTTAAAACTACAAAGACTGTGGACTAAATTGACAAAAAGTACAAATCTGGGGGTGGTAATATTGTTTAAAGTAATTATTTCTATAAGAAGTCTGGTATAAGAGCTATGGCTAAAAATTGCTCAAATAATTCTGCAAATTTCAAAATGCATCGCTATTCTCTCTTAAATTGATTCTGAGCTCAGTTTTTCCAATAGACGGCACTATGCTTTACAAAAAGCCATACTTTGCTAGCATCCAATTTTCCATAAATATACAAACAAAAATAATTATTAATAAAGTAGGAAAGGTTTAAGTGAAATGAAAGAGGGTTTATAGTTAGCTGTTTATATTAATCTGGTGACATACAAGGCAAAGTACAAAAACACACTTTCTTGTAAGCATTTGAGAGTATTAATAAAAACTAGCCTACAGCCCCATTTTAAGCACAGTAAGTGCATTGATTCAAAGACTATTGAATATGACACTATAATATAGACTGATTCTTCTCTGGTGTAGGAGCTCCGATCAAATGTCAGTTTCTGCAGGCTTTGTGTGATTAAAATGTTTAGAAATGAAACTAAAGCGACAGTTGTTGTTTAAAAAGCCTATATTTTGGGTTTTTGAAAATGACCTTCCATGCAATGTTTAACACAGCTTTAAGTGAAGTGAAATATCCAGCTTAGGCTTAAATCTGAAAGTGCGGCATGTTTAAAACTATTGATTCATCTATAAAGAGTCGACTTAGTGGTTTGAATGAATCGCTGCTTTAACGGGTTTTTAGTCATGTCAGCGTGACATTGATACGGAACTCAAACCCCTTTCATTTGTTGCGCACAAAAACCCGGGAAAATTTTAACCCCTGACCCCTCCCACAAACATTGTAAAAAGAAAAAGAGGAAGACAAATACTGTAGCAGTTCCTGGTTGAATCAAGTCACGAAGACGCTGACCTCTAAAGTGTGAGGGAAAGTTGGTGTTATTTTCCCTACCCAAAGATGAGGCTGTGAAGAGTCAGTGGTTCAAGTTTATTTTTGCAAAAATACCTCAGCATTATAGGCCCAGCCTTATGCTATGTTCCTGTCATTTTTCTGATGACGCTTCAGCAATCTACACGCTTACACCGGTTTGTCAGCCATTTGTTAAAGGAAGGATCAGAAAAGACTATTGATGTATGTAACTTTGTCAGAGCTTGACAGGAACACAGATCATAGATCAGTTTCTTCCTCCAGTTCACAAGTGTAAGTAAGTGCATTTAAAATGGTTGCCTCCTTGTTTTCTTTAGCTTGCAGATTATGTATCGAATTCAACTGCTTGTACTGTATCTGGTTAACTCTTTATATTCTCATATTGCGTCTAAAGCCACGTTGAAAACGTGACACGTGCCACTTTGTTTTTTGGATTTAAATACTTTTGTGAGCTCACGATTCACTGCCGTTTTTCATTGCTATGGCCACCATCAGCTGTTCCTACACACGTGCGGCATGAGGCAAAATTGTTCAGCTTTTGCCACTGTGTGGATTAATACTGAATGTGTTTCACTGTTATTACTTATGGTTAAGAATAGAGCAAGATGCTGGTGTTAAACTGCACTGCTTTAATGCAGTCCTGCATTGGGCTCACACAACACTCTGCACTCTGACTACTTCAAAATTGTTGATAAGCCATGGTGGGCATTTCTCTGTTTCACGCTGAACGCAGTCGAGCAATAGCAACAAGCTGGGTCATCGGACCAATCAGCGCAGATAAGCATCGTACTAAGGAGGGGTTTGAAAACAAATGAATGGTTGAACGAATCATATGGGGGTCATTGGGATAATTAGGTAAAAATAAATGCCTATTATAAATGTTTTTTGACCTTGCATGCTTATCAGCCTGTTGCTAAAGACCCCCAAAAACAAAACATGACGTTTTTAAATGCATAATAGGGGCTCTTTAATTTTATTGGTGATTCCTAATATGACAATTAATCGTAAGCTTTGCAAGCACTTTTGAAAAATTATATGTTTCCCTATTTAAACAGAATGCCAGAACATACTGCCCGAGAGATGCTTCAAAGATGGCTGCCAAGTTAAATGACTTGCCTTAAAGGGACTTTGATTAATTCAAGAGAGATTGGCGAGGCATTTTGAAAATCTTCAAATTGATGCAGAATCGATTAATCTAATAATTTTTCAGCACAAAATGCATAGAATACATATTTTTGATATAAAATCCAGTAAACTATTAATTTGAATGACTTTTTATTTATATATTTTCTGAATTTTTAGATTAGTAATTTTGATAATATTGCAGCTTTCCATTTTTTATGTGTACATATAGTTTATTTTTAGTTTTAATTTTAGTTGTAGCTTATTTTTAGGTTTCAAAAATAACGTTGACACAGATTTCTGTCTTTCCTTAATCAAATATGCACTCATTATCAACAAAAAAAAAATAGCTGCCAGAGATGTCACAAAGATCAGTGAACAACCATGCCTTAAAGAGACTTTCTATTTTCATAAACAGTCATGATGCTTGTGTTGAAGCCCTGATGGAGTCATGTAAAAGTCCAATGTTTAATTCACTAATACATGTAGACTATAAACAGACAGCAGAACAGTTTCTAGAGGGCTAAAAGAGTACAGTAGGGTGACAGGAGTGTGTTCTCCGTCACTCAGCATTAGTGTGTATATTTGTTCACAAAGAGTCATTACAGTGGAGAGTGGACTGGCGTCAGGCCCAGCACACAAACACACTCCCCGTTCCCTCTAATTAACTCTCTGCCTCGCCAAGCTAATGCGTACACCCTTCAGAACAACAGCAGCATCAGTGAATGCATTATTGATAGTGGTGGATGCTACGATTGTCACTCACAGCCGGACAGACAATGACTAACATGCACAGGAATCCTATTTGCTCTATTTAATTAAAGACAAGTGACAAAAACTACGAGACATCATCACTACAACAGCTATCATTTTCTAGCTAGAGGACAGAAACTACTAATTAACACCATACAAACCTGCTTTGTCACACATTTCTAGTCAACTACTGGCTATTTCCAACTAGCGCTACAGGTCGAGCGCACTTACATGACTGGTAAGCAGAGCCGAGCCGAGGCGAACAGAAGTGACATCACTATATGAGCAGCTTTGAGTCAGTTTCTCTGTCAGTGTGTCTCTGAACACATCCAGTAAGGACCAGCGCTGTTTGGACATCAGGCTACGTGGAGCTGTCTGCATGCAGTTAGCAGAAGAATATGAGCAAGCTAACACTAAATCTCTTTTCGCCTCAGGTAATCTGACCCAGCAAAGTTATGAGCTAGCCAAACTTCATGTTTTATCGAGCTGGTCTGAAATGCAGACACTGTACGTTACTGTGACCACATGAGATGAAGATGCTTCTGAGAAATGGCTACTATTAAGTCCTCGTGGAGATCCTGATGTGCTAATTTCAATCTTCAGAGGGTCTGGAGAACTGTGAGATCTCCATTAGGACGGGGGAGAGAGAATAGCGGTTTATCGACATTATGGCGGTATGCACTTTGCAGAAATGTTTGGTTTGAATCAATTCAGATTAAATAAATTATGCTCCAATATCCAAGCAAAATAGAGGAATTATGGCAGCTGAGTTAAAGTAGAGTTCAAAGGATTTAAAGAATAGAAAGGTTAAACATGTTTAAATATAGCTTTTTAATATAGCTAAATATAGTAAATACAGCTAAATATAGTTTAAATATGCATGTTAAAATATAAAACTTAAGAAATTGAAAAGTTTAGTTTCTCAGATAAGTTGTTAATCTGCTGACCCTCCGACCATCTAAGATATACACTCACTGGCCACTTTATTAGGTACACCTTACTAGTACCGGGTTGGACCCTGTTGCCTTCAGAACTGCCTTAATCCTTTGTGGCACAGATTCAACAAGGCACTGGAAATATTCAGAGATTCCAGTCCATATTGACATGATAGCATCATGCAGTTGCAGCAGATTTGTCGGCTGCACATCCATGATGTGAATTTCCCTTTCCATCTGAAAAATGTTTTATTGGATTGAGCTCAGGTGACTGTGGAGGCCATTTGAGTACAGTGAACTCATTGCCATATACAAGAAACCAGTCTGAGATGATTGACACGGCTTGTTATCCTGCTGGAAGTAGCCATCAGAAGATGGCTACACTGTGGTCAAAAAGGGATGAACATGGTCAGCAACAATACTCAAGTAGGTTTTGGTTTTGACACAATGCTCAATTGGTACTAATGAGCCTAAAGTGTGCTAAAAAACATCCCCCACACCCTTACACCACCACCACCAGCCTGATCCGTTGATACAAGGCAGGATGGATCCATGCTTTCATGTTGTTGACGCCAAATTCTGACCCTACCATCTGAATGTCACAGCAGAATACTCATCAGACCAGGCAACGATTACCCAGTCTTCTATTGACCAATTTTGGTGAGCCTGTGCAAATTGTAGCTTCAGTGTCCTGTTATTAGCTGTCCGGAGTAGCACTCAGTGTGGTCTTCTGCTGATGTAGCCCATCTGCCTTAAGTTTGGACGTGTTATGTGTTCAGAGATGCTTACATACCTCGGTTGTGCCGAGTAGTAGTTTGAGTTAATGCTCTTTTGACCTCTGGCATCAACAAGGCATTTGTACCCACAGAACTGCCGCTCATTGGATATTTTCCTGTTTTTTGAATCATTCTCTGTAAACCCTAGAGATGATTGTGCAAGAAAATCCCAGTAGATCAGCAGTTTCTGTAATACTCAGACCAGCCCGTCTGGCACCGACAACCATGCCACAGTCAAAGTCACTTAAATCACCTTTCTTCCCCATTCTGATGCTCGGTTTGAACAGCAGCAGATTGTCTTGACCATGTCTACATGCCTTAATGCATTGAGTTGCTGCCATGTAATTGGCAGAACAGAAATTAGAATTAATGTGAAGGTAAGCAGGTGTACCTAATAAAGTGGCCGGTGAGTGAATATGCTATTTTTTTCCCCAGTAAAACATTAAAAAAGATTAACAGCTGAAACTGTGATTCTTGGAGATTCAATAAAAACTGCCATTACTTTCAGGATAAAAATTGAAGCAAACCAAAAGTAATGCCTGTTGCTCCTGCTGAAGCAAAATGATAAATGTCTAAGAAACTGAACACAATTTACAACATTACAATATTACCTTAAATCCACAGCAAACAGCTTATAACAGTCTGAAGCACAACTTGAACAACTCGAAGGTGAGTAATGACATAATTCTGGCCCTCATTTTTTTGAGTAAACTATTCCTTTTAAGGCATTGAGATGAAAAGCTAAATGCAGAGAATGGACCGACTCACATAGAAGGCCTGCTCTCGTAGAGAAGGAGTGTCTGGAGGACTCTGGTTGTAGGTAGAAAATCGTTTGTTGACAGTAGGAGCTTTGTTCACGGTGCTGGCTGAAGACGACTGATCATCTTTGTCAAATGGACTAGAGAAGACAAGAGATTCATGTTAGCAGTGCGTTCAGTGAAATCAAATAAAATGATCATTTAATTTAAAGTATAAATCTAATAATATTAAATTAAATCAAATCAGTTGTCAAATTGAATAATTTTAGCACTTTCTTAAAATGCTTTGTGATTGTGGAAGGTTGAACTTACTTCCAGGTGACCTCTAGACTGAGTTTGATGGTGCCCAGGTCATTAATATCCACAGCTACTGTTTGTGGCAGTGCAGCAAACAAGTCCTTCGTCTCACACGAGACACTTCCCACCACCACATGATTGGCCAGACTCTTTAGCTCCGTCACCTTGACAAACACATATGAGAAGTTCATTTACGAAGGACACTTCACCATCAGTTTAATGACCACCACAAACATCTCAAGCTCATGATAATATTAGTACACACAACAGCTTTGAGATCACATTTAATATAATGTTCCTTCTAACCCCCCTGAAAGGCTACTCTACACTGCTTGGTCAACTGGCTGAGTGGTCTGCTGCAGAAGTGGATTGAAACTACTTATTTAACTAATGTACTTAAGTAGATTTTTTAAGTAGCCGGCAGCTTGCTCTTAGCAACTCTTGCATGGTCACCCACTGAAGCTAGGCCTGTGCCTGGTCATTACCTGGAGGGGAGACCACATGGGAAAGCTAGGTTGCTGCCGGAAATGGTGTTAGTGAGACCAGCAGGGGGCGCTCATCCTGCGGTCTGTGTGGGACCGAACACTCCAGTATAGTGAAGGGGACTCTATACTGCTCAGAGAGTGGTGTCTTTCGGATGAGACGTTAAACCGGATGTCCAAAGAAAAAGAGTAGGCCTCTGTTCATCATAGCCTTATAACCATCCTCATATCATAATTGGCTTCATCACTCTGTCTCCTCTCCACTATTTAGCTGATTGTGGTGTGAGGTCTGGCACAATATGGCTGCTGTTGTGTCATCCAGGTGAATGCTGCACACTGGTGGTGGATGAGGACAATCCCCCCATGTGTAAAGCGCTTTGAGTGTCCAGAAAAGCACTACATAAACATAAAGAATTATTCATTAATTATTATGATGAAGTATCTTAAGTATCTTAGTATTATTAAGTAGTAATAATACGTTATTGGAGCATTTTTATTTTAGTATTTTACTAAACAAAATATTGTACTTTTCTTCTAAAAAAAAAAAGCTGAGTAAAAGGTTATTCTAAAAAGGAAGATATCATCGTAAAAAAGATATTGGTGTTAGATTCATGATCAGTTGAATTGGTTCACAAATTATGTGAAATGATCTGATCCAATCACATCTGTTCTCAATGATTCAGAGCGAGTCTCCAGCTGACAACTAATGATTCAAATGATTCAAACAGTGTCGCTGCATTCCAAACAAGATGTATTGCCCTTCAAGTGAAAAAAACATGGCCCTCATATTTAAGTATCTTTCCAAACCGAAGTGTTAAAAAACTAGCCACTTCGAAGAGCCCTTTAGAATGAAGGAGTTTGAAAAATATAACTGATGGAAACTCCCACTTCTCTCAATTCGGAACAGCTCATCCCTATGCTCTAATCCCATCAGAGGGACCCTTGGAAGGGATTAGGTCTCCAAGAATGAGCCTTTCAGATTGTAATCCACCCTAAACCTAAAGATTGTAATCCACCTCTCAAAAAGTTAAAACTACCATGCCCAGTGGCAGTGGAAATGCAAGCCTGATAAAGGTGACCTGTTCCGACCCAAGCCGTACTGTACCACTCAGTGGAAACAGGCTATTAGGCTCTTTCTGGTGAGAAAACAACTCACTGATTCAAAGGATCCATTTAGAATGAGTCTGTAGAAAACAACTCACTGATTCAAATGATTCAGAGGAAAGTCTGGTTTATACTTGTGTGTTGAGTGATCGGTCTGACCCACGATGCATGTTTGTGTTGGTCTGCAATAACGCAAGCTGGCAGTAAGGTTTTTATGTTCCACTGTGTCGAGTTTCTTTGCTGGTGTTTTGTTTTTTCTGAATGCTACCTTAATGTAGAAGTAGCTCAAACTGGCTCATATTGAGGCAGGAACTGGCGGACGTGCAACAGCTTTAATTAGAAGGTAAACACAAAACAAAAGTTTCAATCTGTATCTCCTTCACGGCACTCGACACTTGTAAACAGTCGCTCCAACAGGTTCGCACGACTCTCGTCCCACCCACACTCATTTGCGCTCACAAGCCAACCAATCAGAGCTTGCGCTACACGTCGTTGCGACATGCTGCACTGGAGCATATGCGTACACTTGATGCAGAATCATAAATCAGCCTTAAGAGTCATGATTTACTGAATTTACAAATGGATTGAACTGGGTTAAGTTTTATTTAAAAATGAAATACAATATTAAACTTACGTAAATGAATGATCATGGTGCTGTAGCACACAACAGCCATAATTTACAAACATAACAGTTTCTTAGTAAATAAGAATCCTGCAAAAACAAACAACAATAATGATAAAAGATCTCTCAATTTATTCAGACAAATATTCTACAACTCATCGTAGAACCACTTTTAAAAATTTCCCTTAAAATATTTTAAGTTTTAATCATTTATAAATGTCTAATAAAAATGTTAATTTTTTAATATGTTTGAATAATCAAAACATTCTTGCAAAAGCCACTTACTTGAGTGATACAACCAGGTCATGTATCTTCTTTCATAATCCTAGTTATTTCGTTCATTTTCATTTTTAAAGAAGATGATGCAGTATATTACTCTCAGCTGAGCTAAAAATGATTGTGTCTGAAAACAATACATGTACTAACATGTATTTCCACATTATGTCATTTCAAGTGAACGGTTAGTGTTGTAGTAATCAATCGTTTGCTTGGTTATCAGTCTCTATTTTGTTATAAATCACTAAACCACTATGCCTGCCTCAGAAGTCCATCCAAAATCCGTTTTGTACAGTGCCTGTATCCACAAACTCTGCAAAGTCATTGCTTAATAGGGCAGCGAGGAAGCAAGTCAGCTGCCTATGCTTTTGGACACAGACATGGTTATGCAAAGGGTCATTTTTGATTACACGCTCTTCAAATAATGCTGTAAATAAGTCATGGAGTCACATGGCGCTACAAATCAATCGCAACATCCCATTTTACATTGGTCAAGCCCATCTGAAACATTTTGCCAGACATCAGCTGCATTCTCTTCGTTCTTCCCCTGGAGTCTCTCTGTTTTAATATCTCTGTCTTGTGTAAACTTCCTTTTCTCTATCCTGTGCTGTCTTCCCTCCTCTCTGTCCCTGTTCCCATCCCCTCATCTGTAGTGATGTGTCATGGAACCATTGGGAGAGAAAAACAAGTCAAAGTCCAGCTGCTGTGCTGTTATGTGCATTAATGTCTCACAGATTGATGGGACCGTGATGTGAATGTCAACGTGACAGGAAGGAGAGACAAGAGATTGATAGTATGTGTGACTCAGTGTGAAAAAAAGGGAAAGAGAGAAAAAAAACAGACAGTTTTGGTGTGAAAGTAACTGTATATTCAGATTAAAACTACCTTTATGGACAGGAACTCTGTGATGAGCGGGAGGAAGACCATCTCCTCACTGTCCCACACTTGCTTGCCATTGATTTCAATCCGACCCCGCAGCTTCCATCTCTGACGACCGTACTTCATAAAGATCTATGGAGGTATTTAGATGAAAAATACATTACAATTGTATTTTAATAAGTACAGTATTATTAATACAATTTAATAAGAACAGAGTGCTTCCCACACATAGATTTTACTTGGGCGGGCCACCTAAGTATATTTCATTCATTCATTTTCTTTTCGGCTTAGTCCCTTTATTGACCTGGGGTAACAATAGCGGAATGAACCACCAACTTTTCCAGCATATGTTTTACGCAGCGCATGCCCTTCCACCTGCGACCCATCACTGAGAAACATCAATACAGACTCATTTACAAGCTCATTTATTCAGCTTTTGTTTTCGCTTTCTAAAGTCATCGTTAATTATGTGTGTTTTTGCTTTACATTTTTATTTTAAGCCTGATTTACTTTCACTTGGTTTCGCAGTTGATAGTGCGCAAGAGCGAGAGAAACATTAAACAATTCATTCTTTGATCTAACTGTCTCGGATAAACGTATCTATAAATGCAGAGAGGACGAAATTACTTTTAAACTGGTTGCAAAATATCTGTACACCATTATAAATGGTCTGTTTTTATTTCTTTGTGTCATTTATTTCTCATTTGCTGTATATTTTTCTAATTTGATGATATTGATAAATTACATATTTCATAGATATCTAACATGCTTTGGCAATACTGTACAAAATATCAGCAGCAGATTTGACCTGGCTGCACCTGAACAGAATAAAAGTAAAACAATTAGTAAATTTCTTTCTTTAATAACTTCAACCCATTGAAAAGAAAAAGTGTAAAAACCATGTCATAATGTAAAAAAATATTGTTAAAAAACATTTTTTTGTCACATAGTTAACCATGTGCTGTGGATAAAAGGTGTGTTTCAATCTGGCTACCACCACAAGTATATTTCAAGCCTGTGTAAGTACTGAAGCAACAACATTATTATTATTATTATTAATATAATCATTATTTTTGTTGTTGATTAGGAAAGTTATCAAAACTTACACTGCTGGCAACCATATTTTATAAAGATCTTTGTAGGTATTAAAAGTAATTACCTATTAAATAAACATTTAGCTAAATTATTTGCTTATTATACAAGTAATAACATTAATAATTACAATAATTTATCTTTATATGTAGTTTTAGAACATACATAATTATTTAGAAATTTCAATTATATGAATAACTGAGATTTTACTGGAATATGAAACTACATAAAATAGATAATATTCCTGAAAAATATATCCTTTAAATAATTATTTTAACACAACAACCAGCTTGTTTTTACAGAATAAAGCTTATATTCTCTCTTACATTCTCTTTCTGCCATCATATTGTTTTTTCTCTTGTATCAAGAAACAAAATGTCAAGCTTTTAAATAACTTTAAACAGATTATTCATTCAAGTGGGTAGAGAAGGAGGCAGGAAATCTTTTGTGTCTGTTTCCACAGTGAAGGCAATGAAGAATGAGTGAGAATAACAGATGGGCCGAATAAAAAAACAAGTCACTGCCACCCACACTCTTATCCATTTCTAGATCTTTTCGAGTCCATTTCTTTTTCTTTTCACACCACCTCCCTCCTGTCACATCTCTTAGGGCTCTTGCTGAGCAGACTGTGCTGACTCACTGCATTGATTGGCCTGTCAATCACTCTGAAGCTCTTGCATGCTAAACAGGTGGAGGAGGAGCCAACACTTTAACATTCACCCCACTTTAATTATCCTCTGCCTCCCTAAATCTGTTCTTGTCTGTGCAGAACAGATGCTGAGATCTGTCTCTTTCATAAACAGACGCTTTCACCCCAAGCTCACTATCGTTATCTGTCATATCTGCCACTGACCAAACTACAAAGCAGATCACTGATGGTGCCAATGCAGCTTTACGAGGACATGATGGATGTAAAGAGGAAAGTCAACATGAAAGACTTACAATCCATTTTACTCAAGTGATGTGACTAGATTTTATGCCTTAGGGATTCCATACAGAAATCAAGTGAATGCAAGTCAACTTTAGAGCTAACTAATATGCAATATTTTGAATCATGCAATATTTATTTAAGGTCCTACCAACTGGGAACTAACAGGGATGTGACAAGGCTGAATGTCAAGTTCACTCTCAAGATCTTAGATCTTCATTAGAGTAACAGGCGTTTTGAGGAAATATTCTAGAAGTATGTGTTCATTAGGTTTGTATGCCGGCTATAAAGATAGAGAAGCTGAAGCTCACCTCATACTGATCTCCAGCACATAGACGTGCAAAACCCGCCAAGCCTGAAACAAAGACATCATTATTTAAACGCTCACAAAATCAACAATCGAATAAAAATCAATTCATATCAAAGATGTGAGAAGTATGGATAGAAATATTGGAAATTTCCTTGATCCTTCGACATAAAAAGTTTTTGCACTTTTAAAACAAGTTTCATAGCTTAAAGGGCACCTATGATGAAAATGAACTAGTGTAAGCTGTTTAGACAGAACTGTGTGTAGGTATAGTGTGTCCACAGTCATATTGAAGTGTTAATAATTCTCTTATTTTAAATTTCCTGATGTAAAAATAGAATCCAAATCCTTTCCTTGAGGCCCACGTAACGTAGGAACCAACTGGGATTAAAAGATCTGTTCAGCTCTCTGTGATCATCTGCACCTCAAGAATGACTTTTACAAGTTGAAAACGTTTTTAAAACAAATGTTTGTAATAAAGACCGTAAAATCACTTCGTAATTCTTCATCACAGCCGCATAGTGTCAGTACAATTATAAAAGAAGACGCTTCAATCCTGGTTTGTGGACGTTAAATCAGGTTTATTTTGTACATTAATATAACGGATATCCATAAAGCAGTGTATATTAACATGTATACAGTCACATTTGCCATGCAAAAACAGTGAAAAGTCAAACGTGTGTGTGTGTGCGTGTGTGACTTCCACAAACTTTGTGATGAACCTGTGTGTACAAATATATCAAATAAGTTGCAAAGTTCTTATTGTAGTATGTGAGATCTGCTTCATTCTTGTTTGTCATTGTGCTGTTTATCTATGTCAAGCTACATGCACTGACACACAAGTGGAAACGGTGGGCAGGGAGAACCAGCTCATTTGCTTTAACAGCACAGGCAACACACACAGCTAAAATGTCCTAACAGCTCAAATTTTCCAGATTTAAAAAGCTATAATAAATAATCTGATGGGTGTTTTGAGCTGAAACTTTACAGACACGTTCTGGAGACACAAAAGACTTCTCTTAAATATTGAAAAAGGGGTAAAATAGATGCCCTTTAAAACATTTGGTTTCTGACATACTCCACATGATTGAGTCTGATGACATTTTTAACATTATAAGTGAATCTCAAGTAGCATATTAAATTTAAGCTATAAGGAGCAACGAAAGGGGCTTTGCACCTGGGCCATTCAGTGGCCTTAGGTAAACAGTGACAGCTTGGGAATATTCCTATGGATAAATGTATATGAATATGTGGATTACTATCTAAACTTTTTATGTGAGCTAAATTTAGTAGGATGCGCTATGAATATACGAGTTATAAAAACTTTGTTTCGAGGCATTATATACTTTAATGCTCATGCACCCCAGAACAAATATTGTACATGAACATCAGCCAACATTTAACACCTCATGACTAAATAACAGGCGCTAATCAGAGTGTGCAAACAAAACTGCCAGGGGGTCGGTTTGAAGTACCGCATCAAAAATTGGCTGACCAATGAGACTGGCACTTTTGTTCATATGTCTTTAACTGCTGAAGTTACAGTAAAACAACTTGGTGTCATCCAAGCACAAAATAAACTAGCTGACCACACAGGAATTGCAGATCCTTAAGTTCATTTAATGGCTTGAAACTTTTTCCAGCAAACTTTTGACCAGGTGTTTGCATGCTGTATTGAAGGAGGTTAAACAGAGGAGGAAAATCTTATTCGATGAATACACAAGCAAAAAAAAAAAAAAAAAAAAAAAAAAGGAGGGAGAGGACTTTAGTGCTACAAACGAGTGTCAAAATAGAAAAATTGTGCAGTACCACCTTCTGTACAGGATAGAACTGCATGATTAATCGAAAAAAGATTGCGATCTCGATTCGACGACGATCTTATTTCAGCTGTTCTACGATTCTGCCAATCATATTTTCAGGGTCAGGAGAGAAGCAAAGGCGGCCGCACAAGTCTTCACGTTGTTTTACATAGATTGCTCAGCAACGTGGACACTGCCAAATAGTGTTAAAAGTGTCACATGCTGTATTTATAAGGTAGAATTCACCCAAAAACGTCATTTCTATCTTCATGTAATGATGTATTTGCAGCCGCGAAATCACATGTGACGTGAGCTGATTGTGAGTTGTATCTATATGTATCTATGTATTGAGAGGGCGGGTACGCGCCTGTGACTGAAGTCTACTTTAGTGAACAGAACCTGCATAGGCTGTGAATAACAGGTAATAGAGTTATAAATAACATTCAGTTTGTTGCACAGAGCGATTGTTTGGGAGTCTCACATGAAGTATAAACCGCACTTAGCAGTGAAAATTAAACCGAAAGTGTGCATTTAAATAATCATATCGCATTATAGAGTTATGATTATGACAAGCATTTGATATTTTTTTCTTTCATAGCGAACACAGAGTGTTGTGCATGAAAAAAAAAGCTAAACAGTGTCAGTATAACTACTCTAGCCTATATTTTGTTGAATAAAATGCAAGAGGGAATCTGATAATGACAAATGTCTGATTTTACCAGTAGAAAAAAATAGTCTAATAATGTTGTCAATGACAGATTGCAAGCATATGTCTCAAACACAATAATTGTAATTAAGTCTATTCAAAATTAAGCATTTTAACCTATAGTAGACCACATATAATATTATAGTTGTTTTAACATTTGTTGGAGAAATAACAATGATAAGAGCCTACTCATTAACCTTTATTTTACATCTACAGAATCATGAGAAAATCGTGATCTTTATTTTGAGAAAAGGAATCGCGATTCTTATTTTAGCCAGAATCGAGTACTTCTGTTTGTCATTAAGCGCCCTTTTAATGAGTTTGCACATTCACTTTGCTCACCGCCAGTTAAATAATCAAATGTCAAAAAAAAAGTCTCAAAAATGCTGTGATAAACATCGTACAAGTCTTTAGTATGCTTTAACACCTCATTGGCAAAGTGCCGCCTTCTGGTAACAGGAAATTACATGTTTTACACTACAATGTTCCACGGGCAACGTTAAATGTTGCTAGTTTGATGCATAATGGCATATTTTATGTTCCCAGTCAAACATTACAGTGTAAAACATGTCATTTCAAGTTAGCAGACGTGCAAGACGTGTAAAATTGTGTAAGTTGCTATGGAGTCACACAACTTTAAAAATCAGGTGTAAATTTTTCCCCATCTATTGTATGTGCAAATGTTTGAGCTTTCTAACATGAATTCTATGATGCAAGATAAAACAGAGCAATTTTAAGAGGTCCTCACATCATCTGTGCTCAGACACTAATAATAAAATATTCATGTCATGACCCCTATAAAATCCTCTTGGAGTGGACCATTATGACCCTGGTGGTGAATGCAGAAACTGACTTACCCTTCATTTTGATATGGAATTCCCCCAGCTGGTTCTCCAGCTCACTCTCTAGCATGCACATATTCTGCAGGGACAGAGACAGTGAGTGAGTAAATACACAGAGGATTACAGACTACGTGGCAGGAACAACAGAAATATGCATCTGATGTAGCTCACAACAATACAGTAAACACTGCCTTTTTATCACAAACTACCGATTCCCTTAAAATTCATTTAAAAAGAATACATTGAAAACGATATTACGCAGTACATGGTAAATACAGCGTAGTATTCAGTAAATAGTTTCAGTCAGAAAGATTGTGGACAATCATGGGCATTTCTCTTCCAACAGTTTAACGCTTGTGTCTTGCAGCAACCATTATGCTAATGAAAAGCACTTGACTGGGAAAGGCTGTCCACTCATAATCAGATTGCCTCCCTGCATTATTTCCATGAGCATATCGAATGAGTCTAGTTCTGCCCTGTATCCATCTGTCTGAATGCAAAAAAAAAACAAAAAAAACCTGTAGCCCAAGCCATAATCAGTAGAGTGTAAGTCTCAACTTCCTGACAGTGTCATAAAACTAATCACATTTTCAGGGTCCTATTTTTACCAGAACCATAAATTACAACTCTGCATCCATATTACTCTCTTGATCTTTATCTTACCATGGAAGTCAGAATACAGGTTTTAAATAAAAATAATCCCTAAACTCAGTAAAATGTAACTTTTTTTAGAGTGGGTTTTGTATAAAAACAGAAAGAGGATTTAGTTTGGAAAACATAACTGAAATTATTGGCCCGTTTCCACTGACTGGTAGTTCGGTACGATACAGGTCACCTTTATCAGGCTTTCATTTCCACTGCCAATGTTGCCTTTTTGGTGGGCGTCGTGTACGACAGAAAGTTTTAGTCAATGTCATTCTCGCTCGAGGAAATTTCGCTCAAAGCAAAGCTGTACAGGTCGTTCACATATCATATGAGAAGAATTTCTCACCAAACAGATGCTTTATACACATAAATACTTGTGTATAAATTGTCATTACTAACCTTTCTATTAACATAATTTAATTATAACTGCAGATCAATGATAAGGTGAAATAGCCTACTGTAACGTCTGCGATTATATCAAATAAATAATTAAATGCAACATATATGAACACATACAGACCCTTACAGTCTGTGTGTTCTGTAATTGGTAACATACCAAACCTACACACAGCATACATTTCGTCCTTATTTGGGTTCAAAAACAACACGTAACATATAGCCCACAGTCAGAGCAAACCTCTCATCTGTGTCTTTCATCTTCACCAGCACATGTAAGCTCTGTTAGAAAGTAAATCCTTCATTCCCAGTTCATAATTGTCCAAAAGGAGATGATAAACATGGCAGTTTGTTCATGTTTTAGGTTGCTGAAAGAATCATTTGCTGTTTTGTTTTTTTCTGGCTTTTCCTTTGTTTTTTCATGCTTCACTCTCATGTTTGTCGATTCCTTAAAGAATCGGATGTCAGAAGCACTTCAATAATAACACACACGTTATTATGATCAGCTCAAAAAGTTAGTTATTTCAAATATAGATGCGCAGCAACCTCTCTGGAGAAAGTGAAACCACTCGCACTTTTAGACAGCCTCGTAAAACAAAAGCAGGAGAGGGCAGATTTTGTTCTTCTTGGCTTTGTGGCTGTTCATCAAGACAACGACAAGGTTTGTTCGAGCTCAGGTTGACCATGTATTGTTATTATATTTATATAGTATTACGGTGTAATGTCTCAGCTGTGTTGAAATGAATGTCAGTTTCTTTGTTTTTATTCTACTGCTTTTGTATGCACGAGTGATGTTTCTCTGTAAACCAATAGCGTTCAGCTGCGCGTCTAACTCCGCCTTTTGGTAGCCTTTTGTCGTGCTAAGTTCCCTTTGCAAAGGGTACCCAAAAAGTGGTATGGTACGGTTTGCTTTTGGTATCTTTTGACAGTGGATATGGCCATAAAAGCATACCAAACCATACCGTACCACTCAGTGGAAACAGGCCATTATTTAATATCTAAATAGATTCAGTTCTCAAACAAAGAAATACAGTTTTTATTTCATAAGTGAATTCAGTTCACTGATTAATGTTCATTAACGCCAAACTAAAGTGAATTTTGATTCAGTTTAATATCTTTAGTTGCAGTTCTAAAAATAATTCAGTTCAGTAAAAGTAAACTGAATTGAATTTTAGTTCTGAATTGAATTCAGGTCATCATTAACATCAATTGTAGGTGAATTTTGGTTCTGAAGTGGCTTAAGTTTACTATCTTTAGTTGCAGTTCTGAAGTGAATTCAGTTTAGTAGAAATAATCTGAATTAAATTTCAGTTCTAAAGTGAATTCAGTTCAATAACACAAAATGAAGGGTGAAATTCAGTTCTGAAGTAACTCTCTAGCTCTGGTTCTAAAGTAGATTCAGTCTATAAGGTGAAATGATTCTTTTTGTTCTAAATTTACTAATCCTTATGATTCCTTTTAAACACTCTGTACACCGTTAATCTTGTCTTTGTTCTTGTGTGTACTAAGACAGAGCCCTTAAATCGTTTCCCTCTTTCTCAAATACTGTAACATACTCAAACACTCTTACCTCTGTGTATTCTTTAAAGCTCTTGTTAGCTTCTGACAGGCTTTCTCGAGCCTCTCTGCTGCCGGGAGAAGCAGTATAAGCCTTCACCATCTTATCGGCTCCATCTCTCAGTCTGCGCTGCATACAGTAGGCCTCATACAGCTCATCAATCTGCGTACACACACATACACGTAAACACAGTGTTCATTACAATCAATGAAATATGTTAATTATGTGCAATACATAAATGTCTTCAATTGCAATTCCAGCTGAAAAATCCATCTTGAGGCGCATACTAAAAGATGGTATATAGTTTCTAGCAGGTTATAAAATGGAAATCAATTCTTATTATCTTCTACATATTTTATCTTAATAAAAGAATGTATTTAGTTTTAAGGATGTTAACAAATAGAACACTAGCAATGTATATCAGCTACCATCTTCCAAAACAAAGCTACTACATATGCTAGGTTTATACGTTCATGTGTATAGCGCTTCTAATTCTTGTTTCAAAGCAGCTTTACAAAAGATGCACATTACTGCAGTAATCCGAAAAGTAAAGGCTTTTAGTTAGCATAACTTTATTAGTTACTAATAACTTTAACTAAATAACTAGTAACTAATAGCTTTTAACAGTTAAAGTTATTATACAGTTAAATTCAAAATTATAAGATTAGATTAGATTATTAGAACCTTTTTTTAATATACTTCCAAAATAATGTTTAACAGGAATTTTTCACAGTATTTCCAACAATATTGTTTCTTTTGGAAAAGGCTAGAATAAAAAGTTTTATTATTATTATTATTATTATTATTATATATATATATATATATATATATATATATATATTTTTTTTTTTTTTTTTTTTTTTTAAGTGAATATTATTAGCCCCCTTAAACAAGACTTTTTTTTCTGATTGTCTACAGACAAACAATCATTATACAATGACTTGCCTAATTACCCTACTTAAGCCTTTAAATGTCACTTTAAGCTGAATATTAGTATCCTGAAAAAATGTCTGGTAAAATATTATGAAGTGTCATCATGGCAAAGATAAAAGAAATCAGTTATTAGAGATGAGTTATTAAAACTATTATGTTCAGAAATGCATTGTTGAAGATTTTTATTCCCTTTAACAGTAATTGGGGCTAATATAATTCTAATTCTGTTAATAATAATAATAATAATAATTCTTATTTCAACTGTATATAAACATAGTTAACCTGTAGTTATATAGTACGTAGTTTATTTTCAAATATTTTATGACTAAAGCCGCAGTCGCACTAGATCAGGGGTGCCCAAACCTTTTCTTATGAAGGGCCAAAAAACAAACTAGATTGAGGGTGGTGGGCCAAAGGTAAATATAGCAAACTGTATTACTTTAAAGTTGCTATGGGTAGTTTCCTTATTCATATAATAATAATAAAAATAACTAGAAAACACTGCTTTATATCAACTAATGCAGCTCGATATTTAAGATTTTATAATAAACTTATTTTATTACAAACAAAAACAATACCATTTATAATAGAATGACGTTCAGTGGAGCAACTGATTTTACCTTGATTTGCTCATGTTTTCTGCATAGTCTTCTGTCCTTCGAGTGACAGTATTTATATCTTTAAAAATCTGATCTATTTACAGATTTAATTTAAACATTTAGTTTCAGCTTGCTTATTTGTAGCTGAGCAATAAAACAAACAAACAAAAATTCGAAATGACAATATCTGTTTAAGGCATTTGCCCCAACCTTTCACCATCATTCTCTTCTCTGATGGGATTGAGATTGGTGACCAAAAGAAAACCAAAACGTGACGTCACGCCATTAAAAACATACACCTTTTTTATCCCGCCTCTTTTCGCAGCACCATCCAAACAAATTTTGCATGCTTAAAGTCTAATGTGACCGCAGCTTTTAAGAGGGAGGCACAGTTCCATTGGTATCCAGATGGTGACACTGACCTGATTAACTCAACAAGCGCACACACAGGCACAAACCACAACATCGTCTTGTTAAATCTTTTCTTGCCCAAGCACTTCCTTCTGGGCCTCATTGTCTCTAATATAAGTAATTTAGATTTTATTGATCTATCCGCAACACCTTGAGCAGGTCTCCAAAAGTGGAAGCCCATAATGGAGACAGGAAACTAGTTAAATCTCCTCATTACATCAAGTAAAATTTAAGCAGATGTTCAGAATAACAGACATTATGATCCGAAGCAGAAACTCAGCAATTACTCACAGCACGGGCCCTGCATTCAGAGTTTAAAGAAAGAATGAGCTAGCTATTGTAAACAGTATGGATGAATGAGGAAACAATATGAAAGCTCCGTTGACTTCACTGGAACAATGTTTAGCAGGACAAGGGGGTTGTAACAAGGACTATGACGTTAAAACATTAAAAAGCGATACCCAGCTGAGGATAATCACAGAAAGACCACAGTTTAAGCTCTGCCAAGAATGAAAGGTTTTGGCAGTTAAACATTACTAAACAGGTATAAACTGGTATTATGAGCCCTGTAATTAAACCAAGGCTCTAAAATAAGAAATGTTATGCTTTTTTGCCATTCACTGCTTAAGAAAAACGGTTCATAAATTTAACATTGAATTTCGCAAGCATAGGCATTCTTGTAGGTCCAGTGATAGGCTTATGAATTAAACTGTAATACTGTAACATACTCTATTTGTGCAAAAGACATCTGTTGTATAGTCGACTGTTTAAAAGTGTCAGTAACATTCTTAATCATCTTTTATGCTTAAGTTAAACAAGGTTACATTTATTTGATCAAAAATTCTGAAATACTATTGATTATGACATTTTACTTAAAGTAACCCTTTGATATCCAAACGAATTCAGTCAAGTCAAAATAACCTGAAGTGAATTTCAGTTCAGCAGTAAATTCAGTTCACAAATAATAATCTGTGATTTTTTATTACAAAGATGATTCAGGTCAGTAGTAATCTGACACTAATTTCAGTTCCATAAACAATATTCAGTTCACTATTAATACTCTAAAGTGAATATCAGTTCAAGCGTGAATTCAGTTTACAAACGACAATCTAAAGTCACTTTCAACTTTTAAAGGGCTTCTATGATGAAAATCAACTTTTGTAAGCTGTTTGGACAGAGCTGTGTGTATGTCTCGTGTGTCCACTAGTCTCATTTTTTTTTAATTTCCTGATGTTAAAATATGACGCAAATCACAGAGATTTTGAGCCCCACCGAACGTGACATAGGAGTGTGGTTTTCCCCGCCCACCAAATTGATTGACAGGTGCCATGTTTCTTCAATAACATGTATACACATGTCCACAGAACTTTTTTTGCAAATAAACTGGGATTCAAATATTTGTTACAACTCTGTGTAATTTTAAGACTGTTTTAAAACATTTTTAAAACAGAGCATGTTTGTAATAAAGACAGTAAAATCCTATGAAATCTTAACCGCTATAATCACGATGGCCGCATGGTGTCAGTAATCGCTAATATGTGTTTGTTTGTGTGTGTGTGTGCGTACTCCAAACAGCATTTCTGTGGGACTTATCACTTCAGAAAGGCTTAAATAAGTTCCACCACAAATACATGAACTAAACTAACTTTGTATTTTTGATTAATGAGCTGTATTTCAGCTTTATCCGTGTCTGTCTTGATCACTGACTGCTGTTTATCTGATGTAACGCAGGAGAAGCAGATACACAACATTGGGCAGGGAGAAACAGCTCAATTGAATTTAAAAACACAGGCTTCAAAAACAGCTACATTGTGCTCAGACATTGAAATTGGCAGATTCTGCAGGCTATAACAAATTATCCGATGGGTATTTTGAGCAGAAACTCACACAGACACATTCTGAAGACACCAAAGGCTAATCGTACATCTTGTAAAATAGGTAAAAAAGGTGCCCTTTAAAATGAATTTAGTAGGCTTAAAAATTCAATACTCAGTTCACTAATAATAATTGAACTGGCTACAATTCTCACTAACTTGATTCTTTTTTTAATTCTAGTCAAATGCTCCACATTATATCTGATGATAATACAGAACTGGAAAATTTTCTAAAGCTGGAAGAACTAAATGAAACTCTCACAAACATGCAAAATTCAAAAGCTGCTGGGCCAGATGGCTTTACAGTAGAATTTTTACAAATATTTTAAGATAAACGAATGCCGTTGTTAATTGCTGTACTTAAGGAATCATTTTCTATAGGTTCTCTCCATGACACATTTTATCAAGCGACAATCTCTGTTTACCCTAAAAAAGGGTAAAGACCCCTTTAAATTGCGATTAATTTCGACCTATATCTTTGCTCAAAAGTGAATTCAGTTTACAAACAATAATCTGAAGGGAATTTAAATTTTGAAATGGATTCATTAGGCCTACTCCACTCTTTGGTGTTAGTAAGATGATCAGAATAATACTCAAAATACTTTGTGTGTTTGTTTTGAGTAACAGAACACGGAAATAATTGGAAACTCAAATCTTTTGTAACATTTTAAATGCAGTCACTGTCATTTTGTAGTCAATTGAAAGCATATTTGCTGACGAAAAGTCAAAATAAAAACATAGTTTAGTAGGCATTAAATTTCTAGTTAAATGTGTGCATATTGAGGACAAGTTGAAAAAAAGACCTAATCCTCTGAAATACATTAGCAGCAGTATCCTGCAGAATTACTCGACACAGCAGGGGAGCCTTATACTGAAAGCACACACACACACAATATGGTGTAAATTTGAGAAACACAAACACACGTAGTCCTCAAGACTCAAGGCGAGAACAAGGGCGAAACAGTCTGCAGCCCTTAAAAGGTTTCCTGCAATAATGGAAAGAAGGACGAAGGTAAAGCATAAAGCAAGAGAAGGAAAATCTCCATCTGGAGGTGGTTAGGATTGGTCCAGTGAGTGTGTTCCAGCACCCTGGCAGAGAGTCAGCGGGACAGTCATAAGTTTCACAGAGTTATGACAGCGCCTCTTCTGTCAATACACACTGCAACACAAAACTGATAACAACACGCCTCTTCATTCTCCTCTATTGCAGGCCACAGCTAATGCACTATTTCACCATCCCTGTTTGAAAAAATGCTGTTCACACAGCTTAGCAAAGCCACTCGTGTGTGTGTGTGTGTGTGTGTGTGTGTGCGCGTGTGTGTGTGTGTGTGTGTGTGTGTGTGTGTGCGCGCGCGTGTGTGTGTGTGTGTGTGTGTGTGTGTGTGTGTGTGTGTGTGTGTGTGTGTGTGTGTGTGTGTGTGTGTGCACGTATGTTAACCCACAAACAGCCGATTAGTTTCAGAAAAATATATTTTTGTAACATGTCTGCACTTTTCCTTTCTAAGTGAACCTAAAGTTGTTGATATTGTCTTTTAATCTGTTCACAAAAGTGCTCATTATTGCAGGTGCCCGCTGTGTAATACAGCCTGGGCCAGTATTATGCATAGATACATACCCCTAAATCATAGTGGCATTGACTACAAATAATATTTATAATAAACATTAGGAATGCACTGACAAGAAAAGTTTGGCACACTGATAACGAATAAATGGTTATACATCTTGTTATCCCTCCAGCATCAATTCTTCTAAAGAGCTCATCTGTTGTGCATCTGAGGTGGATCAACAGGCAGAAATAAGCCATTTTTTAATGGCCAATATGTTATTTTTTTATCAGGCTGATAACAATAACATTAAAAAGATGTATTAGTTGATGCTGATTTGGCTGCCAATTTATCATGCTCGATTAAACAAAAAGACTAAAAAACTGTATTACAAACAAAACGGAAACTACTAACATGTGTATGAATTTCATAATAGAAAAACGCTCATTCAGTGCATTTGTGGATGTTTCGCTAGCTTGACATTAACTGCATTATGTGATAAGCCACATTCTTGCAGATGATTGAAAAACAAATCACTTCAAATCAAGAAAATACAGTTTAAGTCAAAATTATTAGCCCCCCTTTGAATTTTTTTCTTTTTAAAATATTTCCCAAATGATGTTTAACAGAGCAAGGAAATTTTCACAATATGTCTGATAATACTTTTTTCTTCTGGAGAAAGTCTGATTTGTTTTTATTTTTTTTTTTGGCTAGAATAAAAGCAATTTTTATTTTTTAAAGCCATTTTAAGGTCAAAATTATTAGCCCCTTTAAACTATTTTTTTTCGATAGTCTACAGAACAAACCATTCTTATACAATAACTTGCCTGATTACCCTAACCTGCCTAGTTAACCTAGTTAAAGCTTTAAATGTCACTTTAAGCTGTATAGAAGTGTCTTGAAAAATATCTTATAAAATATTATTTACTGTCATCATGGCAAAGATAAAATGAATCAGTTATTATAAATGAGTTATTAAAACTATTATATTTAGAAATGTGTTGAAAAAATTTGCTCTCCGTTAAACAGAAATTGGGGAAAAAATAAACAGGGGGCTAATATATCAGGGGGGCTAATAATTCTGACTTCAACTTATACGTTCATTTTTCCTATTTTGTTATGTTATCCCTCCACCAGAGTTGCCAGGTTTGCATTTTTCTAGTGCAAGTTGTGGGTTGCATTTTTAGTATTAATATGCCGCGGCCACTAGGGATGTAACAATTCACCTGACTCACGATTCGATACGTTTCACAATACTAATATCACAATACGAACAAACAAATTTAACAAAATTATATGAAACAAATTGAAGGTGAAGAGCCATTTAATTTTTTTCTGCTGCACATTTTTTGCAAAATAATGCATTTTCTGCCATAGCAAAATTGCTAAAAACAAAAAATAATAATAATAATAATAATAACACAAACTAAAGAAGACTTGTTCGTATAAATTAACAAACTATTACATTTTTGACATCTATTTACATTTTTAAAAAGAAATATCAGCATATCTAAGTTTTCTGGAATAAGCTGAGGTCTGCTGAAAAAAACTCTTGAGTTGGGACTGAGATGGCTGGTGTGGAGAGGAAAGCCTTTTCTAAACCAGAGAACAGTGTGTACAGAGGTGGTCAATAGGCTCTCTGATCCAGGAGATTGGCCACTGGCATAAAACACTGATTACTCATTCATTCATTTATTTATTTTCAGCGTAGTCCCTTTACAAATCATGGGTCACCACAGCGAAATGAACCGCCAACTTATCCAGCATATGCTTTACACAGTGGATGGCCATCACTGGGAAACATCCATACACTCTCATTCGCACACATACACTACCCTACACATACACTATTTAGCTTATCCTATTCACTTATACCGCATGTCTTTGGACTTGTGAAGGACACCGGACATGCAAGCTCCACACCGAAATGCCAACTGACCCTGCCTAGGCTCAAACCAGGAACCTTCTAGCTGTGAGGCGATCATGCTACCCACTGTACCACAGTGACGCCCCAACACTGATTATAAAATGACTAATTATAAACTAGAATAGAGACAAGAGTTGAAGATGATTATGAAGTTAAGTAATTAATATTACTTGTATAATTAATTAGTTTAAGTATCAGTGTGATACACATAAGAAGACAATCTTAAATATTTTTATTATTCAAAAATAATAAGCAAATGATTAAAATATGCATAAACTAATTTGAAAAGGAGATAGTAAAAATAATCTAATACCTGCTTCTGTAACAGAACAGCTTTCTCTTTCAGTTTGAAAAACATCTTCACACTATGAAAACACTAATGCACCGTGTGATCTCTGTAGCACTCGTCGGAGCACACGGAGCTGCAAATCATCCGCTCCGCGCGGTTTGGCTTATCAATAGTTTTTTTTTTTACTTACAGACATCTGTGACATCATATGATGTGCATCATATTCGTTGTTCTGTTACTGTATGTAAAGGTCTTTTTGCAGTATACAGTTAGTGACACATTTCACCACTGTCATTTTACTCTGCCCCCCACCTCTAGCTCACCGCTGATGTGCAGGTAAATGGAGTTTGCACCTGTAAACACAGCGCCCTCTCTGTTCAAAAAATGTATCGCGATTCATTCAACATTTCAACTGATTTGAATCGTCACATATTCTAATCGATTCTCAACCAGCTCATGGTGAATCGTTACATCCTTAGTGGACACCAAAATGCTTCTTACTTGCTAATACAAAATGAAAACTAATTTGTTAAAACTAATTTGAAAACTAAATTAGCTAAATTGTTAATTAGTTCCAACTAATTTGTTAATGGACACTGATCCTGGAATTAATACCTGGCAACCCAAAGACCGCTGCGAGTGAGTGAGTGAGTGAGTGAGTGAGTGAGTGAGTGAGTGAGTGAGTGAATGAGTGAGTGAATGAGTGAGTGAGTGAGTGAGTGAGTGAGTGAGTGAGTGAGTGAGTGAGTGAGTGAGTGAGTGAGTGAGTGAGTGAGTGAGTGAATGAATGAGTGAGTAAAATCGCCTGATGGCACGTCACATATTAAATGGGTGTTTGTTGTATGGAAAGTCAGTCAGTACTTTAAAATAAATACTACATTTACAAGTGTCTTACAAAATGTCAGAGCAAATATGTTAAAACTCTCCTTTTGAGGGAATCCAGCAACTGACTTTGATTGGACAAGGAAATACAGTTTCACTTTTCATTCATTTTGGGTAGGTTTTGAGGATTTTTTTTTAGATCTGGCAACCTTGCCCTCCTCCATTTCAACAGAGGCCCAACATATCTAACCCAGTAAAAGCAGAGAGACTCCCTGCAGCGCCCTCCGCTCATAAAACACACACTAATCACACATGAAATAGGGCTGGCGAGGAAGAAGAGGAAAGAGGAAGGCCTCTTCCTGTAGTGCAGCTGGCTTGGGTTAGTTTAGGCTGTTAGTACAGACTCCAACAGGTCCAGCGGAGGGTTTAACCGCTCCACGAACAAACCAAGAATCTGAGCAGGCCCTGAAGCGGTCCTCTGCCTGTGACCCGTGTCCCCTGCAGTGGCTCAGCATCCATGAGCATGTTTGCAAGCGGAAAGAAAAACACTGTCTAAGAATGTGTCCACAGTGAGGGGGAGGATTAGGCTCGTTGTATATCCTGTAGGTGACTATCTGTCAGGAAAAAAAAGTCCTGATGTACGTGCGCGAATGCATGAGCACAAGCATGGAGAGCTGTTATCAAGGCCACTGGGCCATGCAAGAGCCGTCGTTTGAACAAGAGCAGACCTGCTGAGCTCAAACACACACAACATTGTGTGACAAGTGTGCATAATACATTGTCTGCTCACCGAAATAATACAATTTCTGCTCTACAAGTTTAAGTCCATCTATCTATCCATCTATCTATCTATCTATCTATCTATCTATCTATCTATCTATCTATCTATCTATCTATCTATCTATCTATCTATCTATCTATCTATCTATCTATCCATCCATCCATCCATCCATCCATCCATCCATCCATCCATCCATCCATCCATCCATCCAATTAAACATCATAATTAGCTTACACAACTTTATTTAAAAATGTAGAAATTATTTATTATAATACAATGTGATATTGATTTTATATTGTAATAAAATATATTTTTAATCAATAATGAAGACACAATTTGACAGAATATATTCTGTAATGCTAATTTTGCATTTGCATATTAAAGAAATAATAAGTATATATGTATTATATGTAATTACATTTTCCTTACATTCCAAATATAAGACGTCACATTTTTGTATATTTTCCAACATGTTTTAAATAAAAACTGCTTTTAATAAATATAACTTGGAGTTTTAACACATATTCACACTATTTAGAAGGTTACATTTGATTTTCATAACAGTTAAATAGCAGGCTCACCTTACTAAGATGAAACTCCAGTCGTCTCATAAATCTCTCGATCACTTTCACTTGCTAAGAGAGAACAGAGAATGATATTTAATGCTTAAAACATAATTAACAGTCATCCATAATATAAAATGAGTTCAGGCACTGTTGGTTGTCAGAATGTCAGATGAAAAGGAGGAAGCTTACACTCACCTTGTCAAGTTCATACAAAAAACCCTAGAAAAGAACAACAGCATCATTACAAATCAAACAATACGGAAACGAGCTTGTATTTGTACCATGACACAATTTTAAAGCACCAACACTTACCAAGCGAGAGTTCCTCTTAGACTCCTTCATTTGCCTGTTTAGACCGTCCAGCTCCATCTGATGGACCTGCAGGTATGATCTGCAAAAGTTCAGCATATTATCAGTGTCACAGTCTGTGATTAATGCATTGTGTAAGCAGAACTATTTTATATTAGTTCTAGTGCTGCTGTTGCAAGCAAGCACATTTCCAGAGCTCATATGTTTGTGTACATACTGCAGTCCTCTCTTGAGGGCCTCGTACACCTCGTCCAGCCGCTCCGGCTGGGGCACCTTTGGGGGAGGCGATTTAGTGGAGAGCGTGAACATCCTGCTTGCTCTGGAGGGAGTCTTCCTCACACACCCCGGGGTGCTGAACACTGAAAGACTCCTATAGAATACAGATGAGGCACATAAACCTTTAGCCTGCGTTGGTCATCTTTGTTGGTTAAACACATTTAAAATGCAATGAAATACAAAATTTAATTACCAACACAAAAAAGTTACTTAAAAATAAATAAATAAATAAATATACACACAGTTGAAGTCAGAATTATTAGCCCTCTGAATTATTAGCCCCCCTGTTTATTTTTCCCCAATTTCTGTTTAAGAGACAGAATCTTTTAATTTCTAAACATAACAGTTTTAATAACTCATTTCTAATTACTAATAAAATATAATTTATTTTCTCTTTGTCATGATGACAGTAAATAATATTTACTTCTATACAGCTTAAAGTGACATTTAAAGGCTTAACTAGGTTAATTAGGTTAACTAGGCAGGTTAGGGTAATTAGGCAAGTTACTGTATAATGATGGTTTGTTCAGTAGACTATCGAAAAAATATATAGCTTAAAGGGGCTCATAATTTTGACATCAAAATGTTTTTTAAAAGATAAAAAACTGCTTTTATTCTAGCTAAAACAAATTAGACTTTCCCCACAACAAAAATATTATCAGACATACTGTAAAAATTTCCTTGCCCTGTTAAACATAATTTTGGAAAATATTTAATAATTAAGGCGGGGCTAATAATTCTGACTTCAACTGTTTATATATTATTCGTATAAAACAGTATTCAAATGATTGATTGTATTTAATTACAATTTAATTACAACATTTTATTTTTAATGGTTTATTTTAATTTATTTGAATGTTATTTAATAAAGTGATATATTATAATAAAATAAAACCATTATATAAATTTCTGATTTAAAATTGAATATTTCAAGGGCCTTTTAGTGGAAAAGTCACAGTGTAAACTGGAGGTAATAAAACTGGAAATGGCCAGAACATACTAGCAAAGAGTTACAACATAAAATGTTATATATCTGTTTTTCATCCATGCCCACCCAATCAGAAACTGAAAAACAAGTTAGATGGGGGGTCTTGACATATTAGGGAGTAATACACAATAGTCCAGAAAACCAGACAGCCTCTGTTTTCAAAACTTTGTGTTTCAGTCCTTCTAAACTTAAATGGAACACTAATTTCCATACTCTTTCACAGTTTCTAAACGCTGTGTTCATGGGTCAAAGATACTAGGAGCAGTGTGGACGGCAGGCGAAAAAATTCAACCCCGGGAACAAATGAAATACAGGAATGGAGAATGCTTTTTTCTGTGTGACTGCATCTTTGCCATATACAGTGTAAATGCAGACAAAGAATACGAGTCACTTTTAAAATAAACAGCAAGCGGACTGTCAAAGACATAGGATCATATATAGTATATGTCTTATATGTCAAATATAATAACAAAATCAAAATTGACCATCAAGATCTGCAGAGTAAATGCAGCCTAAATGTTGAGCAAGAATCTCCCGTGTAATCTGTAGAGACCAATTAGCTTCCCATATGTGCTAACAATGTGATTTCTTCAAGACTGCATGTAAAAGGACAGAATGAGCCTATGCCATCTTCGGTTTCATCACGGATCAACCTGTATGCAAATGATTTAGTGACAACACAGACAAAGCTTGATAAAGCAGAGGAGCCATTTATAGGCCCAAAAATCTCTCATCCTTATGATAGCATCCTGGTCCATTAATGTACTGTAGGACTAGCTTTTGTCAGACCAATAGCAGTGTATGTTGGAATGCAAAGCAGTATTATGGTCAGCAAGGGAAATGAACAATCTTTTATTTAAATCAATAGCGCTTTAGAACAACACTCATGCTGATCGATTCAAGCTGCAATTGCACTTCTAGGACGGCAGACAGCTCAATAAAATAGAGAGAAAGACGGATACGCCTTGATACGGTTTGTAGTATGAGGATACAGTAGCAACAGTGGAAGAGAGTTCGACAAGTCTTTGTAAATAACCTAGATGAGGATATTAAATTAAAATATATACCAATGGACAGATTAAAAACGCCTTGCATAAGCATTATCTATTTTTTTCCCTAAATGACGCAAAGATGAAAATAATAAAATCAGTATGATTTATTTGACACATTTAACCCCTAATTACACTATACTTCAGTTAATCTGTTGTCTTCATAGCTTACAAAGGTTTATTCAGTCTGAATATCTTATTCGATGTTCCTACTTGTCGTCCTGATTGAGGTCTTATTTAATTATTTATGCCGTCTCGGTCTCTGCTACACTTCAACAGCAGGGGTTTGAAGAGCGCTGTACATGCTTTTGAATCAAACTACATCAAGCAGAAGAGTCAATGCTCGAGAGCCACTCCGACCCTTTGAAAAATTTACGTTGCCACATTCTACCTCAAATAACAAAAAGTGGCTTACTTATTAAATAGAAGAGGGGAAAAGGAAATTAATAACAAGCTCAGATAAAGCCTATTCCACTGTTTTGTTGGACTGAAGCCTCTTTGTAGCCACTAACAAATGTCCAACCTTTCCTGCTGGCTGCAGCCATTCGGAAATGTATGTAAGCCTTGCCTATGCTTCCACAGGATATCCTGTCAGCTGTGACTTCCCTTTAAATGCCTTTGGTCATTACTGAAAGGACTAACCATATACATCAGTGCTTGCTCCAAGTTAACCATTTGTGTGTATGTGATGCAAGTAAAGACTGTGTGACGTAACTGTGACAATACTGACAATTAGTATAACATTTAGAATATAACAATATTTTAATGTAAACAGAATTTAAAATAAAAATCTGAAAACACACAAAAACATACTAAACTATACCAATAAATATATATATATATATATATATATATATATATATATATATATATATATATATATATATATATATATATATATATATATATATATATATATATACTCAGCGGCCACTTTATTAGGTACACCTGTCTAACTGCTTGCCAACACAAATTTCTAATTAGCCAATCACATGGCAGCAACTTAATATATTTAGGCTTGTAGACATGGTCAAGACAATCTGCAGCAGTTCAAATCGAGTATAAGAGTGGGGAAGAAAGGTGATTTAAGTGACTTTGAACGTGGCATGGTTGTTGGTGCCAGACGGGTTGGTCTGATGATCTACTGATTGGAAAATCGTTGCTTGGTCTGATGAGTCTCGATTTCTGCTGCGACATTAAAATGGTTGGGTCAGAATTTGCCATCAACAACATAAAAGCATGGATCCATCCTGCCTCGTATCAACTGTTCAGGCTGCTGGTGGTGGTGTAATGGTGTGGGGGATATTTTTCTGGCACACTTTTGGCCCATTAGTACCAATTGAGCAACAACACAGCCTACCTGAGTATTGTTGCTGACCATGTCCATCCCTTTATGACCATAGTATACCCATCTTCTGATGGCTACTTTCAGGAGAATATTGCGCCATGTCATAAAGTGTGAATCATCTCAGACTGGTTTCATGAACATGACAATGAGTTCACTGTACTCAAATGGCCTTTCCAGTCAACAGAGCTCAATCCAATAGAGCAGCCTTGGCATGTGGTGGAATGGGAGACTTGCATCTTGGATGTGCAGCCGACAAATCTGCAGCAACTTTATGAAGCTATCATGTCAATATGGACCAAAATCTCTGAGGAATATTTCCAGTACCTTGTTGAATCTATGCCACGAAGGATTAAGGCAGTTCTGAAGGCAAAATTGGGTCCAACCCAGTACTGGTAAGGTGTACCTAATAAAGTGGCCATATATGTGTGTATACACACACACACACACACACACACACACACACACACACACACACACACACACACACACACACACACACACACACACACACACACACACACACACATTTTATAATTATTTTACTACAATATTTAAATATATGAAAATGGTCACAGAAGGATTTCACTAAACACTTTAACACAACTGATTAACTGTAATGTAATGTAAATGTAATGTAATGTGTATTTATATAGCGCATTTATTGTGTATGGCCATACACCCAAAGCACTTCACAATCATGAAGGGTCTCTCTCTTCACCACCACTAGTGTGCAGCATTCACTTGGATGATGCGACGGCAGCCACAGAACAATGGTGCCAGTGGGCTCACCACTTACCAGCTATTGGTGGAGTGGAGAGACAGTGATAGAGCCAATTCGGGGGAAGGGGATGGTAGGGAGGCCATTATCGTAAGGGCCGATAGAGGGACTTTGGCCAGGACACCAGTGTTACACCCCTGCTCTTTCACGAGAAATTTTCACGGTTTAATGAACACAGAGAGTCAGGACCTCGGTTTAACGTCTCATCCGAAAGACGGCGCCCACTGACAGTTAGGACTCACACAGACCACAGGTTGAGTGCCCCCTGCTGGCCTCAATAACACCACTTAAAAACAGCAACCTAGTGTTTCCTAGTGGTCTCTCATCCAGGTACTGACCAGGCTCAGCCCTGCTTAGCTTTAGTGATTAACCTATCTTGGGCTGCAGGGTGACATGGCTGTGGCTTTTAGTGTGGCTGAAAGTTAGTTAATGAAAATCTAATTAAATTACAAATGCTACAGCTGTGTTTGCTATTGAAATATAAATCATACGCAATATTAATAATGCTGTCTCACCGTTTTCAAACAAGTCACATTACAAGAAATGAAACCAGTCTATTGATGATGTGTCATTAAAATGCATTAAAATCAATGGCATTTTCACTTTTAATGCTGAACGTGAGGGCTAAGGCCAAAACATTAAGATCCTAAACGTATCATGAATATTTGATTTCAACCTTAATGCACTCGTGAAAGAACTGCTCCTTATCTTTTGTTTTAAATATGACTTCATTTTTTGGCATGTTAACAACACTGACCTGTAGGACTTGTCGTAGGAGTTGACTCCGGCGAACGACTGGCTTCTAGTGATGGATCTGCCCACGACCCTCCGCGTGGGGCGCACAGAAAGGGACATGGTGGACACAGATTTGGAGGGACTCCCTGCAGACAGATAGAAATAATATATGAGGTCAAGGCATAACAAAAACCTACTGGTAAAAAAGTCTCATCAATTCTAAATGAAAGTCTTTTCTAAAAGTGCAGTCTTTGCATTTTCATTGACAAAAATTTAGCCAATAAAATCTCATCATAAGCCTTTGGTGCAGAGGCCCTCAGGCCCTAAATGAATCAGCAGATTGTTTCATTTATTTTAAAGAGGATATTGTGGTTCGCTATGAACAAACTCTCTGACCGCTCAAGATAAAAGCATTTTAGATTAAAATTGCTGTATTTCCTGGAAACAAACCATCAAACTTAATACTTTTGTTTATATATTAGGCCTTTGGACGAAAAAATGCTTAAACCATTAAACTCAAATTTCTTGTGCAGTTTCAATTGTGCATTTCAAAGCATGTAGAGCACAACTAGTGGGTGTCATGCAACTTAAATGAGGAAAAGCAAGTGATTCCATCCAAACCAAGTGAGGTTTCATATGAAAAAAAACTCACTTCAGCTACAGTGAACTCAAAAGGAGGTAAAATTTCAATTGTGTTTTCACTCTAAATCTAAAAAGAAGAAAATATTATAACCCATCAATGAAAAAAGACATTTAAGGATAGCAAGCCAAGGATGACATTTATATGTTTTATAATTTATTAATCCTCAACCTGTAAGACTTTATTCTAAGTAACATGAAAGATGTTCAGAAGAACGCTGGTAAACAAACTGTTTTGTTCCCACTTATGTTATTATATTTTTTGATCATTTAAAGGAAGTCAATAGAAACTGAAACTGTGATCTTCATTCTTTTGTGCACCTGCACCACAAAACAAATAATAAACCTTAATTCATGCTTAATAAACCTAATTCTCGGCCATGAGTAGGTCTAAGATAATACACAACAGATAATTATACAAGACATCTTTTTTTGTATTCTACTGAATTGTCTACAGAATTTTATTCTAATTAAATAAATATTCCTAAAAAGATTCCTTAAATTAGATTTCTTAAATTATCTTAGCATCACTCCAGTTGTGTCATTGGATTAACTTCTGTTTTTTTATTTAGAAAAATAATTGTATAATAGCAAAAATACTGTTAACCCTAAAAAATAACACCCTAAAAAATACAAATTATTTATATATATATATATATATATATATATATATATATATATATATATATATATATATATATATATATATATATATATATATATAATTTTTATTTTTTAGGGTGTGCTGTGCCCCAGTAGAGCTTTATGTCTAGCAACGCCCTAGATGAGACTCTGATTGGTTTAATGCATGTTATGCTCAAAACACATCTATAACTCATTACGAGAATAAGCACAACCCTGTTAGACCATGCGCCGCAGTACAAACCATATTTGTCTGTCTTTAAAATAGCAAAAGTGAATTCGGGCATGCTCTTAATGCTTTTGTGTCATGTGCTTTAGACTTTGTGTCTAGATCGTTAAAATACAGCCCTATCACTCTAAGCTAATCATAGCTATATATTTTAGTTATATCACCCTGACTTAGTTATGCTGGAAAACAGAGAATCAAATCCTGCTCTTAAGCATAGATAAACAGTTTCTAGATAAGCCATTCGTGAAGTTCCTTGTGTATAATCAGTGAGGCCTGTTATCATTGACCATGTCATGGCATATCAGACATAAAAACACTCAGTGGACACAACGTAGGAGGACAGAGTCAAGATTACACTTAACACCACACCAATCACTGAGGATCTCAGCTAGGACAGGAACCATACGGACCTGCTCAGCCCACAGCTGGGACGATGTGCAAAAAAAAAAAAAAAAAACTGACGAGGACGATATGAGTGCACACAAAAATAGACACTTAGACCAAAGATACACCCGTGGATTAACACAGATAGACTGCTAGTGCAAACAAATCAGTCACATTTATCACCATCAAAAGTCTGAGGTTATCAGTGTAGCGGTGGAAAGTCAGGAGCATGTTACGTGAACATGAAGAAACATGTGCAATGCAGGGTTGGAAATTAATGAGGGCTAATGGCAAGATAAAAAAGCCGGCAGAATTCAAGATAAGGAGGTAGGAATAATGCCACATGCACAAATATACAAAATCTGATGAGTAGTCTCACACGGAATCTGCGCAAACAGAATTCTGCAGATTTCTAGCCCCTCATTGAGTCTATTTATTTACTTGTGTAAATGTGTGTAAATTTATATCTATTCAGTTTTTTTTATTAATTGCAGTAATATTATTGACTAATATGAAAATATTTTTATGATTTATTTACATTTACTATTTTTGTAAAGTAATATTTTCTGTCTTTTTGTAAATATATTATATGGGAAACATGCTTTGTTTACTTAATAAAGTGGATATAATTGCATTTGCATTGTAAACATAAAATACAAATTTAAAAGGTATTACCTTTTATTTCATATATTAAGGTTTTAGTTATGATACTCCCAAAATAATTTGGCAGATTGTTAACACAATGCTGCGCAAAAAAGTAGTTACTGTATTGTGATAAATATCGTTATTAGAATTTGAGTTTATTCCACAATAAAATTTCGCAATACGCAAAAGTTCAGGGTAAGAAAGACAGAGAGCAACTGTGGATGTTTTCAAAAGTTTGCGTCCAATCTGTCTAACTGAAACGGATCACCAATGGTTCTAAAACTAAAACGGCGTCTTTAGCATTTTTAAAAAGGTCTACCTTCATGGAACAAAGATGCTGAAATAGTGTGGATGTCAGATGTAACCATAATAAAGCCTATGTGTTTTGCAAAAGACACCTAATGCAAAGTTCAGACTGCACGATTTTAGCCCTGATTTTGACTCGCTGACAAGTTGAGAAAAAAATCATCAACAAATGCCTGAGATAACTGGCAACTTTGTGCTAATATCGAAGACGCAATCTGGGAGAATCGCCGATGACCCATGGCATGCTAAATATCTGGACCTGTCATTGATTCAAAATCATGTCGTGTGAAATATGTTCCAGGTTAAAATAACATCAGCGTTTACCTACAGCCAATGAGAAAGCAGCATCCGTGTGGGTATCTGCAGGCCAGCGGAAGGTTGGGGGAGGAGTTACGAAGGTATATAGACCACTATATCAACAAGCATGGTTTCGGTTAAGAAAAGGGCTTTTTTTCATTCTATTTGGACCCAAAAATGGAGGAAAAATGAGTAGAAATATGGCAGGAGCACCCGTGTCTGTTTGACATGTCAAAAACGTTGGAGAGAAATAGCTAATTTCCTTCAAAAGCCAGGTGAGCAAAATAAATACATTTTCTACCCCACTAAAGTCTTCTTACTTGTAATGTAGTTAATAACAAAAGATATAACCTTGCCCTGTTTCCATGGCACTTGTCACATGTGTTTGGTTGTGAGATGTAGTTTGAGGAACGAGACAAAGTTTTCTGTGATTCTTCCTATTTTAAAGTCATGCACTGTAAAACCCCCTGTCGCCGATTCATCTTGCAGTGTGAACAGCAGCGACGGAACTGTAGTCATGCAGTGTGAAAACATCTGTTATGTGACTGCTTTGAAAATCGTGTGGTCTGAACTCAGAATAAGCTGACAGGTTTAGTTTTTATGTGCTAAATTATTGTTATTACTTTGATCAAAAGTTGAAAAGTCTTGAAAATCTAATAATAATTTTACAAATGCTCAAAAAGCAATAAACAGGTTAAGCATGACTAACTAAAAAACATTTAATGTAACTAACAAAAATCTACATTTTTATTGCATTTTATGTGTGGCCAAAATATGTGGAATTTCTCCAACCACAAAAACCTATTTCATGAATTATTCAATTAACTGACACTGATAGCCATTATTACAATATCACGAGCAATGATCAACATAACAAAACCTTATAGTTTTCAAATAAGACCACTTATCCAGCACAAAGCATTATGTAACCGCAGCAGCTTGGCTCTGTGCGAACAGGTCGAATGCAGTTACTTTTGTGTTAAATTGAATTAAGATGTAATCTTTCCAGAGAAGAGCAAAGGGAGAGAAACAGGCCATGAAGTCAGATTACAGAGAGATTCAGAGGTGTGAGCCAGCATATCTGAGCCCATGGGGTCATTTAAAATATGGCGTCGACACAAGTGAGGTTTAGTCACCATAATGACCCTGACTAGGACAGTCAGCGCTTGTGGTTTTGATCAGCAACAAAGGGCAGTGCCCTGGACTCAGCAATGCATCACTGGATTAGGGAAGGAAGCTAAAGTTTATTTTAAACCCAAAGCAGAGGAACAACCTATAAGGCTTTCTGCACATTATGAAGATCTTGTGTGTGAAATGCCTCATTTTTTGGTAATGAGGATGCTGAAGCCCACCTGTGACTCTGTGGATCGACTGAAGTATTTCAGCTGTGTGATATCCAGTCAGAGGCCGGCAGAGTTGCTGAAGGCAGAATTATTTGCGCTGTGCCCAGCGAGAGAGCGTCACGGCTGGGGAACAGAGCAGGACATATTCTGCCCTCCTGCCTAAACCTCCACAGAGAGGAAAAAAAAAATCCAGATTGTCTTACTGGGATGATGCATTAGGAACTGGATTAATTTTTTTTTTAAATAAGTTCTGAGCTTTGTTTTTTTTTTTTTGGTTTTATTTTTGTGGATTTGCACACTTTGTTCCTGTAAAGATATTAGTCTTCTCTGAATTACTATATTAAAAGCTTTCCGAAGTAAATGATCAACTCAATTAGCAAACCAACTATAACAACCAAGCTTACGGAGCAAAAAGGATGTCAATATTTCAAAAGCATTACAAGTTTTAATTATTCAAGGTTTCTTTGTTTGTCTGGTGATCAGTGAAGAGTGTAAACAGGTCTGTTGATGCTGAGGGGGAAAAAAAATAAAAAAACTTTTGTGCTTCCAAGTGTGGAGGAGGGGAAACCGTTGAGGGAAGTGGAATTTTTTCATTTCCCGCAGGATATTTAACCGTCTGATGGAGAGAGGAAAGAAAAATAACATCTGCAGATAACTACTG